AATGGAAAACTACTCTCATTTGGGAAGTTACGTTTTAATGCGTTTCTGTTTAAAAATATATAAATAAATAAATACATTTGGATGAAATCGTTCGGGAAAAAACTAAATATTCGAAAAAATGTTGCGATGTTTCCTCAGGATATTTTTGCGATAGTTGGAGCTTTTATTCTAAACATCCTGATCAAAACATTAAGTTCGTTTTTCCCTCGTATGATATTATGATATAGGGACCTCAAGTATGTCAGGGCCGGATTAAGGCAGGCGCATGAGGAGCGCTTGCATCAGGCACCATCGCAACAAGGGCCCCAAAATAAGAAGAAGGGGAAAATAGAAAGAAAAAGAGGAGAGAGAAAATGTAACAGAGAGTCAACTATTCGTATTCAGAGATGGAAAGTGAAATTTCAAAAAGCTCGAATAAATTTTGCAAAATTTGAAATTTGTTAATTTTTATCGGAATTACTAATTAAATCTTCGGAAGTCCGGAAAGCGTTTCAGCCGGTCTTCCTGTTGATGCGGCAGTATTATGCTACCCTCCTGAGGTGCCTTACATAAAAGGGGGCGCACAAAGAGGAAAAATAGAGAACAATATAGAAAATTTAGAGAGAAATGTAGCCCGCAATTTGCAACGTGCGAATGTTTTAAGCTTGGGCTGAAAAATGTCAAAATCGAGAATCACTGTTTCCAGGCGTTTATTGACCTCCTGAATTCATCCCCGAAAGTTTCGAAAAATATCATAAAATGTTCCATCTCTGGAATCCACCGAGGAGCATCAAAAGCAAAGCTATTCGAAAGTATAGCCGCCCCGCGCTTGTAGTATGCTTCGAGTAAACGATGTATGATTCTGTCCGTCAACATCGTCCCTCTGAAATTCGCCCTCAATGGAGATGTTGCATGTGTGAGGAATTTGCGATTTGACTATTGATTCTTATGTAAAAGTTCGCGAGAAACACGATGGTGCCACTGGTTTCCTATCTGAAATCAACTCCCAAGCTCAAAAACAGCTCTCAAGTTGAGGCCAAAATGGAGGGGATATCCCTAATTTTTTCGTCTTTCTGTGATACAAAAGACAGCACCTTTAATTAGTCGAGTTAAGACTGAGAGAGAAACCGAACACGGAATTTGGTCTGGAACGGCGCGGCGCAGAGAGCAACGATGACGAGAACTTGAGATGTGTTAGCGGACAAACCCGATTTCAGGACAAACTAGAATTTCCTAGGACGAACTAGTTTGGCCTAGTTACCGCGGGCCCTACTAGAATTTCCTAGGCCAAATTAGTTTATCCTACAGCACGTAGGCGAAACTAGTTTGGGCCTAGGCCAAACTAGTTTATCCTAGATTGCTCAGGCCGAACGAGATTTCTTCCGGCAAACGAGTTTGTCCTAGGAAATTCTAGTTTGTCCTAAAATCGGGTTTGTCCGCTAACAGATGCAACGGAGTTACCCTCGGCGTGGCGCGGCGCGGCGGTCTGCATGTAACACATACTAGCGCCTACAAGACTGCATGAATACTTGACGCATTGCGTCAAAGACAGTGCGGTCGCTGCAGTCAGCAGCGGGCAGCGTGAAACTCATAGCGCCTACAAGACTGCTTGAATACTTCACGCATTGCGTCAAACATAGTGCGTGCAGCAGCGGTCGACATGAAACGCATAGTGCATACAAAACTGTAGGAATACTTTACGCATTGCGCCAAACACAGAGCGGTCAGCGCGGCGCGGCGGCGGAAGTTAAAATTATTAAACCACATTTATGTTTGTTCTATCATTATTTTTTCGTTCATTTCATATAAATGGAAGGCATTGTCCACACAGAGATAGGTTTACGGAACTTAACTATCGCGCCAAGTTCCGTGAACTTTTGCTAGTGTAGTGTTGACAGGGCTCTCGCAAAAAGTGTGTCCAACACGAGTAAACGCGTCTTATGAACCCCTCCCTTTCCGGCACGTTCACTTGATGGTTTTTATTGATGTTTCAAAACGAATGAGAAGGGGGCGGCAAAATACAGGCGGCTCATGGGCGGCAAGTAAGTAAATCCGGCCCTGCTCAGTCAACGACTTTAAAAACACAACCGGTACACCAAAGACCAAAGATTATCACTTTAAAAAATGAAGAAGAAAGCCTATTATTAGTAAAATTATTAGAGTATTCGATGAGGTGCATTCTGCCCCTTGCATCTGAGCGATAACTATTTAGACTCCAATGTCGTGCGGGACTGCATACACATTATTTTGAAGGCGATTTTTGCGCTCATATCAAGAAGAAGGACGCTCGAGAATAAATTTATCTTTGACGGCACATTTTCCTCCTTTTACATGCCGACATTTTAAGCACTTCGAAAAGTTATCATGAATCCTGGATCAAGCAAAAATAAATCCTGCGCTTCAAAATCGCCGCTTAATAATAGTTGTAACAGTAGTCGTATCTTGCATGCTCCAACAAGACTTTGAATTTGACCATAATTGATTACTTGACTCACATGACCCGCAAATTTTTGAAATGGAGGAAAGTTGGTTTTGGCGTTTTTCCGTCAACTCGCATTAAAAAATTGAATATCGACGGTGAAACTACCAAACCACGTATCTCGGTTGCGGTGTTTAAAAATCTACGCTCACATTTTATTTTTTTAAAGTAGACCAAATCAATATCATTCCTTGAAATTTTCACAGAATTTTATCCGCACGAAGAGGAAAAATCTCAGAAAGTTTTAAGACTGGACATTCAGTAGTTATTCATTTAAAAAATAAAGTATGACAGGAAGTCTGCGACGTCGCAAACCGAGATACGTGGTTTGGTAGTTTCACCGTCGATATTGAATGTATCCTAAGAAATATGACAACCATACGGAGAATGACGAGTCAAGACCGAAAAATTTATCAGCCTTGGGAGAGTTCATCATCCTCTGACAAGAGCGAGCGTTAAGTGATCCGTGCACGCGGCCTCCACTCAGGTGGTCTCCAGTTCGAATCCCACCGCGCCTCGCATCTCTCGTCTGGGTCGCAGACAGCCGACTCCACTGAAATGCTCAAGGGCATGACCGCTCCAACATTTCGTGACTCCAAGCCCAAGCCCAGCCGGTGCCCTCTATTTCACTCTTCCAGCAGCTGCAAAACAGTTTCTTTTCTTCCTTTGTTTCTGTTCCGAACCACCGTGGCACCGCACCACGTACCAATTCGTCTTTCGCGTGGTCGTAAAGTTCCCCCACCAATTTTAAAATAAAAAATTGATAGGTAATAGGTAAAATATTTTTATTTTTGCGCGCAATGGAGAAATTGCACGAAAAATTTTAATTGTATCACCTGGAAGTGCTTAACGAACTGAGTTCGTAGTATGTTTCCTAATATTTCTCATACAGAAATTGAAAAAAAAAATGTATTTAAAAGTGAGAAAATTTATCACCTTGTGACGTCATCTGTCTGCATTTCCCATTTTAATACATGTATTTTAGAAGATGCTGTTATTTTGTCATATTTCCTCCAATAATCGTACAATTTAAAAACCAAGGATGCTCTCGCATTCAGTTCTATCGGTAATTTTATCTGAAATATAAAATCTCACAATTTCAGACACCTGTAAATTCTTCATTCGTTGTATTGGAGACTGTCCAACTGATAAATCACTGGTATCATTACCTTGAAAAAATAATAAATTTGACAACGTCTGATGTGGTTATAGGTTGGTTTCAGTTAAATCCGTCCATTCTAACTGAGGAAATGCAATGTTAAAATGTTCATACGTCGTTTTTCTTAGCATAAAGGTGGCACGCCTGCTCGATCCGAACAATAAAAATCCGACGGAATGACAACGCAGCACTTTTCCTCGGCACTAAATGCAACCATTTTCAATGTATATACGATGCCGATGCACGCCCATGCATGGAGCCCGCACTTTTGCGACGCGAGTTTTCCCGCTTGACGTAGGGAGTATGTAGATGTTGGTCGCTGAATCCACGCTGCAAACTGCATTTCGCGCTATGCGTCACGCGGCGGTCTCAAAAGCTCTAATTTTCCCGGTTGCAATTAATGGACCCGTATGCCGTGTCACGTGGGAAAGAGAACTAACTCTTTTCGAACGTATAGCCGCATGGTTAACATGCAGTGACGATTTTGCAAGTTGGCAACACTGTTCTTTCTCAATTTGTATCCATTGAAAATATCGACTTCTGGTAAAGCAACCTGTCTCACCAAAAATCGATTGTTTTACATGTATTTAAATTGAGGAAACACATTATTGCCAACTTTCAAGAATCGCCAATTTCAATATGTGCTCCCATGTGCTTCGAGGCTCGTTCCTAGATGGAGTACTGCCCTCTCTCGTAACACGGCAGTGTATGACGCGTAAAAATAACATATATTTGAAAGTACATGTGTTGAAAAGAATTTTGTATAATTTAAAAAAAAAAAATTATCAATGAAAAAAGGGGACAAAATTTCTCTTTCTCTTCGAGATGAAAAGGACAAGCCCTCGGCGTGGCGGCGGTCGGCATGTAACACATATTAGCACCTGCAAGACTGCATGTACGCATTGCGTCAAAAACAGCGCGGTCAGCTTGAAACGCATATAGCGCCTACAAGACTGCAGGAATACTTCACGCATTGCGCCAAACACAGTGCGATCAGCGCGGCGCAGCGCAGGAATTTAAAATTATTATACCACATTTATGTTTGTTCTTTCATAATTTTTTGGTCCATTTCTTATAAATGGAGAAGCAAAGTTCCGTTAAATTTTGCTAGTAGTGTTGTCAGGGCTTTCGCAAAAAATGTATTCAACACGAGTAGATGCACCCCTCCCCCTCCGGCACTTTCACTTGATGGTTTTTATTGATGTTTCAAAACGAATGAGAAGGGGGCGGCAAGTAGGTAAATCCGGCCCTGATGAAACCAGTGTGAGTAATTTTATTTATATCTTTATTTTTTTTACCGATGTTTTGGGTCTGGTTCCTCATGCTTTTTCTTGACCATCATTATTTTTAATCTTGATTTTTTTTTTCCTTTTTACTTTTCAGACCTCGGGCACAAGCACCGGGCGATAGAGTCGGATTCGGAGGAGAGGAACCCGCTGGCGGGGCAGTGCCTGTCGCCGCCGGAGATGCTCATCACTTTCGGGTTGGCCCCGGACCACGAGGTCTCCATCTCGCCCTCGGTCTTCCTCGAGAAGCTCTGTCCGACCATCATCTACGAGCTGGACCTCCGCACCTGCCAACACGAGACCTCCCCCACGGCCCTCCAGTCCGCCTCCGCCCCCAGGGCCAGCCTCCTCGAGGGCTCCGGAAGCAAACTCATCCCCAGCTTAGGTGAGATTTCCATCCCCTTTTATTCACCCATTTGGGGCCGCGCAGTGGAACGAGCTATTAGAAGGGGCCGGCCATGAAATTTCTGACCAAAATTGCAAATTTGAATGTATATTTTGTCATAATTTCAATGGCAAGGGGGTGTATCTGGAAGAAAATCTTACAAATAAAATCAATGGAGCCATTCTTAAACTCCTCCTCCTATTATTTTTTCAAAGATATGAGCTTTCAAAGTTTCCAAACGTCCGACCTTTCCCATTGACTCGTTCCACTGTGGGCCGTCGATAAATTAATGGTTATTTTCAACAAGTGCCCAACTCTGAAAGAAAAAAAAGGCGAAAAATCCAGGAACTGAGACAAAACTAATGTGCCCAAACATTGTACTCTTCTTCTGTTTTCTTCTTTTTTTTCTTTTTCTGTTCCCACTAAGCTCCCCAGTACCGAGCGTAGATCATCAATTAACTCCAAAAATGCTCCATGAACAGAAATGCTTTTGGCGCTTGTTATTTACCTAGTTCCAAACAAACCTGTAGTCAAAAATAGGAAAGTTTTTGATCCTCTAATAACGCAGTATATACGTTCTAAAACCTTGGCATCAGACACTTTGGAACAAACAATAATTCGTACCTACCTTTTTATAGTGTATCAAAAAATGAAATTAAAAAATATCGAAAAAAAGTACGAAAGGTGCTCAGTATCAAAAACAATGTCTTTGCAATAAAATGAAATTCTCAGTTTTCCGAGTTCGGCAACTGGGTTTGTTGGTCTCCATCGCCGTCTCACCTGTGAGAGCTTATATTTTTCGATCGGGAATTGATGTTAAAAGAGAAAGAAGACGGAAGAAGAGGAGAAAAATAAAGAATGAAGAAAAAGAAACCGGTGACTTCATTGTGCCTCCAGAAGAATTTTACATTTGACAGAATGGTGAAGCCGAAAATCTTTGCCCAATGTAAGAACTCCATTCATGTATCTGTTTTCTTCATGGATGAATGGTGAATGGTTCGTCTTGTAACAAGAGTAGCCGTTAACTTTTCCGCAGCTCGTGATTTGACGCCGTTTCATTGTCGTTTTATGGACTCTAAAGACGATAAAACGATAAAAACCAATCATTACCACGGTGCTTAAAATTATCCTCCCAGAATTTCGCAAAACTTCATGCACGCTTTCATACGCATCGATGTTTATTTTCCCCGCCTCGGTGCCCAAACGAGCGCCCTATGTCACTATGCATCCCTTTGCACCGATGCACTGCAAGAGTCTTCGGACCAATGACATCATTAAGTGGACATGAGATCAGATTATCATACGGTGAAGTGTAACTTTTTCCCTCCCTTTTTAATCCTTTTTTTTTCGGTTTTAAAAAGGGAGGGAAAACTCTCTCTACTCTTTGTATTTTCATACGATTTGGCACTACTGAAGGATATAGAGTGAAAAAAATTCCTCACGCGGTCGGTCTTACCATTGATTGAATTCCCATTGTAGTTCTGAAGCTATTTGTCAGATTTGCACATAGATGAACTGCGTGAAATTCTCGGCTTTAAATCCAGGTATAGTTCTGTTGGTTGATACGAGGAACATTGACGGAAAGGTGAACTCTCAATTTAGCTCCGGGTTTCTGCATGAGCTATGAATGTTTAGGAACAAATGACACGGGGTTGCAGATTCGTCTATTTTGAAGGCGCTCCTCGCGCTTTCGTCAATGTTTCCTCCACTTTAAGTTATATCGGTACCGAAGATCGCCCGATTCTGACTTAGATAAAGTAGCATTACGAAATTTTCTTGAAATTGTTCTAAATTAGCAACGCCTTCCTTAAAAAAAATTAAAAAAGAAACTAGAAAAATAAGAGAAGAGAAAATAAAGACTCCAGAAAGGCACATATTACACTTGCTGTCACAAATTTTAAAATATTTCTCTACATAAACTATTACCTTTTTACACCAGTACCGTTTACATAATAACATACCTACTCATTGTAAAAAGTATTTTTGATACCCAATTAAAAATTTGTCTCGTAAAATAATTACATATCGATACTTGCAAAATGCATATCCTCGTTCGGTACAATATTTAAAAATTTTAGACCTTGTTTTATTTCTTAAACAAAATCATCCATATATCTTTAAAATTTTCTGCAAACGTCTATGAATGAGTGAAAAATGTCAAGAAAATACGTCAGTTCGTTTTTCAGCGGAGATTTGCACTGTCACAGTTGGAAAAGAGCATTTTTCGACTTCAATCATAGATATATCTTGGTTCGAAAAGTTCACTCAACTCGTAAATAGATAGTATTTTAGGAAATGATGTAAAAAACTGAGCTGAAGACATCGTTCAAGAATTTTTTCAAATGCAACGTACACTGTTCAAATTTTAACTCCTGGATGCAACTATTCGAACTCCAGGGATGTCCGTGTTGCATACGCACGAAAGTGAAGGAGTTTTGATCGTCCAGGCCCTCATCGCTTCACCCGCAGCGCGGCGCCAACGGCGGGCTTGCTTTATTACGAGGAAAAGATATCTCTTAGGGGCGAATAATCGCATACAGGTGTAGGGTATGAGTATCTTCTGTGCTTCAGTTTTGATCTAGCGATTTGTTGAGGATGATTTATATAGAGCAACTTGTCGTGCCCAAGAAACGTCTTTGAAAAAGGAGAATTGAAGGCACTCTGTTAAGATCCTAGCAGTAAAGTCGAGCAATGAGACGAGCCTCTCAGAGAGGTTGGACATGAAATTTTCGACTTAAACTGCAAATTTAGATATTATTTTCTTCTTATCATAAATTGGATTGCATTTTGCAAAAAGGAACCACTAGCATTGCAATGTTGCTAAGATTGTGCAACTTCTTTTGTCTTGGAGGAAAAACCCGATTATCCATTCATAGTTTCTATTTTACTCGCTAAAAACTGTAAATTTAAGACAAAAATTACCATCTAAATTTCATAGTTTTTCACGATTTCCGCAATTTTATTGCAAAAGATGAAGTTGCACAATCTCAGCAGCATTGCAATGCTAGTGGTTCCTTTTTGCAAAATGCAATACAATTATTGTATGGGGTACTTCTTGAAGGAAATTTTACTAGAAATTCAACGAAACCACCTCTAAAACCTCGACGTTCCGTATAAACATCGCTATGAGCTTTTAATTTCATCACATTCGTCCGACTCTGCGCATCGCCTAGCGCCACTGAGCGCCGCTGATCGGTACGGCGATCAGTGTCTGCAAAACGCCTTCAATACCGTGCGTATGCAACACGCACATCCGTGGAGCTCGAATAGTTGCATCCACGCTTTATGATGAAATTCGCTTTGTGACGTGCAAGTGCGAAATTCTCCACGTATAATTCCGATGAATCGTGCGGAATTTGGGACAAAAACGACGTCCATTTATCTTCCGAGATGCAATTGCGGAACTATAGCGCATTAAAGTCTGGTAAATATATCCCGGTGAATATTAAATGTTTTGCTCTTTCTCTCCTGAACGGTTGGGCTGCGTCTAGTACAGGAATAACTATTTTCATTCGCTTTTCTAGGGTAAAGTAAATTCATCTCTTAGCCCTTTGTAACTTTGATAATTTTTCCACGATTTTGCAACCTCGCGCTCTCTCCGGCACTCGCGCGCGTGGGACCGACGCGAAGCTGCAGGGAGGGGGGGGGGATACGAAAAAGTCGAATTTTACATCGGCGATGAGTTGATCTCTAAGCGATGATGGTCGGTCGGAAGCGGCGCCTTCATTTCTGCCGGAATCGTGCGAATGTGGAGAAGCTACTTATTAAGTCATTTCTAGGCAATTGAAATTGAACGAAGCGCGATTATGAAATTCGCCGTGCATCTGAAACATGACCTAAGTACCCCCACCGCTCCGCCAGGCGGTCTCCTTCCCCTCTCCCCCCCTCGCTCTCCGACAACACAACGCATCCCGCGGCACTGCTCGCGCCATCAGTTTCCGTCCTTTGCGTAGCGCGAAAATCGGTGAAACCAGTAAACGCGGCCGTAAATATTGATTTTCGGCAATGTTTTTCCGTTTGGATCGGACTCGGAACTCACCTTGACTCGCGAGGAAAACTGCAATGACTTGTTGTGTTCGGCGGTCTCCTCGTTTCAGTGCAATTTCGTTCGTCGATGTTGGCAAGGCGCCTTTTCTCCTCGGATCTTGCTCACTTGTAAAAGGATCAAGATAGCAGTTAGGTTAAGGTGTTGTTTTGGTCGCAATTATGCCGAATTCGAAGGCGGTTTTCCTATGATAAGTGCGGTGAAGTTATGTCTTTATGGGCAACGGTCTTGCTCATAATGATTTCCGCGCACGGATGTGTCCATATCCATAGTCACGGGAGTCATGCCGTCAATGGAACCGATACGATGGTCGGCATCAGAAGTTCATGGGAGTCTGTGTTCACGTCCAACGGTAAGCTTCCGATCAACTCCTCTCAATCGTCAGATATCGTTATAAATATGATCTCAGATTTATCATGACTTCGCTGCAGTGGCCTTCACCAAGTTCGTTCACACTGCTACTACCGCGATTTCCCTGATTTCGTCACGTTTCTGCCATAAAAGGGGTTGTAGACAGAACTGTAGGCCGTCCTGTCAATTTTCATCATTGGCCCCATTTCTTCTCTCACCATGTCTCATTTTACTGTTAATTATTGTGCGAAAGAAGATGCTTCCTACTGTTAAGAATTAAAGTACTGAATGTGTCATCATATAGGTTAAAGGATCCAGTACAGAGACTACTGGTCATCCTTCGGTACTCCTGAATGGCTTGTTCAGCACTTCCACCCCACTCAGTTCCTCTTGGATGCATTTCTTTCTGAATAGTTTGAGTAAACATAAATTTTCCTGATAATTTAACAATAATGGTTACTCCAATGCATATACAGCTAGTTTCCGTTGCCCCGGTCAAGCCGTAGGAGGGGTACCAGGTACCGCTACTGCCATACATGGTAGTTTTGTTTTTTTAAAAACCTGGAGTTCATTCATGGTCCAAAATAATCTAATGAAAAAAATAGATGCATTGAAGAGGGCAAAAAAAATTTTACAGGTCCAGTTGAAAAGTTTTTTCAAATACTTACTGTAATTTGGGAAGTCTCGGTGAATGTACCCTGATCAACTCCTAATTGAAATCTGTTTTCTAAGGTGTGAATCAATTCAAGTCCATCTTTCTGTTTGTTCATTTTTTTAATCCTGATTTCTCTATGATTTGTTTCAGTTTGGTTATACTCAACCATCAGTATTATTTCCATCAGTGTGGTTGGACTTCTTAGCGTTGCAGTTGTACCCCTATTGCAAAGAACATACTTTTCACACATTATCAATTTTTTGGTAGCGCTAGCAGTTGGCACACTCACAGGCGATGCACTTCTTCATCTCTTGCCACATGTAAGTTTATGTTATTCTGTCATGAACGTTCTTAAAAGGGCAAAATTTTCCCTTGTGAGCGTTTAACACCTCAAGTACCTACTGTGTGAATTTTTTTTTTTTTTTTTTTTTTTTTTTTTTCAATATCAACAAACCATCCATTTATGATAGAAATGAGTTCACTATGCAATGAGTGAAAGATCCATTCAACAGATCAGTTTTCTTTAAACTTGAAAAGGGGGAAAATGTGAAGGCAGAAGACATTCTGTATGTTTTGTGTAAAATTCAGTGTTTATTTATTCTATGAACACACAACTTTTTGTTTCACAAGAAAACGATGAAATGCATTATTTTTTGGGAGGGAAACTTCTAAGCCTGTTACTTTGTGCAAAAGTTACTGTGGAATGTGTTTTTCCATGCGAAAAAAATAGTGAAGTGCTTTCTTTTATGCCAAGAAAGTAGTTAAGCGCACAGTCTTAGAACTGGGGAAAGAAAAGATTTGACGAAAGTCGCATCAATTATCAGTCGGCCCATTAGTTAGAACATAAATTTCTATTAAATGCTGCCATTTTCTGATGTGACATTTGTCGAATCTTTTCTTTCCCCAGTTCTATGTGGTCAGGGGTGTTTAGACAGCCTCAAAAAATGTTAAGGCAGAACTTTCTACACCCTTGTATTGAGCAATGCTAAAGTGTGGAGGATGTCAAATTTTTAGATGTCACTTTTTGTGGCAGTCATTAAATATCCCTGAAACAAATTCCAGAAACTCTCTGTATTATATCCTTAATTTTGGCCATTACTTCACATAACTTCCTATTTTGAGTAGTTGAAAGTGTGTCTACATGCTAAATGCAACTTTAATCTCTTGATGTTAATCGAGCTAACAGTTTTAAATATCCAAGATGTGCCTCATTGCTAATCATATCAGCCTGTGGTTTGATCATTCAACATCTCAGGTGTGGCAAGGAGGTGTGGTTTGATAACAGTAGTATAAACACTTGAGACAATTGACTGCCTCAAGTTTGTGTTCCTGGGTTTCAACTGAGTGATTGTTTACATTTAAGAGAGGAGTGGAATCAATTGTTTCAAGTTTTGAAGATGGAAAAGAACACCAGAAATGGAAAAGTAGTCGAGATGTTTTGAGAGGTTTATAGGTGTTTTATCAAGTTTGGAGAGTTTTTAACATTTTATGCCAAATTCGATCATCAACTTATGAGCCTTATATACTTAACTGAAGAAAATTATATACACCAATCTTGAATAAGAAATAGTAAATGGAAATGCATTACATATTCCTGGACAATTTAGCTCTATTTTCAAAGTAGATGAACCTTCATTCTTAAAAATCTAATTTCGAGCTTCTTTATTCTATCAAAGATCCATAATGATAATACGCACAAAATGAAGAATTGTAAAAAATTTACTATGGTAAAAATCATTGTTTCTCCCCCAAGACATAATAATTATTCAAACATTTTCCTGCAAACTCAAAAATGAAGTCAGTAGGAACTAAGCCGAATAGACTTGAACTCAGATAGACTGAAAGGGGCTGAAAGTTTGAAGCCCCCTTCCCCCTACCCTATGACCCAAATTTGTGCCAATTTTTTTTATCTCTTAGGATTTTTAATCCAAGGACAGCCCCCACTTCAAAACAATTTCTGAGTTTCCTTTTGCTTGGACTGTTTTTGATTTGTCTGAAATTGCCGAAATCCATTGGCGGATCCAACAAGTTGGTAATACTGTTTTCTCTCCATTTAAACCTGTGTTGAATAATTGATTCTTGCTGAAGCACCCAGCCTCTCTAAGAATCGATTCATTTTCGTATGTTTAAATGGAGAGGAAACTGTATTCCCCAGTTGCTAAAGCCGCCAATGCTAAAATCTGCTGTTAATTTTTTTCTTTTAGGTAGGTGTGAAAATTATAGACCAATCAACCATAATTTTTTCCAATAAGCAATTGCTATGGGTAAAAGGGGAGGGGGAATACTTGAAAAAGAATTAAGACAACATAGGCACTCAGCATTGTGGATTTGAAAGTAAAAATTTGCCATTTTCACACACCAACTCAACCCATAACAGTTCTGCTGGCCAGTTTCTAAAAAAGCAAACTGTGCACAGGACTCAGTGTAACTCAGCTAAAATGGAAGTACATGATTAGTCTATCATATGGCTTGATTTCTTTTTTGTACCTGTATTAAGTTCGATAATCATCAAGCAAAGGGCATCTTCTTTAGAAATGGACGACTAATCTATCATTCGATGAAGGTACCAACAAAAAACTGAGTGACACAACAGACCAATCCAGCTCCATTTCAGCTCAGTTGTATTGCACGCCATTGATTACAGCAAAATTTCAACAATCTGTCGGTAGCTTTGACAATCAGCAGTAATCCTAATAATAAAAGAAGACCCAGGCAATTTTATTTTCTGATTTCATCTTCTTTTTTTATTTTTTTGTTTTCAACTCCTTCAGCTTTATGCAAGTACATGTCAGACTTTTTAATGGCAACTGCTTTGTCTGTTTTTAGGCGCTGATGTCACCACACCGCTGTGATGCAACTGACACCAGTCATACTCTACCAGTTCTTCGCGCCACCACAACATTCTTAGTTCTTTTCTTGTTTTTCCTCTTGGAAACAATTTTCCATAGGATTAAATTTGCTGTAAGTAACTTTTTTTCTACCAGCTTCCCACTTCCTAGTAAAATTATCCAAATAAAAATATCCTTTATTTACATCACCGCAAAGATTTTCGAAATTCTATTTCAATGATAATAATATGTAATGCTTTTGCCAAGCAAGCCAGACATCTTGAAGCAGAATAACCTGACTGTAGTGAACTACTCTGCGAAGATTGACTTAAAACAGTCGGAGCGTACAAAAAGAGCTGTTATTGACGAATCAGTTCATTAGTCAGGCCGATTCTGGATGAAGCTGTCCAACTGTTTTTATTCTATTGTTTAGCAAATTCATTGAATAGCAGTATTAGTTACACTGAAATTTCTCTTTACCTAGTTATGCAAGTATCATTTATTACATCCCCATGAGTACTGATTTTATTTTTCTGAAATTTTTTCGAAAGGTTTGCATAAAATTGTGAGTCTTCAAGCAAATGATGCTTTTCAGAAGAGAAGAATATTAAGTTTAAAGTTTATGCCGATTATTTACCTACCTGTAATATTATGATTTATTTTTTTTCCCTTCACAGAAAACAAAGAAGCGCACTGTTCTAGAAAAGCATGAAGCAAGTTTAGACGAGCGAGGAGCATATGCTTGTGTAGGTGCAAATAACATTCATGAAACCGGTGAGTTCAAAAACCCTATGTAAATGCACCCGCAACTAAGTCATACTTTTAACCAGATTCAGTCTAACTACATCGGATGCTGTCTAATTTCCTCTTCTGTTTTATTTTTAAACAGAAAACTAAGTAACATTCTAACTATCTAGCATTCCTAACATTTTAATTTTGTGAGTTTGTCCCTTATAATCAAGGGCTGCCAAAAATATGAAGCAAGTGATACCCCACCCTCAAGTGGCAAGTGGAAATTGAACAATGGAAACCTCTCTTTTTTTGTTAAGAGAGAAAAGTAGTTGAAGCTTAGTAGAAAAATTTTGAGAGAAAAGTAGGCGAACTAATTTTGTGGTGAAATTTTGTGAGTTTTAGAATTGTGAAGTGAGGAAATTTTTAGACTGAGACTGCCACTAATTTTTGCTCCAAAGGACTCTTTGCATCCCTGTAATTTACCATTTGTGCTCCGAAAAAATATTTATAGAATATTATTTGTAACTGTTTTTTTTTTTTTTTTTAATTTCAAGCACTTAGATAACTATAAGTAATAATAAATAACACTGAAAACTTGGCTTTCATAGCTCAGTGAAGTTATTGGCCTAATATCCGTACTCTCATGATAGTTACAAGTATATTTCTCTGGCCTTGTGGAGTAGGGTCTTGATGCAGACAACATAGTACCTCCTGCAATCGAACCTCTATTATCCAGACTTCAAGTTAACCGGTTCAATTAGGCCGAGTTTTATCTGCATAAGTTTGTATCATTAAGTTGCTTTTTCCATCAATGGACCTTTTAACAAGGTACAAATTCAAGCATTATGATTTTTGTCTTCCCATCAAAATTTCATATAGAGCTTGATTCGTGCAACAAAAATTGTAAAAGGGAACTCTTAATGGAGATATTAAGATTTTTCAATGCATAAATTCAAATTTACTGCTCACCAAAAACCCGTAATTATTTGAGTTAGATTGCACATTAAACATGTCTGTAACAGTCTCCAGGGTATAAAATTATGACACTCTTAATCTGGAGGCTTCGTCAGCTCAGCTGTTGGACGTTGTCAATACCTTGATCAAGCACTGCTCGATGAAGAGGCCTGCCAAAACTGTTGTGGTGCAGGATTTGCTTAATGTAGACTCTAATTCTTCTTGTGAGCGGAAAATTCAAATGTTTTGCAACCGTTACTAATTGAAAAAGTCTGAGTTAACTCTTGTTGCGTGATTTGTGTTCTAAGTGAAATTTTGGAGCGGAAACATGTATCAGAATGCTTGAATTTGTATCGTGTCTAATGGTCCCTTGTCCTGCCTGTGTACAAAGAAGGTCTGCAGTGAAGGAAAGTATCACCTAATGGTGGAAAAAGATGAAAAATTGTATTTACATCGCGAATGTCCCATTGGTCTATCAAGACCAGGTCCAATTCCAATGACTTTTGAAGGAAAACGCAGCTTGAACCTGATTGAATATGTTAGAATTGGAATCATTTTGACCATCTGGTGTGGCTGACTACCACATTAGGCTGATGATCAATCGTCTACTTTCAGTTAAAACTCATCTGATAACCTTGTAGTTGTCCTCAACTCGTTTTTTCATGTTGTCGTATTATATCACTCAAATAACTCTTTTCTCCAGAAACAACAGAATTAGATATGGGCTCTTTAGAACACAGAGGCCACTGTCATGCAGTGAACATGCCTTCAAATAATTCTGTCAGTTCCGTCGCTTGGATGGTGATAATGGGGGATGGAATTCACAATCTCACAGATGGACTTGCCATCGGAGCAGCATTCAGCTCCGATCCTATCGCAGGTTTTGCCACCACATTAGCTGTCTTCACTCATGAGTTGCCGCATGAGTTAGGTAAGATTTATAACCGTCATGTCTAACTGTCCAGTGACTGAACTTGATTGTTTTCAGACATATCAGGGGCCATGTCATTACATTTAACCATGACTGCATTCCCTTTTAGTAGGCGTCCAAGTAAAAATATAACCGTCATTACGATGGGAAATATTGGAAGATTTTCCCCAAGTGGCAGCCTCAACGTGCAAGAACACCTAATATTTTATTAAGATTGATAGAATTATCAGAGTGTCTAGTCATTTAAAACTGGAAAAACCGAAAAATATCAGGAAATTCTTAAGGATTCATGAGGAGAAAATCAGAAAAATCAGTAATAGATCAGGCAATTGTTAGTGCAACAAGTATTTTTCAACCACTGCAATTCAGCATATGTGAGAGTGAAATACTCGATTCAATACATAAAATGTTGGTTTGTAAAATCAAAAAAGGGTCAATTTTTTTGCCCAAAAAATTAGAAAAACTCCCGTCAAAATATCAGAATAATCCAAAATGAAGTTTAAGTAGACAACCTGATTCCTGTGTTTCTTGAACGCAGATCAAAGATGTAGTGTATCATAGACAGGCAGAGTTCATAGTATCTTAAAAAGTCTTAGTCCAGCGCTTTTGAATTTTGATTTTGAATTCTTCAGTCTTTGAATATCTATCATTTTGAAAACGTAGCATACTTGCACTGAAAAGTCTCTAAACTTAATTCATTTTTAGTTTTTGTGGACAACCATTCAGGAGAACAATGGGCCTGTTGCAAGCTTCAGCCAGAGCCAAAAGAAGATTTGTTTTCCATAGAAAATGGCTCAAAAATTACGATGAACGCATTAGAGAAGTCTGAAATATACTCCTAACTCCACAAACTGTGTAAGAAATATCCATTTTTTGAAGCTTCCAACTTCGAAAACGACACTATGATCGACGTAAACGTTTTGCAAGAGGAATCGTCCCAGCCAACTTTTGTGCACTAGGATGCTACTTAATACTCAACATGGCTGACACCAATTGTGCAAATCCTGAGGAAGCACCATAGTCTCTATCAACGCAAGGAAAATGTAAATATTAACATGCTGGTTGGTAAAATCCTGTCCTCTCATGTGTGTTTTAGCGGGTTGGCATTGGTAACATTGAATATTGGGTAGCATCTTAGTGCACAAAAGTTGGATGGGACGATTCCTCTCACAAAACGTTTACGTGGATCATAGTGTCGTATTCAAAGTCGGAAGCTTCATAAAATGCATATCGACGGTGAAACTACCAAACCACGTATCTCGGTTTGCGACGTCGCAGACTTCCTGTCATACTTTATTTTTTATATGAAAAACTACTCAACGTTCAGTCTTGAAAATTTCTGTGATTTTTCCTCTTGGCGAGAAGAAAATTCTGTGAAAATTTCAAGGAATGATATTGATTTGGTCTACTTCAAAAAAATAAAATGCGAGCGTAGATTTTTAAACACCGCAAACGAGATACGTGGTTTGGTAGTTTCACCGTCGATATTTCTTACACAGTATGTGCGCAAAGGTTGGATGGAAGGATTCCTCCTATGAATTACTCAACACCTGTGCTGTAGTTTCGTTTCTGAAGCGGAAAGCTTAAGGAAACGCATATCTCTTACGCAGATTGTGAAGTTAGGAGTGTATTTCAGATATCGCTCATTGTGATTTTGGAGCCACTTTCTATAAGAATCAAATCCTCTTTTTGCTCCAGCTGAAGTTTGCAACCTCTCAAATATTTACTCTGTCTTTTCAAGAATAATTTTATGTCTTTGATCATCTACTTATTTTTATCTAAACACCTTAGCTTAATATTGGTTGCATCACAAATATCAGATACATACATTATCTTTTACCTGTTTTCTAAGCTTTTATTTTATGTTGGCAGGTGATTTTGCTGTGTTAATTCAGTCTGGCTTGGGAGTTCGTCAGGCACTTATGTATAATATTTTTTCATCGGTGCTAAGTTTTGTTGGAATGGTCATAGGTGTCCTCTTAGGTGACTTTGAAGCTGCTGTCCTTTGGATCTATGCAGCCACTGCAGGAACTTTCCTATACATAGCTCTTGTAGATCTTGTAAGTAGCCTCTTTCTTTAAAATAATAAACCGACCATACATGGGTGCTAAAAATGTAGGATCACTGATTTTTTGGCAAGATAGTGAATAATTGGAAATTCTTGACTTTGTTTTGAAACTTTCAAGCATGTTTTTCAAATATCAATTCATTTTGAGAATTTTTATTGAATGGTGGTAATTTTCCTTTATCGTGAGATACAGTTAAACTTTTATCTATCTGCAACCGGCTGATATCATCAGTTGTACGCGGTCCTGTTTTTTTGTTTATAAGAACAATGCAAAAAATCTTTGCCTACATCAGAACCGCATGCATTGTAACCCACTTTTTCTGTGACAAATTTTCTAATGTAAACAGGATTGTCTTCAATACTCTATACAGTGTCTCAAAACTTAGAATGTTTTATTGTCAACATTTATTCAAAAAATTTAATGGGAAAACTATTCCGTCATGGGTACCACACAAATCAGCTGGCACACCATTTCTTGACAAAGAATTCATCAAGCCGCTAGGTAGATTGGAGAAGGAATCTCAAAAGAAAACAGATAAATGAAGTGGACAAGTTGTTTCAATACATGATACTTTTACACTTTTTGGAGAAAATCTGTCACAGTGGAATTTTGATAAGTTAAAAATTGGGGTTAGTTTGATTTTTTCTCTAGTCCTTTCAATTTTGCCACGCACTTAATTTAACTAGACTCAAAAGAAGTCAGAATCACGGTTTAAGTGTGAGAGGGAAATTTGCACATTTGAGACTTATTTTTTTGCTCTGGTCATCAAGTATTTTCACGTTGAGTCGGACAAAAATAATGTTGAGTTACCAACAACGCTTCTCTAACATAAGGGAAATGTTTAGTAAAATTTTGAAGTGAAAACATATCAATTCGTACTTTGTCTAATGGTCCATTAAAAATGAAAGCAGAACAAGCTATGTATAAATGAAAAGCTTTTTTGTGTTCCATGTTTTCGTAAAATGTCTGATTCAAGATTTCTTGTTTTGCAGGTACCTGAAATGACGAAATGTTCGGAAAATTCTATGATGTCTGTAGTGACACAGATCATAGGTATTTTAACTGGTGGGGGTATTATGTGCCTCATTGCCCTGTATGAAGATGATCTTCGGCATTTTTTTTACCGGTCTGAATGAATATATTAATAGCTCGGGTTCTATGACAGAAAGTAGCATTTATTGATTTTCAGATTTCCTTATTTTTAATATTTTAAGTATTTTTGTACTTCACATGCGAATCAACTCTTATGATTACTTTATTTTTCTTATAGTTTATACTACTATTATTTTTACAATTAATTTATTTTTATCCAACTTTTCCTCACTTTTTTGTACTGAATACAGGGTGTCCCTGGGTTAAAGTAAAAAATTTTGCCACGCTCTATTTAAAGTCAAAATGAACCTTCTTGTCCCCTCAGCAAGTGATCTGAGAATTAAATCTTTGCATCATAGGGTTGCGAGTTTTTAAACCAATAGGGATTCGCTTAAAGTTGTTCACTAGTTATTTTTGAGACTTATCTTAAATACGTGAATTTCTTAAATGGCCATGCCAAAGCATTGAGGCTTGAAACTTTGGGACTTTTCTAGTGCTCTTTCAGGATCTGCTTTCAAAATGATGTTATTCCTGGAGAAATCAACATTTTACAGGCAAAGAAGGGTGACAATTCTTCAAAATATTTGTTTAATATTTTGTAGTATAATTTTAAAAGCAGCACCAAAAGCTATAAATTAGCACTCATGATAGTCAAAGATTTAGGTGAAATTTTCCATCTATTTTCCAAATGATGTAAGCGCGATAATTTTTTTTACCATTCCTTATTCCCTCTGTGAGAGCCTGAGAGGGTTTTTATCGGACAATTTTTTGAATCGCATTTTCTTGATTCTGAATTGTTGTCCATAGAGTTTCCTATTTTCTGGAATACGATAATTCACAGCAGTTTGAATAATACAGTTTCTCTCTAAATTTTGTTTGGTGCTTACATCATCGGAAAAAAAATTGGCCCAACTGAGAAAAAAATTTTTTTCAAAAGTCCAGTAAGCTTTGATTTTATGACTGGTGCTTATCAGACAAAAAAGTCTCATTTTGACTCAGAGAACTACCCTCAAGTTTTTCACCTTAAACGTGGGACATCCTGTGTAATTAATTTAAATTTGGTCACATCCTAAAATTGGAAAGTGCCATTTTTGAATTGTATGTATGCTGCTTGAGCATTCGTCAATTGATAATTTGTCTCCTCCTGAAGTTTGCTTATTGTTAATTCATCCCCTATATTGGGAAAATAAGGACTTTATACCCCCAAACCCTCTGAGTTTGCAGCTCTTACATCGAAGATAATCAGAAATTTTGATAACTATCCTCGCCACCCTCAATTCTTCCTCTCAGGTCATTCCTTTTATGAAATGCTCTGTTTGCAGAAGTTAAGGATTATATTTAATGATTGCAGCATCAAAGCCACACTCTTCATCAAGAGATGGGGTGAAAATACAGGCTGGTGATTCCTGTTGTGCATTTCCAATTTAGTCCTTTAAAAAAAGTTGTGATCCCTCCAAAAGCATTGTTCCACTTTCTTTTTTTATACAAGTTCAGACAATTCTGAAATTCCACATTTAACTGTCAGGCAGAGCGATTTGCGTGTCTGACCACCACTGTTTACTTACAGAGTTGGCAGGTTTTTATAATATATAATGATAATGAAATTTCTCATCAAAAAGTCAGCACCCTTTGTGTTTTAGACTGTCATGGGAATGGAGAATGGAGTCATGGCCCTATGGCTGCCATCAATTTGAATGTTGTACTTTAGATTGATGCACAATCTCTCAATGTTTTCCTCCATCCCCATTTAATCTTTATTTTAATTTTGATATTGAATCTGTTCTGAAATCAAACCTAAAAGTCAAATTTTTAGTTAAGATCTAATTTTATAATTGATGCACAATTTTTCATTTTTCTCATTTTAATCATTATTTAATCCAGTTTTAAAATCCAGACTAAACAGTCAGATTTTTAGTATGGTGTCATATCTATTTGTATTTGGTATTTTAAAATTAGAAAGCAAGTGTACCCAGGTGCATTTTTTCCCAGAGAAAAAGGAGAAAAACTCCTCCCCCAAAATCATTCATTGATCAAGCATTCAGCATTTATTAACATCATTGCTTTTGGTGATTTATTTATGATTTTGATGGATTGTCTTCCAAAATTTTAGTCAGTGAATTCAAACAAGCTTTTCATAAATGCATAGCAGATATACAGGAACTTTGTGCAGCACATTAAAAAAATTTTAATCTCTACTAATAATCATTTTTCTGTCCTTATCGTCCCAGTTTTTCGCTCTCTTCCGTTTTTCCAATATCTTGGGAGAATTGAAAGGGTCAAAGCTAAGAAGGGCCTAATTAAATTGCAACAATATAAAGTTTAGCTTAACAACTGATTTATTTTTTCAAAAACTGTTGCTAATTTCCATTAAAATGTCCGTATGGGTTTATTTTGAAAAGTGGCAAAAATTGCCCAAAATTTTCTTTTATGAATCTAGAAAGAATTTATCAGGTGATACTTTGCAACTTTCAAATGCAATTAAGTCTTTCTGGCACAGACTTCTTCAATTATGAGTACCCCACCAATGACCTCTTAATCCTGTTTGTTACTGCCTCATCAAAAGATCCTGATATAAGTAAAAGACTTCACTCGGAGCGTTTCCCCTCAAAGAAGTGGGAGATTAAGCAATACAGGGTGTACATTCTTTAGTATATAAACTCCTTGCTTTTCTTTCCACAAAAATTTTACTCGTTGGGATTAGCAGATCAAAGACTAAAATTAATTTAAATGAACTTTTTAGTTTTTAGCTCATAATTTATTGTATGGAACAATTAGATTTTGTTAGGACCAGGGCTGATTTTGTCAAAAATACATTTTGTGTGAAGGAAGAAATCTGATCAAACGGATACTTTAATCAGATAACTTTCCTGTGTAAATAAAGGTCTGTAGATGTAACAAGGAAAATTGTACAAATATTTGTAATATAATGCCACATTTTGAGTAATACTTACCGTCTAATTTCTGATCTTCAAAACTCACCTTGTCTGTGAGGATTTGTTTTTTTTATTATGTTCTACTTCTCGCCATCAGTGTGCTATTCTTGTCTGTGTCAGAGCAAGAATAGATAATTTGCAATATTTTTTTTTAAATTGTAAATATTGATTTTGTAAATTAATCAATGAAGTGACTAATAAACCATCATTCTTTGTTAAACCTGTAGTTGAGCTCATTACATTACATGTAATCGATTGGTAAATACGGAAAATGTGTAATTCAGTTTCAATGTTTAAAAATCTCAAATGGTTTTTCATTTTTCTCACAAAACGAAGCAAAATACTTCTTCGCCATTTTTTCCAATTCTTTAAAACAAGTGAAAGAAGATTCAAACAAAATTTCAATAAAAACTCTTCGACAGTTTTCCTTCTAAAGAATGATCAATGAATGAAGATTTAGAATGTCGTAGTCTGAGATAATTTTTTTTTATTTCAGCCATCGTTATGCTATTGTGGGATCAATATGTACTTCTCTGTGAAATTGAAATTTGTTTTCTTGACCCCTACCGAGGAATGGAAGTCCTCGAATTCAAACTCACCAAAAATATATTATTTGTAAACTGAAATTCCTCGGCTAAAAATTTAAATTCACAAGTATCTACACCCTGCCAAACTTGGAACAAGGGGAGATAAAAAGTTAAAATTTGGAGAGAATCAAAATCTTGAGTGTCAAAATAGTTATGAGCTCCAAACCCTTAAACTCATCTGCAGTGGTTTGTGCAAAAACATGCTGTGTACAATATTTTTTTTGTCAAAATTGGACTGCATTTTGCAATAAGGAGCTACAATTTCTGGCCCATGGATAAAAACATCTATCTACATGGGGAAAATAATGGCACATATGCTCCTCCTAAAATGATCCAAAAATTGAAGTTCCTAATTGCAAAATGCACTCCAATGCACGTTGCCTAATTTTATTTCATGTGTTGTTTTATTGAGGGAGAACTGAAATACTTAATGCCTTTACACATCCTGTGAATACTCTAGATTAAAGAGATTCTACTCTCAAAATTTCAAAATTCAGTGTTGCTTAGTTTTTTTGGTAAAAGAACGGTTAGGATTTTGAGTGAAGCTGATCCATCATTCTGTTAAGTTTCCAGTCTTGGGCCCATATTTTGATGGTGAAACCTAAGGAAACTCTGTATTTTTATTGCAGCATTCAAGATTCACTGCAGTTTGCCACAAAAATAAAACAATAGGTTTCCTTGAAAGGACTAGGCACATAATATTAAGAAATTCGGCGCTGGCTAAATTACCATATTATTTGATACAATGCTCCATACAGTCTTCTGGGCACGATGAGCTTATAAAGTCGACTTTCTACGTACCAATGCATAGAAAAGCAGGGCTGAGAAGTGAATTTTTCGACCTCCTTTGACGTTTTCAAGTGGAGGAGTGGGACAGATGCTGAGTGCAAGGACACCGCACGGTTCGGTGTTGGCATCCAGAGGAATTCGGTTCATTTTTCTATCTTATTTTCCTGGCTTGTGAAGGAACAAAAAGCTCCCTGTTACCAGTAAGATGTTGCAACATTTTTGCCAGATATTGAGAGTAAAAATGTGGGAAAACCAATTTTTCAGCCCCCATTTCCTTGAGACGGGCACAAAAAAAGTTGGATTTTAAAATCTCATTGTGCTCCAAAGGCTCCAAGAAACGGCATGCCAAATAATACCTATCTATTCAGCCCGCTTTCAATTTTTAAAATTATGCGCTTAGTCCTTTTTAAAGATTGTTTCCAGACAGGTGAACAACGACCATGCCAAATTTTGAATTCAAAAATAGTTATTTTTCTTACATAAACAATAAATGATTAAAATAAGATGTGAAGTTTGCAACATTGCATACCAAGAAATGGATTTTCTAGTTTCACAACACCACAATTGCTCTCAAAGTAAAATCTTTCTTAAAGAAAACACTCTAAAATAATCAGATGCATTTTCTAATTGAATATGTAGTATTTTTTTCTTTCGAAATTGACAGAATGCAAAGTTAACTGTGAGAAAATCCAGCAAAAGTCTGAGGAAAGGAGAGATAAAACTAATTAAGAGCAGTAAATAGGTAACAACTTTAATTCAAGCAAAATGCAAAAAATAAATACCTAAGTAGGTATAAAGTAAAAGAATTGATGAAATGAAAAGAGAAATGGTACAAGAGGTTTGATAATCGAAAAAAAAAAGTAAAAAAACATTCATCTGATACGATACTATGACGTACAAAGTATGATTGTACAAAAAGTGCACTATCACAAAACAAGACAAATCAATCTACAAAAATAAATTTGTACTGCTAATTTTTCGGTGCATAGCTAAAAACGGGCTTCTAATTCGATAATTTAAATTTGCTTGTTTTGTGAGAAAGACAAAACTATTTTATTTACACAGGATTGAAAAAGCATTTAAGACTTTAGTGGATACAAGTGTACACATGGAGGGGTGAAACTTTACACCGAAAGGCTACTGAAACATCCAAGAATACCTGAATATTAGAAACTAAATGGAGAGCCTACTGTGAAACACTGAACACTTTTACATTACCTAGACCAGTTCTGCTGAAAGTTACGTCTTCATGATGAAACAGATCAAAATAACTACTTGAAAAATAAAGTGTTATTATAAGAATCGAAAAAAAATAGATAAAAACAAGGCTGGGCACCTGTTGGAGGAAGAATTCTTGACATAAGAAAATTCATTTGTGATTATGATTATTTTTTTTTTTTTTTTCCGATACGTTTTTGAGAAAATTATAATGATTAGAAACTTGATCAACCAAGAAAGCTTTAATAAATACAGGATTCAGAATCTTACAAAGTTAGAATCTGATATGTAAACCTGATAAAAATAAGAATACTGCTGGCCAACAAAGAAAGGTTATTCTAAGTGAAAAAAAAAATAATCAGGGCTAGAACAAATTTTACACTTTAGTACACATGTAAATAAATATGACAACATAATAAAAACTAAATTTCCTAAGTTCAAGATTTATCTTCTCCGAACTTGGGCAACAAAAAAAATTCTCATGAGACCACTTTGTAATACTGATATCAGTGATATCACAACTCGGTGATTTCAAGTAGATAGGAAATATTCCTTGAACTCGTTGGCATATCTGCATTCATCTCGGAGAAGACTGAGAAATCCTCCATTTTTTTTAACTCTTCTCTTCTAAGTTAAAAAGAATAAAGTAAATAATAAGTTAAGATATTCTAATTTTGGGGACCAATGAGTGAAAAGTCATTAGCAAATAACGTTTGACTAGATAGTGCTGCTAGTTGTTTGGCTGTAATGCATTTGAAATCGATATAGTGAGATGACTTTACGGTAGAGTCATGTCTGTGTATTAAAGAATCACCAAAAAAAATATGAATCAATGGGTAGCATTACATACGAAAGGTGATTTTTGACTTTTTTACAACAGCAAAAAGGAGTCTCATCCTTTCTTAAATTTAGGAACAGAAACAAAAAATAACAATTAAAAAGTCAAAGCGTGAAAGAATGGGAAAATATGGAATGGGGAAGTTTCGTATTCTCTTAAAAATAATATCAGGAAACGGGTAAGGGTTGCATAGTTTTCAAAACATACTAATGAAGGTAATAAGTAAACGATTAACAGGAGGGACAGCAAATAACTTTCACCACTTGAGGTGAAAATTCTTATTACAGTCTCATTCTTACATTCTACTTCTCTAATTCTCAGAGGGTACTTCCTGGATGCATATCTACTGGACAACATGAAATAAACACTCTCCTTTCCTGAGCAATCATGTAGTTTTCCTAGCTTTGGATGGCTATATATGGTAGTGAAGAAGACTCATTTTCAAAGATAAAAGTATGGCTCTTATAACCTGCAGTCAAAAAAATTGAAGTAAAAAATTGACTGATTTACCGATATGACTGCCCAGAAGCAGCACAGCTTTCTGCAGAAATTCAGTTCATTTTGTAACAGGATGGAAAGATCGGCAGCAAAGGTTAAAATCTTGATTTTAGAGAGATATAAAGAGTGTCTGTTTACTGCCTGAGGTTGCCTGAAAAAGCCTAGGTTGATAAAACTACCCATGACTTGGAGCTTAGACCGAAGATAATATGAGTTTAAAACGGTAATTTTTGATGAAATTATAGATCGCGATGAGCTTTTAAGTAATACTTAATTCTACATAGGATCTTGGTGTAAGGCACCCGATAATATGGTTTGAACAATATAACAAAATAAGTTTTAACAATATATTGGTGAAATCTGGCGCAAAAGTAGAACATATTTTAGACAATGCGCTTTTTGGAGGTCAGATCAACGGCGAGAGTGTTAAAAGGCGTTACACAAAATGCTCTGCAAATCACTCAATTTGAAAACCAAGAATATACCAGACACTCTTTATATCAAAGAGTTAACACTCGAAATACATGCATTGAATTTTTGCTCCACTTCAATTTTCTGTGAAGAGAGAACAGTAAACTCCCAATTATCCAAACACTGTATTATCTGAAATGATTTGGCGAGTGCACACAGCTGAATCTAGGAGCTGATAGACTGCGTTGGGTGGAACATCTGATAGTACAAAGGCCAAGTATTGAAGCATGTAAGGCAGCACTAGTGATTTAATCAGTCCATCCCATTTGATTTTTAATAAAAATAGCAAAAGCAGAGTGATAGAGAGGGGGGGGGGGAGGATGGCTTACAATCTATGCAGTGTAGGTCATACCAAATACTTGGTATTGGTGTTCTAGCCATTGATCATGGCCAAGATCGGACTAGCCCCAATTAGCTCGGATAATCAGGAGTCCACTGTATTACTTTAGTGCTTGAACTTTCCATAGAATTTTCTTTTTAAAAAAGTATAAAAAATCATGAACATTTTCAAGAAATACTGTAGCTTAATTTTACACTTAATAAATCAAATATGCTGAGGAGGTATGATGTTGCAAAGGGGATTCAAAGTTTCAAAGCCTGCCTGACCTTACTTTCGGTATGGAATTAGTCAGTCAAGTAGACATTAAGAATATCAAATTGGCAAAAGTTACCCTTTACTGTTTTCTTCTTTCTTTCCTGCAAATACCTGACTTTTGATCCCTTGAAAACGTATTCTCTAATAACAGAGAGAAGTAAAAAATAAAGAAAAAGTTAGCTACAAGAGTTGATTGAGGTTGACGATCTCGGACAACTGAGTTCATTTGTTCCTAGTTTAAAGGAAAAGAAGACGTAACCTTCTAAAATCATAGAATTCCCCTCTGAAAAAATCAATTTAAGGAATGTTAAAATTATAATCAAAGGTGATTTAACTAATAATACAGATTCAGGTTGGGTTTCTGAAATTAATTTATTAGATGAGAGGATTCAAGATGCATGTAGGATGGCCTCATCCCTACAAATTATTTTCATTGGTTCACAAACAAATAAATGCAATGATAACGAAAGGAATGATTAATGCTTTTTTCACCACTTAGAAAAAACGCCAGAGCCGAAACAGGAGATGAATTGAAAACCATGATGTAACTACTGGGGTCAGTCATTCCGATGTACAAAAATGAGATCACTTTGAGCATGATGTTAAGAAAAATAGCGGGAAAAATACTTTCACAACTTACAGTGCCTTTCTCTAGAAAGTTCGAATTTTTTCCAAATACTGTTTCCTAAGCTCGGCTGATCCCATTTTGATTGACCACTTTGCATCATCAACCCGATGGACTGGGCTGTGGAATCTGTGAAATGACTAACCTCAGTGCTTGGACCATGCTTAAAACATTAACATTCAACATTGACCATCACTTAACGTGATACACCATGGTATGGTGATTGGCAAGAAAGGAGCTGTTACTCTCGACAAACAAAAAGATAGAAAGTTTGTTCCAAATAAGTACATATGAAAAAATAAAATTCCTGACAAAGTATGAAGTACAGAAAATAAAAAAAATCCCCTGTCAAAAGATAAATTTCCTCCAACAAACAGAACGAGTTTCACCTTTAGAGACATTCAATATTAATTAAGATAACCAATAAAACTACGAACAGCATGGGGAATATAAAAAAAATTTGAATTGATTTTCTTTCTGTGATCTTTCATAACATTACCAACGATAAGAAACGATAGCTCAGACGAATAATACATGCCATGAGAACAACCGAATGTTGCCAAATTTCCTTCAATGCAACATTTATTTTCAAGCGAAGTGATGCATATTTTTCTTTGATATTTTCAGATAACTATTTTAGATTTTACATTTAAAGTAATAATCTCAGAAAAATTGAAAGAAAAATCATCAAAATTTTTTAAAAAAATTTGTTTTATCAAAGAAAATTTTGTAACACCGAAGGTTGCTGCATTCTTCTGTAGAACGGCAGTATGGCAGAACGAATGATTAGACTCAGTTATGGCTGCAATTACCATCGTACCAGATATTTTAACATTTTAAAAAATCCTAACATTTTGTTATTTTTTCGAACAGACAAATTATTCGCCCTCAAATTCCCATCCATGATGAAAAGATGAGGCATTTCTTTGAATGGATTAAGATGTCTGATATCTCTCTGCTCTTTCCGAATTTGTGTCATCTTCATTTGGAAGAAGGACAGTTCCTAGTAATAAATAGTTTCTAGACCACATATCTGAGCAAATTGACAGGCAAAAAGATAAGAATGAAAGAGAAGAAAAAATATGGTACATACTTAAATTCAACACATATTGCGTGTATACAGTAGAAAAAAAAAACATAAATGCAAACATGAGGATATTTCACCCGATTATTTGCTTCAATTATACTAATTATTGTCCTGAGGATCTGAATTTTAAATTTTTTTGTTGGTTCTCTTTGACTTGACTTACAAAAATCCTCTTATTTTTAAGTACATCCAAAGACCAAAGGATACAGTGCCAACTAAATTGAATCAAAAGCTAATTAAAAATATACATAAAACCTTTAGACAGATGTTCTTGCTTTAGCTTTGTAACAATGACCGTCTACAGAGTTCAATTCTTTAACCATGAAAATTTGACTCATGGCACAAGGAAACTCACTTGCTTCTGAATTCTTGAGACAAAAGCAGCTACGTTTCCAATGAATAAATAGTTTTGGGGCTAGACTGAAAAATGATAGCTTTTGATTTGATAGGCACATTTAAAGATAGACAATAGCATTATAGTAATTTCAGCAAATTAACTGGAAAGAAATTTACACCGATTAATGTGCGCCCTGACATATGACTAACACTTAACTTTTAATAAGGAGCCAGGAATGTTAAAGACACTAGCACCTAAGGAACTGAAAAAGAGAGAGCAGTTTTTGAGAAAAGTTCTTCCGAAACATAGTTCAAAAAAAAGAGGAGGGGGTTAATGCAAATGGCAGTAACTACCCATTCAGAAATTGTCATTTAAGAATAATTCATTTGAAGGGGGGAAAACATTGTTATTGAAAGAGAAGAGGGAGGGACAAATTAAGGGGGGGGGGGATTATGAATGATATTGCCACTTGCAACACACTCCAATTTTGATGATTTAAAAAAAAAAAAAAAAAACTTGCATTTTTCATTGCTTTTGGTACCTAAAATGAACGGAGTATTAATCCAATTAAGGGGGGACCAAAAAGAACACCTTAAAATCAAAGAACCACACAAAACTGATGCTACATTATCTGTGATAGGTACTATGTACATAGAGTGAGTGTAACGACAAGTGGATTTTTGGGGAAGTTTCTTTAATTCCAGCCAAAGCCAATTTAGTTGAGAGGCAACAATGCTGACTGAATTTTTTCAATGGAATGTACAGCAGAACTTTAAAATGATTCAATGGAATATGAAATGCTTTCTTGATTAGATGTCTTAAGCTTTTTCCAACATTTTGTTTGAATATAAGTCAACGGTAATTTTCCTTCTAAGGGATACAGATCATTTAAAATTTTCCAAATTTATCAGCGATGTTCACACATTCAAGGAATTTCTTTCTTTCAGACACCCTGTGTGTTCCAAATAAAAAAATAAGATGCTTCCTCACTGATGTCTTGAAAAAACATATCAACTTAGGATCCATCCAAACACATACCTATCATTAAAAGTAGGTTTCAAAAAAGGCATCGATATTAAAAAAAAATTTGAACAAATTTGCAACTCCTGCCAAAATAGAGATCTACAACACAGTAAGGGTCCTCAACGATTTGTTGGCAAAACTGGAAAATAATGTGCTGCGTAGACAAATGAAAAATGTTCAGCTCCGAGAGCAAATCATATTACTATTTCAGGAAAAATGGGTTTTAATAATTTCACTATTTAAGGCTCTTGACGAGGATAGAAAGAGCTTTCAAAACAAAGAACTTGCAGGCAGGGGAAAAAATGTTTAATCTACAGCAGAGAGCTGTCACCAGAAAATAAGTCTCTCATAAATCTTATGGCTGACACACACACATCAAACAAAAAATATGCTGACTTGGATGAGACAGGGCTGTGACCTGGAAAAAAAATACAGGTTTACAGTCCCTTGTTTCTTTGTGCTTGTGTGCAATACAGTCTTTAAGGACATAAATTTGATTTAACGACCTTCCATGCTCAACATAATACGATCATACTGCTTCACCCTATCAGGAATACTTGCTTGCTCTAACACAGGTAAAATTTCATTAAGTTCAGCTAAAGAATTAACAAAGACTATTTTTTTACTAAATTTAGAACTAATAAAAGGTTTGGTCATGAGAACAATTGTTTTAAGCCAAAACGTAGGATGAACTAGGTACAGATTTTTAAGATTTTTGCGTAGTCTACGATCAATCATTTGGTAGCATCGTTTAAGCCAACCAAACTTGGGCATGCAGTCTCTCGCAGTGGCACCATGCAAGTAAATGAGGACATAATCCTCCGTCACGAGCTGATCCAAGGTTTTAAGAACATAAAAGAATAAATTATCCATGACATAGTTGTAGTCCGCTCGACTACGGTGGGGTAAAAAACACGCACTGAAAACAATCATGGCATTATGAGATCCGACAGTCATGTAGCCACCGTGCGATAGAACTCGTTTATATGGTTCAATTACTTTCATATCGATTTGACGATCAACGCCACCTACTGTGCAATACTGCCAACTTCTAGATTCCTCCAATTCCTCTTTCGCAGACAACTCTGGAATTGGCTCGGGCTTATCAAATACTGAAGTATCCAATTGCTCCAGAATTGAGTCTTCTATATCATCGGGGGAATCTAAGCCTGGACTAAGAAACTGATCATCAAAGTCATCATCACTTAAATCACTATCTAGACTAATATCATCCATTATTCCTGTCTTCATGGGCTCAGGAATGATCTTGCGCCGACCAGACGAAACAACAGCAGGAGGTGGTTTTTCTCTTTTTAACCTGACATCTTGACAATCAGGTGATAGAACAGCCTGGTACATGGAGTGATCATCATCTTCGCTAAAACCCGTGCCGCCACCAGAGTCAATTTCTTGTGGCATGGGCACGCCTGATGCTTCAAAGTTTTGCCGAAGCTCTTGAGGGCTGTTAGGAAAATCCACAGGCTCAACTTTATAAGTTTCTACAGAGGGTAACTCAAGGTCTAAATCTTTCAAGTCTAGCGGCTCAGCTGTTTCTGACAATGGATGTTCTAGTGCAGTTTCATACTTGAGACTGGAAAGATTATACTTGTGAACTGACGACATGTTTTGAGGAGTGTGAAACACGATACCTGTTTTTGGACCTTCTGTGTTATTGAAAGTTTTGCCGCTGTCAGGAATCTCATTGGAAAGATAAGACTTGTCTTCAGCAAACACAGGTTTAACTTCGTTCTCCAGGAGCAGCTCTTTGTCGACAGGCAATGGCTTCCTTCCATTCTGTAATTGAGGGTCAACATCCGAAGTCTCCTTGGTTTCCACTTCACAGTGCTCAATTTTTACGGCCTCCATAGCTAACTTTACAGATCATGCCTGCTGTAAACTCTGCAAAATCGAGCAAGCAAATAATTTAGAAATGAAAATTAGTAATGTTGCTAACCTTGATTATAATATTATATTTTAGAAGAGGATGTAGCTGACTTAAGACTATTTTCATGCCCTTGCAGGAGATTGTTTCCTTGAAAACTAAGAACAACAGCAAACTAGGGCATAGAATAAAGAGACTAACGTCAACAGAAGCGAAAGCCCCCGCCATTTTCATGTCAACGAAGCATACCGAAAGGAGGCTGTTTCAATAAGTACTGTTTACGTTTGCGGTAGGTCGACGTTTTGGAGAGGCGAATAATAACGGATACATACGTTTTAAGGGATTGAAAGAGTTTTCTTTTAACTTATTTATCGTTAAACCGAAGAAGTACTGTAAATTCGCTTAAAATTTAATGTTTTTTTCCACTTTTATATTTGTAGGTAACCTCGAAATTGGTTTCAATCTGCGCAGAAAAATGTTAACATTGGTTCTTACGGAGCTTTCGCTTCTGTTGACGTAGTCTATTTATTCTATGACTAGGGACAAGTAGCAGTTAGTTTCAATCAGTTGTGGTTAAACTTTCAGAAGATGGTTTCGAGGAGAATTTTGAATTTTTTGGGGGAGGCATAGCTACAACACTTCAATAACTAGCTCCTGGAATGAACCACTTGACAAGATGTAGCCCTGTGGTTGCTACAGCACATGTCTTCTTTGACAACATCATCCTCTTAACATTTTTAGTCAATAACTTCGGACGAATCAGAAACATACCTACATACAAAATCTCCTAACATGAGGTTTCTAAAGCACATGGACTTCTATTGTTTAGATGCATTTACTTAATGGTGTACAAATTTTGCAAAAATATTAATGACAAGTTGAAAATGACAGAACATTCGATTTTCCAATGAACTTCCCTGAAGATTTTCTTTGAGTCTGCCCATGTTAGACGATCGGCTCAAAATTGATCTGACGGTAAACTGAAATATAAATGCAATGGAATACCCAAAGGATTGGGTTTCATAGAGGACCTGGGGTTAAGCATCAGGGGAATCTCACGCTCTCTCCTCTTTCATATGCATGTATTGGCACTATCTCAGAAGTATCGACTAAAAAACCTCTAAACCTATCTTAGATATCAGATCAAAGTTTACACCAAAACCATTATAGCATGTGAGAACTAAAACAATGCAGATTGCTGTTGAAGAAATGTTTGTAGTACATGGGCACTAAATCAGATCTAATCTTATTGATGGTGGAACAATTTCAGAACCAGAGCTCGTCCGAGAATCGCAGATTCTTTTGGGGCAAGATGAAAGACTGAATGAGTTATTTCAATTTGATCTGCAGTAAGAGGCCAGTAGGCCAAGGAGGAACTTCTTGACTATTACAATTTATTAAAAATGCAGGTAACCCAAATGTGTGATTCTAATCCCTGCTCGAACTCTGAACTTTAAGTCGGTTGTACAATGACTGAGATCAATTAAGCAGAGTAAACCAAGAGTTGGAATGTAAAACGAACGTTGAATAAAGAGTTTCAAATATAAATGTGATATATTACCATTCCAAGCCGACTATCAGCTTTTCGGTTTTCGGTCGCCACTGATAAGAAAATGTGGTGATGATCCCTAACAGTGACACTAGTGGTGAAAACTTCAAAGTTCAGCACGTAATAAGTCGAGATTTTAAGTTCGGTTTTCCGAACGATAAAGCACGAATTATAGATTTAGTCGCACAGGATTGGTAAAAACTAATGCAGATCGAATGAGTACTTAAAAATGCGGAAATTGTGACGCGAGGACTTGGGGAAGAATCACGAATTGGTGGACGAAACTTTCTGAACCGAATCTATCAAAGCTCGCCGAAAGAGCGCAGCACTGATTGATGATAGAATAAAGGAGCGGAGTTCAATCGTCGACATCGGCAGAAGTCGAATTCGAAAAAAGGGCAGTCGTCGACTCGAAGCGAACGGGTCGAATGGTTCCGCGAACTGCCGCGAATGTCATGAACATTCGCCGGGGCGAGTTCGGACGAGTTTGTTATTGTTTCTCATTAAACTAACCCCTTTTGACTTTGAGGACATTAGTAATAGTAATAGTACATCTACCTATTTAATAGTCAAGAATGTCTAATATTTTTCACTGAATAAATTTTCGCATGTCGTCGGATAAATTATTTTTTTGGCAGTGTGTCTGTTTAGTATGTAGTAATTTCTTGCCTAGCCACTGCTGTTCATTGTCGGAACGGTGGGAAGTTAATCGAAGCTGTTCAATCCGGAAGTGTTTTTGAGTCAGTTTAAATTAACTAATTAATTTATTTTTCAGTCTGAGCCCTAACTGAGTGGACATTCTACGACTTTCGCGTAGGTAGGTGGAAAAATCCACTTTTTGAGGAAAAAGTAGTCTTTCAGCAGTTCATAGATTATCTCCACTCGCTACCACGCCAAAGGAGCATATCATTGCGTCTGATCATTGAAGGTTTCTTGAGAACCAAGTTGATAAAAATGCAGATGAAACTGTAGCTTTTCTTGTTCTTGAAAAACTTTAATGGCAGATTTTCTTATACAGCGAGGGAAACGTCTCTGCTCCATGGTCATAGTCGCCATGACTGAAGATTTCTTCGATGGTAAAGTTCCTTATCACCTTTAATACGCTTTAATATCACAGGTCTTTACATCTACCTCATTGCAAGTTGCTTTCAAGCCTCTACTTTGACAACTTTATTCTTGACGTGGAAGCCAACGTTTTGTTACCCACAGGAGTTACTTGGAAATAAATACATTCATGTAGGATACCTAGAATTTACTACCGACACAGTTTCCTTTGCTTCAATCTGCTTTTGCGCAGTTCCTCATACTGTAACGTGACAAGACTGAGTCATAGAAGGGTGCCTCGGCTCCCTACTAAAGAGAGACAGGGTGCTGAAAACACGAACACAAAAAGATAAGAGGATGAAACACTAAGTATACTTGACTGCAAAAGTGAAAGAGCCGGCTGAGGCCCAGCCTCAAAGAAGTACAACTGGAACTTCTCACACTAGTCCTAATCGGAACATTTTAATTCAAACATGGAAAAAGTTATGACATAGGTACCTATCGAGCATTCTTTTTGCACATCGCGGTAGGACATGATACTTTCAAAGACGAGAAAAATCAAGTTTATTTTCCATGAAATTAAAAAAAAATTAGGCATTTTCACCGCGACTTGTTTCTGAAAACACAGAAATGAGACATTGATTTTTACACGCAACTTCATAAGAGTTTTTCACTTTCATTGAAGAAATTTGAAGTTCATTTTATAAATCCTTCCATTTTAAGGGGATGCATAATGAAGGTGACATCACTTAACCACAATCCTATCTGCAGTTGCATCATTTCAGATGTTCTTAAATTTTTTACTATTTTGAAGCATAACGGATCAGTACATGAAGAAAAATTGCATGTAATGCACCGATTCTGAGATGCTATCAATCCATATTCCTTGCACAATGGAAATTTTTCTAGGTTCACCATTGATGTGTATGTCTAATCATAGTAAAAGATAAAAATAAATAAAAAAAGCCACTTAGCGCCCCAGCTGGGTCTTATTAGAAAAGATATTAAAAAAACTTAAATTCCCTCCAAGTATCAGAATGGAAAAATCCTGAAGACCTCTCTCTTCAAATCATGGTGCAAAATTAAGAGGAGAACGTTTCTCCAAAGTTCATTTTCAATTAAGTCTATTATTGGACATAGCCTTTCTCTTATGAAGAAAAGGAAGACATTAATACGCTAGGCTTTTATTGCTCATCAGTCGAGGTCAAATTAAAAATCGAGACCTGTTTACTTAGGTATCTACTTTAAGGGTCAGAAACGAAGCATAAATTTAGTTTAATTTACAACCATTGATGGAATTTCCTGATCCATTATGGCTCTCGTTCTGCTAAGAGAGCTACTTAAACTTAGAGGTCTTTAGTGTCGTCCACGGCGAAGACAAGCAGCCTATACATAATGCTCCATTGGCAACAAACGATAAAATGAACAGTATAATATAATGCACAATGGTGAACTAGGTTCGATTGGTTCGGTGCGTTCGGGCATCGACGTATGACCGTTCGCGAATCGACCTCTGACCGTTCGCCACGAATCGACCATTGCCGATGTCGACCTTTGCTACTCGTTCGAATAAAGCTACCTATGGTATGACCTATGGTGCCAAACATTCAATTTAAATGCTGATATTTAATACCATAAGTTAAAAATTCAGTTTCCTGTGTTAATCATATAAATTTGATTTCAAAATTCGTCCAAAATTTCGCTTTTGCTGCAAGGTCTACATAAAATCTACTGACTGACGCGGATTTTGCAGATTTTTAATTTTTAACTACTTGACAACAGGGGCAAAATTTATCAGCTGATGTGTTGATTATCTACCTACCCTAACCTGAAAATTTTCACAAACAAACAAATACACTAGTTGTCGCTTTTCAGAACGCAGATTAACACATTAATACCGTGAAAATTTTGAGTGAAGTTGAAATTTAGCTCGTGGACTCTTGTGAATCTTACTTACTGTTCATAGTACCCAGTGCTTGGCTCCTCATAATTGAAGGCAGTTTTCATGGTTCCAACAATTGTAGACAAGCATGATTGACAATCCTTTCGTAAGTGATGAGGAAAGACAAACAGATGCATCCAAATTAAGAGATAAAAATTGTTCTAATTTCAATTATAACGATGTAGCCGTCAAATTACTTAATGATAAGTTACTCTTAACCGCTCTTGAACTGCATTTCGAACTCCTGGAAAATGGACGAGAGGTGCCGAAACTGAGAGATTTCTTTTCCAATCCTGGAAATTTCGAGCAATCTCCCAGAACAGAGCAAATTTTTCCTATTGGTAAGTATACATCTATTTCCTCCAAAGTAAGTCTCAAGTCTTCACTATAGTCTCTCATAATTCAAGTCGATACTAATACATTTCAGAATTCAACAATCAAAAACTAAGGGGCTCAGTCGCTAGGCGGAAGGAGAAATAGGTCCTGATGGATTTTTAAATTTTCAAGAAGAGTAGTGATAACAAACTGAGCGGAATTCATTGACTTTTTATCGCTGACATTGGTAATAAAAGTTGTAACTAATAGTATAACTTAAAAATGTTGGGATTGTTACAAAAAAGAGAATCAAGAAAAGGTGATTCAATGACCAGAGGATTATGACTATCAGTCAGAACAACATGTGATACACGGCACTGATCAGCTCCTTGTTTTCATTTTACTGTCATTCTTATTGAGTTTTAAGATAAAACTTCTGTCGCTACATGATTAAAGAATTTGCTCCCTGAAGGATCCTGTTCACTCCTTATGGAGATGTGTGCCAAGTTTGGTTTCAAATTTTTTTATTGCATCCGTGGATACTGATCCAAAGTCATCTTTGCGCCAACTTTCTACAAGGCACCATTTTTGCACAATTTGCAGTTGAAGTTTTGAAAATTACGTGAATAAGTCAGGACAGCTTAGCAATGAAGAGTCGGAAGATCCTTCTACCTTTCAGCACCTACTGAATGTTTAGGTACATTGTGATCAGGAGCCACTACTGCGCTGAGCAGTCTTATCTTGGATTCCGCACACCTTTTCATTTCTCCATCGAAATCAGATTTCTTTCTCTCTCCCTTTCTTTTCCTTAACTCTCACTGGCTGGGCTGTTCCTTGCTAAATTACTGCGCTGCCTTCATCTATTCAAGGAAACATTGAAACTTCAACTGCGGGTTGTGTAGAAACAGTGTCTAGTCGAAAGTTGGTGCAATGATGACCTCTGATCAGCGTCCATAGACGAGTTTAAAGCAATAGAAAAGTTTGAAATGGATTGTGTTTGATACTAGTATCAAATGTGATATTTTTCCTTCAAAAAAACCCTGCCTTTATCACAGTAAATTTTTTCATCAAATTTGGTGTGTTAATTTTTTAGTTTTGTGACAACAAAAATTCTATGAGATTGACAGTTACCTAACTGGAAAAATGGAGCTAATTGATGCAATAGGTACATTGCATGGCGTTCTGACTCAAAATCCTGTGGCTATCAAAACATATTAAGCAAGAAAAGAGTCAAGGTTCATTTCCGATTGCCGAAAAGATTTAGGAACCTATATTTTCTTCCTACCATCTATTTACCTTTGGTAAGCCTCCTGCCTTAAATAGAAGAAGAAACATTTGTGAAAATATTTTTAATGAAATCATTATCATTTTGTTCTTATTAGAGGTTATTACCTATAATTATGCAATAGGATGAAGCAGGCTTCGTACAGCACAGTGGTGAAAACACTGAAATAGTTATTTTTCACTATAAAATAGATCTCATCTTTTTTCAATTTATTCTGCTTCCAGTTCGATCGTCTAGCCAAGCTACCCTTGACTCTTTGGATTTGACCAGGTTCTCCGAAGATGGAGAACGAGGCGTGGCTGACCGTGTTGCAGTTCTTGAATTTGAACTCCGCAAAGCTCATGAGACCATAAATGGCCTACGAAACAACTTAACTGTCGCAACAGGTCAGATATTTCTCTCTGTTTTTCTTTGTAGGTATTCATGTTCAAATTGTGATACGACGTATCTCTGAAATCAAGGGCTCTGACTTACTGAAGCGATCATGTATCAGAGGTCACCATCCATTTGCTCCAATATTATTGCTTAAAATGCATGGGAAGTGGTCTGCAATGACGAATTGAAAAACCGCAGCTTTATGTGGGAAAAATATCTCCACACAGAGTTACAACCTGCCCGGGAGAGAAGGAATAGTGCAGCATCTCATTGCAAGCAAGAGAGTAAAGATAATGGAAAATTTCCTTGCTATCAGATATCTTATAAAGAAACAATGGATTTAATTTAAAACAAAGGAATAAAGATGTATGATTCGTTGCAGAACAGTCTGAGAGGAGTACCATCATTGACTTTTGGCTCTACTGCTACTGCGGATAACTTGAATCTCCGGAGGTAGAGTGTTGCGTAAAAACCGGGTGGAATGTGAATCTCAAAATCTTTGGGTTTTTACCTAGATCTTCCAGATTTAGTATTTTGAAATAACTTATCATTATTAATGGTGCATCAGGTTACATGCAAGCTGTGAGAGTAGTTAGCTTGAATATACCAACCACTTTCTTGCGCCAATATGATGTTGCTGAAACTTCCTCAAAGGCAAGTTTCCTGACTTTTCTTCTCTGATAGTGGAATATTCTGTATAAATTTCAAGCTATAAAGCTGACTTGTGTCTCTTTAAAGAAATAAACAAGGAGTGGGAATTGTGAAGCACCGCAATGGAGATTCGTGGTATTGCACTTTAGCCATCGATATGAAGGTTTGTGCTCATTTTCTACAAATAAACTGATGGCTGTTTTAATTGAATCATATTTTTAGGTGTGTTTTGGTCAGAGACTCCAAGAGTTGATGTAATGTCAGAACACTTTTTCAACTCAGATATTATGTAAAACAGTATTCGTGCGACCAGGTTCTGAAGTAATTTTTGCCACTTCTTTTTTGATCTTGAGAATGCTGCGTAGCTTTTCCATTGTACATATAAAGTATTTGTCCAGCATTTTCAAATTTTATTTATTTTCCCTGCAGAGTGTGAAACACCAACCCATGATCAAGGTGACCCGTCCAAAGATAACTGGTGTGAGCCCATCAAGCCTCATGAACAGAGGGCGCTGAATTTTTTAGTCAACGAATACCTCTTAACTCATGGGTACAAATTGACGTCCATTACATTTTCTGATGAAAATGACAACCAGGTAGGTGAAATCTTTGTAAGGAAATACTATGCATACTATTTTAGTTTTTATTAAATGTCAAAATTGATTGTTATGTGGTTGGATAGTTATTCTAATTTTTGAAAGGTATGCGGAACATTTTGCCAAAAGGTTTGTTATGATACGCTCTTCATCATCTGGAATGAAAGTTTTTGCAGCTATGTCGCTTGTAAAATAAGTGTCTCAGTGATCTCTTTTAAACAGCTCACTAATTTTGCATCAAAATTTTAGGAGTCTGTTGTCCGTAAAGACTATTTTAGAGGCCAACAACAATTTTGCAGTAGTTATAGTGATTTTTGACAACAAAACTGGAACTTCTGCAAAAACCAATGGACATCCCACATCGCTTTTGTGTTTCCTTTTGCAAGGATCCCTATTTTTATTTTTAGGTGCATTTTTTGCATGGTGTCCATTAAATTAAGAATATAAATTTTGACACATAATCATTTTAATGATTACCAACAAAATCTGTAATGCACTCTCTTCGGTATTTTATTTATTTTGTCCTGAGAGCTGTTTAGCAGTAACGGCAGATTGCACTTTGGCTCTATAATACCCAGGGTTGTATCTCTGATAGCATTTTAATGCTGGCTAGGGTTTTTCGCCACTGAAACGCTGTATATGCCGTGGGGCTCCCTACCTTTGTCCCGTTCTCATGGGAGTTTCCCTGTTTATTTCCGTTCACACAGAGGTTCCTCCATTTCATGCAACCGATACATGACTAGGCTGGTAGCATGTTAAGGAAGTTTCTGTACCCTAGTAATCCAATGCGCCTGCCTGAGCTCTCTCATTCTTGCACCGAAACTCATTGAAGTTCATTTTGTAAATCTAATTTAATTTCTGGTACCTCTTTTACTTACATTATTCAGGCCACATTCTAGTGTTTTCTTATTTAAATCTGGAATAAAATTTGTGAAACAAACAAAAATAATGAAAGTTAGGTTTGAAGAGTATCTTGCCTGTTCATCTAATGCTTGTAGTTTTTTACCTTTATCCTTTGCTCCTTTGCTGTTGATAAACAATTGAAATGAACAAAGCCTAAATTATATAACTCTACTAGAGCTCTATCACCCAAAATTGAACAATTATGTTATGAGAATGGAAAATGAGGTATTAACACAGAATTTTCTTTTTTTTCTTTTCAAAGGACTTTGAGGACTGGGACGATGTAGGTTTAAACATTCCGAAACTTCCAGCCCTCCTTCAATTATTTCGTGACGTTCTACGGTTAGGACCAGGCGCTTACAAGTCAGCATGCCTGTGCGATATTGCATGTCAAACAGACCAAGAAGAAGAAGACCATCCACAATGCACATCAAGTGAGGAAGGATCTATAATCAATTCTCTGAGTAAGCAGGCTTCAAGTGTCATCGAACTTAAAAACGATGTATTGGAACTGGAAAGGCTGCGGGATGGTGCAACTAGTGAACCTGCAGAGCCGGATGAAATAGAAATTTTGAAAAGTAGAATAGCTGAGCTCGAAAAACAGAATGTAGATCTTGAAAATGAGTTGAAAAAAGTCACGCAAATTGAGCCTGTCAATTCGCACTTTGCCAACAGCGAACATAGTACGTCGCCGGAGAAATTTGAAGTCATAGAAAACAGCAGGCAAGAAGAAATGAAGAAACCAGAATTTTCTCAGGAAAAGTAAGTTCTCCTCTAACTTAATCTGCTCTCTAAAATGTTATCTTTAGGAGTGAAACAATTGAACAAGCCAATTGGGCATTAAAAGTATTCATGTCATGTTATGAAGGTAACATTGGTGCAAAATTTAAAAATATTTTGACGAATTACAGCATGATTTTAATACGTTCAAAAAAACAAAAATATCCAAAAATCGGTTTTTTCGTGGTAATTCCTAAGCATCTAGAACTTGTCTCTATGGAAGTGTGACAAGCATTTCACCCTTTTATGTTGCCTCTAAAGATGGACAATTATGCGTTAAAAGTATTCATGTCATGTCATGAAGGTAACAGTTGTGCAAAAATTAAAAATATTTTGATGAATTTCAGTATAGTTTTAATACGCTCAAAAAAAAAAAATATCCAAAAATCGGTTTTTTCGTGGTAATTCCTAAGCATCTAGAACTTGTCTCTATGGAAGTGTGACAAGCATTTCACCCTTTTATGTTGCCTTTAAAGATAGACAAGTATGCATAATTCGTAACAAGATAGCACCAATCATCGCAACCCTGTCTATCACACTTAGTCACTCAAATTTTTAAACTGATGTGTGGTTGGTTATGTTAACTTGTCTCAAGCTTTTTTTCAGTTTTATACTATAACCTCCTAAAATTGAATGTTTTCAGAAGTGTGGGTGATCCTCCAAGCCTAAAAACTGAAGTAGATACTGGCGGCTCTGAAAGCAAAGATGACGGGTCAAGCTTAACGGATAATGATTGGACTCGTATTAATGATTCTGAGTTAGGCAGCACAGTTGGAAATTTACAATTCGAACCTGAAATTAGCGAGCTACTCTCTGAGTCTACAGATAATATAAGTAACAGGTAAATAATAATGAGAAAAGGGAGGAAAGTGATGTGAATGAATGATGATTGGCACTCTAATAATGACTGTGATAGCTGAAAGTTGGAATGCACACTTTAATAGAAATAGTTTGATGGAAGGGTCAATGAACAGAGGCAAAATCTGGAAAAGGAATCTTTTGAAAAATATGCATCCTCTGAAGCACAGTAATGAACCCTATGCTGTCTTTAAAACTTGCTTATCTACATAGATATCTTCTGCTTAATTATATCTGTTTGTGATGGGGTCTGCAGAAAGAAGCTCTTTATCAAAATGTTGAAAATTAGGTTTTTAGGATAATCATTCAGAGAAGATTATGATGGTAATATGAGTACAAGTTTTAAAAGAATACCTGAACTCGACAAAATAATAGAATTTCGAAAATTACCTGTCAAAGGTTCTCAAAAAAGTAGGATATCAAATAATTTATAAGACTTTTTTAATTTGATTAAAGCCAGCAAAAATCTTTTTGTTTTGATACGTACAGAAAATAGTTTTTATCCCTGTTTATTTAAATTCAATTAGTTAATATTCTTTCATTTCGACTTTCAGGCATCAATCAGCTGCATTCCAAAGAGAAGTTATATCCAAGTGTTTCATTAATGTCTCCAAATTACATGATGCACCTCCGATTCTCCAAGAATTACTGACAGAAGGGATCTCCTCTGACCGACTTGTTCACATCGTAACCGTAAGCATCCTCCGAATCATTCCAATTTTACCATCCACCAAAAGGGAAGAGATCATCCCTCTATTAATTAGTGCAATACACCTTCACCCAGAACCATCCGAACGTGAAGTATTACTTCAGTGTATTTTCAACCTTAAAAAACGACCCAACGAGGATGAACGTAAAACTATTCTTGCCGGTATCGTTTGTCTAGCACGTTGCTCGAACTCAGCTGTTGTTGAGGGCGAGTTATTGCCATTCTGCTGGGAGCAGCTGACGCACCGGTACACAGAGAGGCGGTTGCTTGTTGCTGAGGCATGCAGTGCTCTAGCGCCATACTTATCACCAACAATGCGGAATTCGTTGCTCCTCTCGATGCTTACGCAAATGCTTCAAGAGGACAAAGAGGAGCTCGTAAGGGCAAGTGTAGTTCGCAGTTTAGCTTTAGTCGTGTCTGTCCTACGGGATATGGACAAGTACTTACAGTGTGAACAGCTTGCTTTTCTAGCTCTGAAAGACCTCTCGCAAGATGTTATTGATGGAGCAACAACAATTCTGTTGCCTGTGCTGGCTAAGTGGGCTTTAGACACCAGTATCTTACAATCACACCTTATGACTAATTTATTAAAGCTTCTCGAGCAGCAAATCCAAACTAAAGACTTGGATTCTGGTACTGTTATCAATAAACTTTTGCCATCAGAGGTTTGCTGTCTCTCAATACTTTATGCAATACAAACATTGTTACCATACTTAGTAATTTTTGTAGCCTCTGCCCCCAAAGTTATAGAGGCCATTCGGCCAAACCTCCCTCTTGCGGAGTCAAGAGCAGGCTTTGCAGAATTGTGCCATGGCTTAACCAACCCAGCAACGTTTTATGAATGCGAAAATCAAAGCCTGGGAGTCATCATGTCTGCATTTGACTATTGTGTTTCGGAATTCAATTGGCCAGAGCTGGATTGGATATTAGCCGTCATGGTGCCAAAACTGCTAGACATGCTAGAGAATGTGAAAATAAGTCAATCAGATATTGTGAATGGTTTTATTTCGTTTTTCCGGTCGTTCACAGCAGGTCTCGGGAAAAATGTAGCGCTGAACAAGACAAAGCCTATTTTCAAGGAGCGAATCCAAAAATTGGAAGCAGCCCTTGTCAATGTGACCACAGACTGGCCGTCCATGACTGTGATACCGGTTTATATCTTAGCTGTTTTGATTCCACACAAGTCAGAAGCAGACGAAATTAAAAACATCCTTTCCAAGTTTTTAATCTCTTTACCTCTAGTGAACGCACCGTTAGATGTTCTATTCTTCACTGTAGCTCAGATGAGCCAAACAGCCTCTGCACAAGACCTTTTAATGAGCACGCTGTGGGAAGGAGTGATGCATCCACGGCAAGCAGTTCGTGCCGCTTCTGCTAAGTACTTTATGTGCGCACTGCCACATGTTTCGCAACCCTTAATTGTTACTAGATTGGTTCCTGCGTTAGTCACTCTGTCATCTGATCCGGAGACAACCGTCAAAATGACTGCAATCCCAACGCTAGGTGCTCTTCTAAATGTCTCAACCAAAAAAGAAATACAAGATAAGGTGTACTTCCAGTTGAAAAGTTTACTCGGTGAACCAGAACTCAAAGAAAATCACGCCATGTTACTACAGTTAATCACGACACTTGGACAAGTTGCTCCTCATTCAGAACAATGGTTCCGTGAGGAAGTCATTGTTCCCCACCTAGCAGATTTTACAGCTTATACTCTCCAACTTGCAAGTACAACCAAACGGAACGACTTGACTTTAGCATTAGTTGAAGCCTTTAATACAGTTGTTTATTGCTCACTTTCAAAGATTACTGTAGGATCAGTCTTACTACCCAGTTTAAGAAACTTGGATGCTTTGTGCAAAGATAGTTATCCAGTGCACCACGATAATGTATTACTAATGATTAAAGAAGCTGAGTCCCGATCAGATTCTAGCGGAAAAGCGGCAGAGCGGTCTCCATCGATCAGTTTATCCTCAGCCTCTACACATGTGGGTCAGGGAGTAGAAGAGATGAAACAGAAGGTATCAAAAATATTCAACTCGCCAATTGGGAAAACTTCAAACCTCTCTAATCTTCAAAACATTTTCAGAAAGAAATGAAGTATCTGCATTAATACATTTTAAGTAAATTTTAGAGAGGAAGGTGTTACTATTGCAAAACTAAGAAACACAGGCAGATTTCATATCAGCCATGGGTTTATTTTCTGCTGTGATATTTTTTGATTCTACAAAAATTGTCTCCGTTGAAAGTTCTTGTGCATTGCACATCCAGGATGTCAGAGAGACCGAAAACTCAGAAGTTCATTTGATGTGATGAAGCAGCTATTTTGCTCAGGAATTTATCATTGCAGCTATCATTATTCATCATGGCAGCCTCTCAGTCAATGTTTTAAACTTGTACACTACGATTCAGATGTTCTTTGTAGTTCGTGCTGAGTTGAGCAATTTAACGAGTTTTCAAAAAATCACTAGAAATTCATGAAATTACAAACACCAAAGTGACAGAATGTGTGATTATGAAAACTCTTTTGAGTTTTTATCACATGTTTCTAAGCTCAATGTCTTTAGAAGTTGACACACAGCCTTTTTTAGCCCTCTAGGTTGCCTCGTTTCAATCAGCACTAACTTCTCAACGAGCGCTTAGAAACAAGCTCTATTGCTAACTGCAACTTTATAAAAAGTTCCAGTCAGACCTATTCTCTTCAGTCCTCCAAAATAACGCTGCGGTTCTAATTTTTCCGATGACAATCAACAAAACTTAGGATGAATTTGTAAGTGTGTCCTAATTTCTGCGGTCAAAAAAGAACCAACAAAAAAGTAAAAATAAACAACCTGCTTTCTTCAAGTTTCTGGGGCATATACCTTTTTGTTTTACATGTAAATTCTGCTAAACATTCTGCTGACATGAATTTTCTTCTTCAGCATTAATCATTGAGCTTTTGCTTCACAATATGATCTTATTGGAGAAAGCTCTTGAATTGCTTCACTCATCACAAAGAGTTCCTGAATTAAAATTGAAAATTTAAAACCACTTTAATTTGTTAAGCTTTGATGGTTTGATCTGAGAATGATGTCTGTAGTTTACGATCTTGTAGTCTCTGTCAGAAAAAATAAGAACACAGTTGGCAAAAACTGACTTCTAGTGAATTTTTTAGTGCCTTATTTCATCAAAATCATAGGAAATAATTTTTATTCACACATCTGAAAGCTGGGAACATCTCTGTTTTGCTCAGTCTCCATGTCTTGACTTACATTGATGGAAAAGTCGCCAAAGGGCAAATCATATTTTTACCTTAAATTAAATTAATTCAATGCAGATGTTTATAAATATTATGCCCTTATCAATAATCAACTTTTTTGATGAATTATTTTCATTCTATCAGTTTGCTAGTTGTGCCACTGAGAAATGTACGTATGCGAACAAAAATACGGAATCTTTTCTACATAGGTTTAAAACAATATCAATGTTCTTGCATTCCTTAAGAAACCTTGCTATGTCCAACTTTATTGAAAAAGAGTTCCTTAAGAGAATGAATGTTCGCATTTATACATATTTCCCCTACTTTGCAACGAATGGTGGATACTTATTCCATAAAAAGTCAGCTGAGTAAAGTTTTTTGAAGCTTTTATTTTAGATGAACTGAGTTAAAAACTGGGATATGTTCCACTAGCAACCAATAGTTTAAGACTATACCCATCCTAATATATTTATTTTAGTAGTTTTTGATTTTTGGTTTTTTTTATCGCATCTTGTACAAATTTTTGTCAAAGACACTCTTACTTACTATCATCATTGATATATCTGGCATCTGTTGAAAAGTGAAGATTAATAAGCAATGAAGACAAGGTATGACTAATACCTCAATCATAATCCATTTTTTGTAAAATTTATTTTTCATTACTTACTGTTTTTTGTTTAACAAAAAGCGTATCACATTGAACATTGCAAATAAAAATTTCACTTTCATTAGTCTGTCTTCGGACAAATGCAAAAGCCAGACCATATTAATTGCATATGATTCGATGAATGTAAACTTTTTTTTTTTTTTTATATAAGCATGCGTTACTTAATGAATCTGAAGAGAACCTCATGGATCTGAAAAGTGGATTTGCAAATTAGTTTCTCCGATGTTAAGCTCTCTTAATCAAAAAACTAAGTCTAAATAAACTTAAATTTTATCTTTATTTTACAATTTTAAACATGTAAATTAAATGATAATACATAGATACAAAGTGAAAAAAGTCAAATTTTTAGTAAGGAGGAAGACACTTGAAACTTTCCAAATGGAAACTGGCCAAAATCTGGCACAGATAAAACCTGTAGCTAAACGTTACTGATGGAAAAGTAAGCATTTGCAGACTAATTTGAAGGAAATGAATTTTGCAACTCTTGTAGAACTTCACAAATTTTTTTTAATAAAGCATCATCATGTGTCGCCTTGCGTCTAAAAATTGGAAGGCTGGGCCATTGTGGAGCTTAGAAAAGTTGATGCACCCTGTCGACTTTTTCAAACTTGCAATTTACTACAAAGCAGGGGTAGTACTCTCAACACACCATTCAAGGTGCAGACCAAGAACGAAAAGATTCGAGAGCGGGACAGAGACTTGGAGCGAAACGGCATAGCACATGCAAAAATTTAATTTGGCTCCTAAGAATCGTTAATAGCTACTGAAAGTTGATTTTTCTGGTTAAGATGACTCCCAAAATCTTAAGGGGAGGGCAGAACACTATTCTCAGGCGCAGATTTGAAAGATTGAGTTTTATTTTTCGAATTGATTTATCTGGAAGTTAAACAGTAAGACCAGAAGATACCCAATCAGTGAGTAAAGCAGAAAAATTCAAATCTTTGGGCGCCAATATATCGGCAACTTCAAATTCTTATATGTATCGCTCAAAATGTTTGGTTGTTAATTAACTTATTTACTCAGCAAATTTTAAATGTCGAACTACACGCCTCTGAGGAACGTCCCTTCCGTTTCTACTGTTCTCAATCTACCTGTTAGATGGCTGTTTGCTTTTCTCCTTATTTTTTCTTTTTCTGCATCTCATTCTCCATGTACTTCTCGACTTCCAGTAACTCCAAGGCGCGCTGTTTTTTCCTGCCAATTGGAGTCTTAGCGTACCATTGCATAAATGCCTCCTCCTCTTCTTTATACACAGGTTCAAAGCGTGAGAGAACATTGATGATTTCTGCATGAGTTAGCGGTTGAATCCGTAGTTGTAGCACCCGCTTACATGTCATTACCTATGTTCCAAAAAACGTTTATTCTTGATATATATGTATCATTAAAGCACAGTGAACTAATTTAATGATTGATTTTGTGAGATTAAAGGTAATCCAATCAGTTACAATATGTGTGGAAGTATTAGGCTGAATGAAAGATTTTCTAGAGGAACATCAACCAGAAGACCATCAATTATGCTTTTTTGGATTTCTCCATTTGCATTTTGTATTTATTAATTAAATTTCTGGGCACAGGAAATGTCTCATGCAAAAATTAGGCTCAGCGAGCAATTTTTCATGTAATATTCATACCTGAATTGATGTTTGGTTTTATGGAGCTAAGTGCGCATCGTAGTTATTTAGTTATTGTGACCACGGAAAAAAGGAGAAAGAAATCTGATTATAAGTGCTCCACTGTACGGTAAATTTTGCATTTCATTGTTAAATCAACAAGCAAAATATCTTTACCCTCCCTCACTCTCCCTTTCCACTTCAGTCCCACATTCTGTATTGAGACCTGCATATAAAGCACCTGAGACCTTGTCTCCACGGATCATTTTCCTGAGATTTGAAGGGATCGCAGATCGCAGGGTTGAATCGCAAGAAAGAAACTTCAGCAATTTTTGCAGTTACTGTCTCTACAGGGTGGGGCGCTCACATTCCTGCAACTAGTTTGCATGGGGAGATAAGCAAATAAAAATCGAGTGTTCAAAAGATATTAATGGGCTTGGAGGACAAGGCGCATAAGTGCACTTTTTGCTATTTCGATAAATACGTTTTTGAAGTTTCAAAATTACATGGATGCTTATGGCGGAGAGAAAATTCAGTCTGACTTTTTGATGCTTAAAAATTGCGACTTGGGAGCGAATTTAAACAAAATATGCTTTAAAACTAGTTTTACTCGAAATCATTTATACCTCAATTTTATCAAAAACTGCACTTATGTGCCTTGTCCTCCAAGCCCCTCAATTGAGGTAATGATTGAAGACAATAATTAATGACTGAACAAATTGTTTGAATTAAACAAACAAGAACAATCGATTAAACAACAAAATTTCACACAATTTGCTTTCTTTTCTTCTTCCTTTCCTTGTTGATCTTGGAGCTCTATAAGGACTCTACTTGGTACTGCGATGAATATCAAGTCAATATTTTATGACACTTCATGAGTGCAACTTTTTGCTGTAACAAATTGCAAGAAAACGTCACGTGGAGACAAAGCCAACAAACTTTCTAAAAGTTTTTAGTGTAATTATTCAATTTATATCATGTTGGTTTTTATTGAGCCTGTTGTTTTGTTAAAGTATTTTCAATTTAGTTATTTATTAATCTATTTTAATCATAAATAAACTTTTATTTTTATAATTTGCTTCTTTTTTTATTCCAGCTTGCTGGGGTTAGAAGGGTTTGGTACCTCTTTAATAGCATTAATGATTGCGCCAACTGTGAATCCATCTGAAATTTTAGCCAAGGCACATGTATCAAACTGCCGGTTGACACCACTGTATTGGAATAACTGCTCCGCCCAGAGAAAACTCAAACTTGCGTAATCTGGTTTTGGTATGAGGATCATCTTATGATAAGTCTGTGCCAGCAATTTTTGATCACACTCCCATGGGCAAAATGAAGTTCCAATCAGCATTATCTGCAAGACATTTCAAACGGTTTTTTTATTTTTTCCCCTCTTTATTTATTTTTCTTGGGAGTATCGCGATGAACTCTCTCAAATTCTGTAAATTGAAATTATTTTTCTTTTTACAATACCTTTTATTAATTATTCCCGAAATAATTTTACTGAAGACGAAGTCTCATGTGTGCAAATGATAAAGGCTCAGTTTTGTAGACTGATCAGACCTGTAATATTTATTTTCTGAGAGAGTTACTGTTGAACAATGATCAAGCAGGGTGGGTATTCAGGTACAAAATTAAAAGATCACCTGATCCTCTTGGGTAATTCCTTTAACAATTTTTGGCAAGTCCTTTTTTAGTCTTTTAGGGTCTGTTTTATCAGTTTTTGGCACTTTTTTGAGGAAAGGTTTTTCGCCTCCATCCATGAATATTATTGAAGGCTGCACCAATCTTGAAAAAAAAATAAAATTGGTCAAATAAAATTCACACTTATAATAAGCTTCATTCATTGTAAATTACAACTCTGTTTCATCCATCGAAATGAAATGTGATTCAGAAGAAAATATCTTCATAGAATTTATTTACCTGATGTATAAAGTGGGTTATTTACTTCAAATTTTGCTTGAGCTCAGTCAGAAAAAAATACTTTCTTGCCAATAACAGATATGACTGAATTACATTCAAATCAATGAAATCTTTTACGCTTTGATTTAAGTATAATTTAAGTATCTCATTTGGCAATGCAGTGCAAATACTATCCTTGCGTTTAATTTTTTCTTGAAGGTAGCTTAAAAAATAATTTATTAGCAAGTGCTTTTGTCTGAAAGACTGTAATCTAGTCTGCCCTCTAGAAATTTGTTTATGGTTTTTTTGAAATCACAAAGGAATGAAGCCTTAGTTTGATCGCTCAGAGCAACGCTTGAGAGTATCGACCTTGACCAGTAGTAGAAGTGTAAAAAGATGGCAGCTAATTTAAAAAGTTCATACCTATACAATGGTTCACAGCATTGACCAAGAAGCTGACCAGAAACTTAGTATGTTGGGAATGCAGCTTAACATTTTCAAGTCCTTTTTGATTGCAAAAATATTGTACGAAAATTAACTTTTCCTTTAGGCATCAATAGCAAAATCCTCGATTATTTCAGTGTTATCACAGACATCATGAATATTATCCACTCATGAGTCAAAACTGGTCACAGGAAGTAAATATGTATTACCTGGCAACTTTATTGACTAGATGAACCAACATAATTAGTCCAGATTTCCCTGGGTATTTTCCGACAATATTAGCGGGGCTCAGGTCAAAAAGTATTCCTCCAATTTCAGTACAAACGGCGTGCACCAACATTTTTTTACCACTTCCATGTGGACCAGTCAATAACAATGATCTCACCATGGGAGCTGTCTGATGAACAGTTTTGGAACCAAGTGGTAAAATACAATACTCCAGCATCACCTGAAAATAAGAATATGATCACTAAATACATTCTCAATGGGTCTTTACCGGTAGTGTGAAACCTTTCTCCAGTTCAATTTCTCTTTTCATTCATTTTGAGCAAGTATGATATATGATAGAATCAAGGAGAAGTTAAAAAAAAAAACTTTTACTCGCTGCAGTGTGTGGTGAGAGCTAAAATTTACAAAGAGGAGAAGCACGAGTTCAACTTTGGCACCGACCTGCCTGACATCTCCCAGAGAGGGTTGTGGGTCGTTTCCTTGTAGACGTAATTCGTAATTTGCATAAGATTTCTCTCCGCGGAAAGAAGAAAGTGGTGTCTCTGGGTACCGCTTTATAATTCCGTTCACTACCAGTTCCTCAAACAGCGAATCAAGTGTTCGGTCAGGTGTCAAGTCTTTCTCCTTCTTCTTTTTGCCCTTCTTTCCACTTCTCCTGCTTTTTTTCTTCTTGCTTGCTTTCTTCCCTTTTTTTCCTTTCTTTGCTCGATCTCGATCTAAAGCTGCCTGTAACAACTCGAGCTCGACTCTGAGTTCTTCATCCACTATCTAGAAACAAAGAATATTTGATCAATAGCATACAATGCTAGTATTTTGATGTGACAATCGAAGAAAGAAGAATCAATTTTTTTTATCAGTATGGACTGGCAATGATTACAGTGGCTTAGTTCATTAGTGGCATTAGCCTTTATTATAGTCGTAGTTACTTACAAAATTCGATGATTATTGAGAACCTGTTCAAAAAATTTTGAAATTTAATTCTTCAAATTTTTCCATTAATTTACTTTACACATACTTTTAACAAGCATGAAACTTTATTGAAGCACTTTTTAAAGCAATATTAACTATTTTATCCAGTCGTTGAGTCAGCACTTCCCAAGTAAAACGTTACAGCTTAACAATAAATAGTATCAATATTGCTAACTTTTCGAATTTCTGCTTCTATCTCAGCTGTTTTTTGGGTCTTGATCATGTCCAAGTAGTATTTCTGGCTAGGATTGTCACTCTCATTTTTCTCCTTCCACTCTTCATCGTATTCAGTATTGGCAACCATTAAATCAGTTAGAAAATTTGACGGCCCCATTTTGAACCCTGGATCTTCCTCGTCATCTTGTTTCTTTTTTTTCATATCGTCTTTCTCTTTTGTGCCTTTTTTTGTTTTATCCTTTTTACCTGTACAAGCATGTAAAACATCCCTGCATTATTCCTTGATTTTATTATTGCTTGAAATACTGAAGAAAAATGATGAGGAGGCTATAAATAATTTCTGCCAATCATGAGCTGTATTTTATAATTTTAGTTTAAAAAGTCTGCTGTCGGAAATTCAAGGCTTCTTTATTTTCTCCTCTTCTATCCTCAGGTTCTTGCATCATAGTCTGCTGTTCCAGCGCAAGTAAGTGAGTGAAATCAGCATCCAAATCTGCAAATGACAGTTTAAGGCACCAAAGCAGGCTCTACTGCAGAGAGGAGAGAGTTCTGCTTCCTACGTCATATCAAAACCACTCTTGATTTGCCATTTACTAATAGTAATCCTGACTTTTCTGACTCTCTTGAGATGGAGCAGACTATCGCTTTGAAAACTTAAATTTTAATTTACTTAGTCTCACAAGATGTTAATAAATTACCTGTTTCAATTTTTAGATCGAATCAGGTATCTAATTTTGAGTAAAAAAATGACAATATTAAAAAGTTTGCAAGTATTAAAAATTGAAATCAAATGGAAGATTGAAGACCTTTGCTGTCCTTGGAGGATGGTGTGGTGGCTTTGCTGATTTCACTGTCTGCTCCTTGCCTGCTGAATATGAGGGCGGATCCTCCTGACTCCTCACTGGGCAAATCGGGGAATTTCCCCGTTTGTGCTTTGTAACTCATGTACCAACTTCTCACTTGGTCTTTGATGTCTTCCATCATTTTACCAGCTTTTTGTTTCCTCACCTACGAAAAAATGGAGATGATTTTCAAATGTTTAATCTGTCCGAATCTGTGCCACTTGAGCAAAGAACATTTTTTTTATATAAAACGGAACATTTCGTATATTTTTATGTACACCAGTTTGCAGAAAACCATACAAAAATTAAAAATACAGGTATCTCTGTTTTCACAATTACGAACCTCCGTGTCGACATATAATTTCTTACAACAAATGGAACAAACAGCTCTTCATTTGTCAAATTCCTCATTGTTTGAAATATTCATTAGTAAAAATTTCATCCAAAAATATTGACTTTCTTCTATAAGAAACTAATGTAACTAAGAGCGAAAATCGAGAGATTCATTATATTTATTTGTAAGAGATATGGTTACCAAATTTTTTTCTCGAACTAAAGCCTCTTGGTACTCTTCTTCATGCTTTTCCTGAACTTTCCGACGGAGTTTTTTCACCTCCTCTGCGTGGTCTCTTTGCTCTGTGTCTGTATGGCTGGGCTGTAGCATACCTTTGAGAAAAAGTTTAGTCATTAGAATATTTTTGCTTCCCATTACCCATTCATTTTTTATTATTACTATTATTCACTTATTATTTAATATACTTATTTCAATTTTATTGCAGTAAATTTCAATTTCAGCGAGGCGCCCTTTCAATATGTTGATCAGCAGCACATACAACACTGTGATGCAGTCGCAATAATTTTAGAATATAATTGCAATTTACTGCATACTTATAGCGCATGAATTATTATTTTCTACTATTGAGAGTGTCACAACAACTGCATTTTTTAAAGAATTTACTTTTTAAAAAGGAAACAAAATTCAAAATTTGCATATCTACTTTGAACTTTCAAAAAATGAATGTTATGTGAAATTTTTGTACAACATTGCATGACAGGCCAAAAAAAATTTAATGGATTTTCAAAAGAAAATTGTAATTTTATTTCCTTTTAAATAAATTGAATATCTGGGGAAGTCGATATTGTCATACCTAATCTGAGGTAGGTTTTTTTAAACTTTCACTCGCAGTATACCTACTTCTCCAGATGTATGTTCAATCTATCAGGTATGAAACGATTTGACAAAAGGGGATGAAATATGTTTTCCGTGTGAGTTTTCCGTTTTTCTTTAAACCCTGCAGAAGTTACACCAACGTCGCCCAGGAAATAATGAACTTATTTTCATAATAGCTAAGGAAATCATTTTTCCATTTATGAATCCTGGGTCATATAATGTGATGAACTCCTCTAAAATTATTACACATGGTGCGTTGCACATAGCATAAGGTAGTTAAAGCAGAACTTATTATGCTCTTAAAGTCCTTTGGAAATTCATCTAATATTTGAGGAACATACTCTCACCTATAAGCAGCATTTCTTCCACAACTCTCTTTCTAATTTTTCTTCTCGTGATGAATCCTCGCCATACTCGTTGAATTTTCAAAGCGGACTGTCTTCCGCTCTCTGATTTTTCACTTTCCGATTCAGGTTTTACGATTTCTTTCATTTGTCTTATCTCCTTCATGAATTGGGCTCGCAACCTCCCTTGTCTGGCCCGCTCATGAATCTGGATGAGTCTGATTGCTTCAAGCTCTGTCATGACAAGTCCTCTAGGCATTTCATCATCAAAACCCAGTTGTCGCAATGTGTCCTCTATCATCTTCTTCCGTTCATAAATTTCTGTCGCTCGCTCACGTTTGTAGTAAGCTGGAACATTCACCTCCACCTCTTGTGGTAGGATACGCATATTGGATAAAATATCGTCAAAATAGTTGAATTCAGAAATGTCCAAATTGACCAGCTCGTGCTTCAGCTCAATGAATCTTCCAATAGTCGCATCAAGAATTCGCCTGATCAGCAATCTTTTTTGAGGTTGCACGATTTGATCATAGCATTGGTCCAGTTTATTTATGCAAATTATATATTTTGCGTACATACCACACACAACATTGTGAGCCAATACTTTATCTTTTGTTGGTTTGGAACTTTGCTCTTCCACATCAATTTTGGTCACCTCCTCCAAAATTTCTTGAGCCTCACTCCATAAAATATTGTAAGTTTCATGCGACATCTTTGAGTTTTTCGGAATAAATCGCTCATTTATACAAAAGTCTGAACCATGTTATTTCTATCTCAAACCTCATTTTGTATCAAACCACTATGTAAATGAATTGTGATCAGATTATCCTGCAAGTAATATCCCATGGCAACCTTCCAAACAGTCAACAGTGATTCTTCAAAATATCTTCAAAATAATGGGTGAATCTTTCACTTCTCAAATTCAAGGTTGTTTAAGTCTTTAAAGAATAAAAAAAATTACATCCAAAGAAATTTAAAGATTAAACCGTTTATTACAGAAGGAGGAATATTATCAGTAACACCGTTTCTCTTGTCTTGCGCCCGCGTGAGGCGTTTCCCGTAATTTAAAATTGCCGCCATCGAAGTATTCTAATCTGATTGGTTAACAACCTTACTGCTGTCAAACTGGACATAATTTTCCAAAAATAATTTCTTGGGAAATAAATCCTAAATATGGCCGTTTTCACCAATTTTATCCAACACAATCCATCATTTTTGAAATTTTTGAAGCTATGAATACCAACGCACAGTACATGAAAGTTTTTGTTTGATTTGTCTTCCCTCCAAAAATTTCTCTGCCTACACAGCGGCAACAATGCAGACCAAAAGCGGACGTAAACAAAAGAGATTCCCACGGTGACTCACGTCCATGTCCGGAATTTCGGTTATTCATCTCTTTTTTCCGGCTTTGTTTTCCTGATTCGCTGTGGCAATATACTGAGAATCAATTTGCACAACTTGTGGATATTTTATCACAATTTACTCTGTCGCAATTCCTCCAAGTAATCTGCTCCTCCTCGCTGGTGTTCTCTGGTTTCAAGGATCCGTCTTAAGGTACATATTAATTCTCCTATCGGTGTATTTTGTGAATATCTAGGTTTCATGCATCTGACTCGGTTTCTTACTTATAATTAAACGTCTCTGTGAATGCACCAGGTTTGGAAATTCGTTGGGTAAGTATGACTGTTGAGACGATCTGGCGGTAGGTTGACGTAATGTAACCAGTACGTAACACATGTCATCACCCAACAACCACAATCATATCTTAAGTGACCAAATATAATGAACATCATATAGCAAATTGTTGACTTTAAGAATGGAGAGGCTGTAACTACTCAGTTTTGTTGGGTCAAATCAGTGGATATTTACTTAAAATTACATTCATCTTTGGGTTATCGGAGCGTCTATGAGTGAGATGGTTGCTGCGTCAGCCTAATAGAGTGGCCCTCAATCAGCTAAAGTTGCATGAGCGGCGAGTTTGAATCATAGTGGAGTAATGACTTTCGGAACGCAAGTCCATTTCCTCAATTATCAGCCGACGTGATTCTGGGACTAGGTAGTCTGTTTTCTAAAGTGAAATTTTATCTTCTTTGGGAAAGGCTCTTATGAATTTTCCCATGAAGTCAATCCTTGAAAAGCTATGAGAACAATGAGCCCATGTGTCATGCGCTCTCCCATAAAGACACATGTCTAACTGCGGCGGAAATTCATCCACTAGCGTTACGTTACAGAAATGCAATCATGGCCTCTCCATTTTCATTGACAACAAGACAATCTGCGTCGTTAATTGAGGCATTGTTTGCAAAGTGAGCCCTTTTTGTGAAGAATTGGATCGTTCTCCATTTCCTCCCGAAGAAAAAGTGCCCCAAAATTGGTCTTGATCCAATAACTCATCAAGAAAACCCTGTGGACAATGTGGGCTGCCAAAAAGAGAAATTACTGTGCTTGGAGACAGCTTGCAGTGCAACAACGACCGTCAGCGGCCCATACCTAACATTGCGAAGTGGGCTGAATGGTTTCAGAGTAAGGTGCTGCTCTCTGCTACTCTTGTAGGTATTGGGTTTGAAGGCTCTCCAACACCTCACTTTATTAGTTAAATTGTTATCTACATTCTGTATCCTCTTTTCCTTTTATTTTCCTTTTCCCCTTAACTCTCTATTCCTTTTATCTCCTGTATTGGCCATTATTTCTATCCTCTTTCCAGAAAATTCCACCAAGTATTCAGTTTCCCGAAGAGGAGGTTTCATTCTAAGAATTTCATATCTTCCTCCGAAAATGGATCTGTCATTTTTAGAAAGTGGAGGTATGAACCATTCTATCTGATGTCTTTTGTCATATTTACATGTTTGAGTCAAAGAACTTTGGTTTTTTTAATTTTGTTATCCGAGGGAGTTCGTCTAGCATTCAGAATTGAGTGTGTCAGTAAAATAAAATACATAGGTATCTCCTTTGCAGCGTTTGGAAAATAGCCCAAATGTTTCAATTTTTTAAAGGAAAACAAAAGTTATTGTAGTTGATTTTCATAGGATATTCTGTATACTAGAATGAAGAAAAACTAGTTGAAATGCCAAGGTATAATTTTCAATAGTTCTCCTTTGAAAATTTTAAATATTATAAGACATCTGCAAATGGAGGTATGTGTTTTTCAACTTTCAAAATTTAAATGGTTTCTTCAGCTTCCTTCCAAAAGTTCTGTAGAAAAATGTGCATAAGTTTGTTCATTTCTAAAAAAAAATTTATCTTAAATACAGGGGGGGGGGGGGGGATTATTGAGTACCAATTTCATGGTAACATACAGTAAATACATTTCCTGGAACAATAATCAAACTTTCCGTAACTTATCATAGATTTATGTTTTCCAAAGAAGACCTCTTCTGCACCCAACGCCTTTTATTTAAGCAGAAGATCATTCTGCTGGATCAGCATTTTCTTCCCCCAGAAAATTGTACAAATGAAAAGTTACTGCAGGCATTGTTACTCACCAACTTTGCTCATTCCGTTTTAGATTCTGCGGTCAGAGACTTAAGGAAAATGGATCAGTATCAAAATAGACAAGATATGGTGACTATTCCTCTGGATACTGTGGAATCGGTGAGTAGAAATTTCCTTAACTCACACTAATTAATTATTAGACAATTGCCAAACAGTGAGTCAGTTAGACACAAAAAGGAATTGATTTGCAATTGTTGCCTCTCATTTTTAAAGGTCAAGAAAATAGATGAACACACTAGATGTATTTTCTTTGAGGTAACAGTCAGAACATGTTGCTGAAGATTTGTTACCAGAGTCCTTGCCAAATGAGGTTACGCACCTTTAGAGTACGACAAAAAGATCTGCCATCCTGATTCTCGTATTACTTTCAATCATAAACTGAAGACGGCTGATCTCCTGTCGCAAAAAGTGCATAAACTTATTTGGCGCAGCCTCTAGTGCCTTTTTTGTATCATCAACAAGAGACCAAATAAGAGCTGTCAAGAAAAGTAAGATTAGACGTCCTGTCATAATTTTGGAACCTGCCGAGAGCACACTCCAATTACTGCACATCAAATTGTTGAGATAGCTTTACCACATTATTCAAATAAATTTCGCAATGAAACAAGCGTTCCCTTCTAACAACATTAGGAGTATTCTGCTCTACTGCAAAACATTTAAGATTGCTGAAATGTGATCACTATAATCCCGAAAAAATTACTTTCAACAAAAAGATGATGCTCACTTTATCAAGGATAGTGGAAACTCATTTAAAAAATTCTCCAAGTTTTGCAGAACTATCATTCAAGTTTCACAAAACAATTATTCTTATTTGTGTGTTGAGAAGCGACTTTATGAGTGACTTCCCTATTCCTGACTGACAATACATTTACTCAAGTAATGTTCTTTTCATGAATACTGGATGCTTGACACAGCAACTGAATGATAATTTACTGACAGAGATAGCTATTTGGTACTTTCGTCACTTATCTGATAAGAACATTGCTCGTTGAGTCATGCCCTCTCAAGGAAGTAATCCTTGAGATGGGCACATGGGTCTGAGTCAGTATTTCGTGTCTTTCTACTCACATCATGTGTGCTTCTAGTATTAGGATGTCAGAAATTGGTCTTCAGCCAAATTCAGAAAATGAATCTCTTTTTGAAGGAGTGGTAATGTGTCTTAATTTTTTTAGTTCCTTTAAAATAATTTTTTTTTTTTTTTTTTTTTTTTTTTTTTAAACTGGAATCAATTTATTTCTGCCGTCATTTTTTAAATGGGGGGAAATATCTATGCCTCAGCAACTTTTCGTCCTCTTTTTCCAAATAAAAGAACTGAACTGTTTGCACCTTATCATTCAGGAAAGTGGGAAGTGTTTTTCATCAAAGTCTCAAAATCTGACTTTTCTTACCCAGCTTGATAAAAATGGTTTCACTGTAATTTTCAACTTTGTGGCTAGAGGATTAGAATTTTTGAATTCTGCAATTCACTTTCTTGTTTTCTAAGTTAAGACATCTGTACACTCTCTTTATTCCAAGTTTTTATTTAAACCGTGTCCTTTACTGTATGATTCCTTGTTATACCGTATATATGTTACATTATCAATATTATTTTGGGGTGTACCCAAAACGCGTTGAACAAATGGTCTTTTGACTAGCTGCATTGCGATTCACTCATATTTTGGGTTTGAGCTGTTAAATGTAGATATAATTGCCTTTTTTACATCATCTATCTAGTTTGGTTACGATAATTTTGTTTCTGCAATGAATAAAATTGAAGCTAATAGTTGTACTTGCTAAGATCAGCAGATTAGCTTCTATTAACCGGCTGGAGATAAAATTTCAAAAATAAATCTGAAACATATTGGACCTTTTTTTAAGAGTTAAGGTGCTACACTGTATGGGTTCATGAAAAACCAGCTGCCAAGTATACTGTCACAGAATAAATAAATTAGTTTGTTGGATCCAGTGAATGTAACTAAAGCAAGCTGACAAAAGTTATCGCATTTGTAGGTATCTTATATTTTGTGGTTTAAAATATTTTTTAATTTTGTTTATAGTAGGGGCATGGAACTAATTTTAATTTTCTTATTTTTGTTTTTTGTTTGTCTAGCATTGGCAGATGGTCTTCAGCAAGGTAATTAATACATGAATTTTCTTCTCAATCTTAATATTGCTTTTGATCAGTTCTGAAGATCTGAGAATTGTTCAAGAAATGTTTTCCGGAATAATCTTAGTAGATTCCCAAATGGGCAAAAAGTATTTAATATTAAAAAATTGTTTTAACAATGGGCCTGTTGCAAACTTTTGCTAGAGCAAAAATAAGAGTTGTTTCTTATAGATAATGCCTCAAAAATCACGATGAGCGCATCGGTAAAGTCTGAAATGCACTCATAACTTCACAGTCTGCGTAAGAAATTTGCGGTTTTTTGAGCTTCCCGCTTCAAAAACGATACTACGTCACAGGTGAACATTCTGTAAGAGGAGTCGTTCCATCGTCGTCAATACTCATCATGGCCGACGCCAATCCGCCAAAACACGTGTGATGGGACGAGATAACACCTGAACTGGATTAGACCAGATAACAATCGGCGTGTTAACGTTCATATTTTCCACGCCCGAATTGATTGACCTTGAACTCTCCTCGAATTACGCGCGGAACTGCACGCAAGCGTCAGCCATGCTGAATATCGCCGACGATGGAGCGACTCCTCTAACAAAATGTTCACCTGTGCCGTAGTATCGTTTTTGAAGCGGGAAGCTTAAAAAAACGCAAATTTCTTACGTAGATTGTGAAGTTATGAGTGCATTTCAGACTTTGCCGATGCGCTCATCGTGATTTTTGAGGCATTATCTATAAGAGGCAACTCTTATTTTTGCTCTAGCAAAAGTTTGCAACAGGCCCATTGAAGATTGGTTTAAAGTGGATACAAAAACGGAATATTTTGAAACTTAATGAATAAACTGCAAACCTTTAAAAGTAACAGAAATCTTTTTAATCGTCCTAGACAAAAGCAAGTTGTAGCATGCTGAAAATATGGATGGTTCCACCACTCCTTAATTGATAGTAAAGTATGCAGTTACGATACCTTCCTACTGTATATAGTGTGAAATGTTCAGTAATTTTGAAAAAAAAAAAACCTTGTCTGATATCGAATTGAATGAAGTTAAACATTAGTTTCTTCTTTTTTCTGTGTACCTCCAGAAAATGAATTGAATGAAATGTAGTTGCAGCAGCATAATTCTAGGTCTTATTCCTAAGTCAAATTTTTTCTGTTCCTTTTCAGTAGATCATGATGCAACTGAAATGATGTTTTTATCGGGTATGCTTGATTTTTTATTTGCTTTTTTTAAACAGTATGATCGAAAGGGAGATGGCCACATACCTTTGAAAGAATTGAAAGATACGCTGGTCAGAGAAACCAGTCATGAATTGCCAGAACATGCAGTCAGGAAAATAATAGCAAAAGCAGATTTGAACCAAGATGGCTACATTCAATTCCCAGAGTTCCTCAGTTTAGTTGAATCCAAAGAGGGCCGCATTGTCATGGATTCTGTATTCAGAAGATACGTAAAGTCCACTATACCCCCCAGAAAATCTCGCAAAACAAGGCATGATTTGACCGATGGAGAATATGAAGATGAATATACATGTAATCCACCTGCTGTTTGTATGCTTATTGTTAGCATAATTGAGGTAAGATTTTAATTTTTAAGATTCCTGATTCCTAAAAACCCTATTCCAGTCACTAACTGTTCATGATCAAAAGTAAAGAATGTATGGAAGTCACATCCCACAACTCTTACAAGAGTCTGAGAATTGCACAAAGTACAAAATTCTATTGTTATTAGTGGAGGAAAAAGATTCTCATTTACCAGATGCCTGGATAATCTAGCCCTACCGACAGTAAAAGTGCCAGACCACATATCTTAGGTAAGATCTTTGCAGACTTCCTGTTATACTTTATTTTTTAAATGGAAAATTCTTTAAAGTCTCTGCAGTTTATCTTCTCTGAGAGAAGAAAACTCTCTTTGGAGATTTTTGAATACTGCAAACAAGATACTAGGTTTTGTAGTTTCACTATAGGTATTTAGGGCCGATTTTATCTCCCCGTGTCAAGACGGTGTCAGAGCCGTATCAGCGTCTGACACCGGTGTTGGCTCAAACCTCGATTTTATGTCGATTCTCGCTGCGTGTCAAACCCGTGTTTGGGGGTGCGCGTCGGTGTTTGGCTGACACGCCTCCGGAGCTGTGTTCCAGGCCTTGACACCGGTGTTTAGCTGATCCCGGGTGGGTTCACGACAAAGAATTGCATCGCGGCTCTGCTCGGTGCTAGACAAGTCTGATCTGAACGTGTTCCAGCCAAGTTTCAGAGTGAAGATTTAAAGATTTTTGGAATTGTTTTGTAATGAGCTGATAAGAATTTGTACGCTCTTATAAAAAGGTCGTATAAAATTTTCCCCTAAAGTCAAGGGTTTAAAAGAAAAATGAGTAAAAAGGTCACTGATCATACGAATTTTTGTCTCCACCCTTTTTACCTAAAACCCTTATTTTTGGTCTCAAAAATTATTTTTTCGAAAATTTTGTGTAATCAACCGATAGGAAATTTTACGGCCTTCATAAAAGGTCCTATAACATTTTCCTCTAAGATTGAAATGTTTAAAGGAAAATGAGGAAAATGGTCGCTGATCGTGAGAATTTTAGCCGCGGCTTTTTTTAACCCATCTTTTTTGTCACAAGAATTTTTTGTTTTGTAATTTTTTTGAAATGAACCGATAGAAAATTTTACGGCCTTTGCAAAAGGTCCCATTTTCCTCTAATATTGAAAGGTTTCAAGGAAAATGAGAAACTACGCAAAACTAACATCACGCCCAAGCAAGGCATAAGGAAGTATACGTGATTAACCTCAAACCCAACAATAGTAAACACGGTTGATAATGACACGAACTAACCTCAAACCTCAACAAACCCAGCAGAAACTATGTGAACAGACACGATTTTCCAACGAAACCTCGAATTTACGCAGGAAGGTCTTTAGCGAGAGCGTGTCCTGTGACACAGGCTGAATTCGGGGAGTTAAAATCGGTCTTGGTGTCAGCGGCCGTGTCAAGCTAAAACGGGTGTTACCTGACACCGGTGTTAGCGCCGTCCTGACACTGAGAGATAAAATCGGCCCTTAAATAACAAAATAATTCAAGTGGAATACTAACTGATCCAAAAACAGCTTGAAATATTAATAACCCAAGTGAAATCATATTGAATGGAGGTTTGCAACACAAGAAATAGTTACAGGGTAAAATCGTTAGAGGCTGAAAGAAGTGGATGAAAATGCACACTTGTTGCGTTTAAGAACACAAAATTGCGTTCATCTTATTTTTTGACGCACTAGAGAATGTCCTTTATAAATACTTAAGTTTGGATTATCCAACTTAATTCAATGAAAATCCTACCCTTGAAAATTTGCCACCACGACCCGTGGTCTCCTCTTTTGTAGATAATCGCATACTTCATCAGTCAGTTTTTTAATTAGAGATCTTAGTGCGGTGAATTCACCCCAATCGGATTATTTTCAGCTCTGATGCAGCTGTTTTTGTTGGAGAAGAATCTTTTAAATCAGCCAAGTCTCTTTTTATGGTCTTTTTTCTAGATTTTAATATTCCTGTGGAATGTTGTGTCAACAAGTCATAACCAGTTTCTTGGACCTGTGGCTAGAAACTTAATTTACGATCCACACAAGAGGGATGAAATCTGGAGGTACCTCTCCTACATGTTTGTACATATTGGGTAAGTAAACATAATACATAATTTCTGCCGTGAAGAAAATGTTTAAATATATGTATGTATATGGTGCTCATATTTATGCAAGATTTTTGGTTTGGGCAGGGTCTCGATTTAAAAGATGTCATGTGCGTTAGAGATTTAAAGTAGCAGGTTAGCCCAGGAAGGATTGACTAGCAAAATTTTCATTTTTGGTATACTTCTTAGCACAAGAGAAACAAAGAGTTTTGGAATTTTTTAAGAGAATCATCCTCATGGAGAAGTAAAGCTTGCCTTTGTGTGGATGTTTCAAACGCACTTAAATGGAGCAGCTCGGTTAGGCTCACGAATGTAGTAAGTTATATTACATCAACAAAATGAAAGCGGCAATGCTGAGTTCAGGACTGTACCGTCCAACCTCAAATTTTTTGCTGATCGTTGATAGACAGTTACGCCGCCATGTGTTCTGTCACGATGAAATTTGCTGGTATCTTGCTCACGTGATGTAACCTACCATATTTGCTCAGGCACAACTCAAACCCACTTCATGTCTACTAGAACTTTTTGCACTTCAGAAACAATTTTTCTCCTGTCATCCAAAGATAATCCTTGAATGAAAAGGAAGAAAATAATTATCATCTCAGTTTTATACAATATTTTGATGGACGAAAATTAACGATATTTCAAATAACTGACCCAGCTGACTGATTGTTTGTTACCGTGAAGAACCAAAATTAAAAAGCAGCATTGAACACAATCATGAATGGAATCAACGGTTAAAAACTGACAAACTTAAAATCGAATTTTGGAAAAATGAAAAATTGCATCATTTTGATTGTGTTATTTTAACACGAGCACTAGCATATCATTTTTCCTCCTCTCTCTCTCTGCTTTAGACACGTTCATCTGATAGTCAACTTGCTGGTGCAAATATTGGTTGGAGTTCCTCTAGAGATGGTACATAAATGGTGGCGAGTTCTTTCAATCTATCTAGCCGGAGTAATTGCCGGCTCGTTGGGAACGTCAATTGCAGATCCGTCTGTGTTTCTGGCTGGAGCATCTGGAGGTGTCTATGCAATTATCGCTGCTCATGTTTCTACCATCATTTTGGTAAATATTGCAATTTATAGTTTTGACCTTCCTCTGATGCATGAGAAAGCAAAGTAAAGAAACCAACATTTTTGAAGCAGTCAAGCGATCTGCGAAGTCTTCCAATTCTAAGTATTCGGGCTTTTTTTTTTTTTTTTTTTTTTTTTTTTTTTTAAAGAAAATAAAAATTTCTCTGCCATAATGAAAATATTTTGTGACATTATTCCATTGTTTGAGGTTATCACTTTCCCCAAAGATTTTCTTTGCCTCAAGACATCTGGTCTAGCCTGAGCTTTCAGATAATATTAAGTATTGATGGCTAAAGATGAAAAATGCGTATCTAAGATTTCGATGTTTTAAGTCTCCACTCATGTTTTTCTAAAGGGCAGCCTACCAATAGTTTCCATTCAAATTTTCTGTAAATTTTCTTTACTCAATCTAAAAAAATCATACAGAATTACAAAGAAAAGTTTTTAGTAGGTTTCCTTGCAGAAAATATACATAATTGGGGATTTTTAAATGTTGTAAGTGAGATGTAGATTTTCTACTGAGCCATCGATAGACTGAGACCTTTTTTTTCTGGCTTTTCATGGTTTTTTTTTGGCTTTTAGAGATTTGTTTTCACCAGCTCAAAGATTACTGGAATAATAATGATAATATTTGGACATTCATCCCAGACGTCGAATTCACTGAAACATCTTATAATATGAAGACTCTCCTTTCAGCTGTCATGCATTCATTTTTTCCAGTCAAGAGCTTTTACACCTTATACGAGTTAAATTTTCAATACTTTTTTATTTATTTCAGAACTGGTCTGAAATGGAGCAACCTGGTTTACAATTATTAATCTTCATCATCATCGGTGTGGTTGACATTGGAACTGCCGTTTACAATAGGCACACTGGAGCTCCACAAAGTCAAGTAAGTCATTTTTTTCTGTATAGTATAGTTCTAGTCCTCAGGGACACGAAAGGCTCTTAACCCACTCATTTTCCAATTGATCATCTCACTTTGAAAACCTTCTCCCAATCGGCTTAGCTTGCTGATTTTAAGGATACGTTTTCTCGATCTGCAGTCGGCTTCAGTCAACAAAATTCGGGTCCTGTAATTCTTCCCTCTTTCCTAATTCTTTAGCAATAGGAAAAATCATGGCTTATCACTAATATGTGCTGTAGAGCCCATTTCTGAATGCAATTTTTGTGATGTGTCGCCCAATGGCCCAGGATTGCGCGATTTCTGACTACACGAGCAGTGATGGATGTGTCAATGGGAGTGGTAGAAAATCGCTTCGGCAAAACTGTTTCTAGATTGTGTTGCTCATAGTTCAAGATAAGCTAGAGTTTCTATGTTGTCGGCGGTTTGTAGCTGCACACAGCTATGCACACTAGACATTTTTATTCTCTACCAGTGATAAGCACACAGTCTAGTGTGATGATTTTGTTTGAATCAGATGCAATAAAAAGAGTGCTTGGGCAGAAAAATGGATCAGACGATTCATTCTTTTGTTGCCCGGACTCTGTTTCTGTCATAGGTGATTTAACAAAAATTATCATACAAGATTGTATGCTTATTGGCGTTGCACTTTCCAATGTCACTTTTGTCTTCAAAAAGGCAATATTCGAGACTTAGGGATCACACTGGGGAGGGTTGTTTTCTATTCTCTCAAAAATGTTATTCCTGTAATGATCTGGTGTTGGCTGGCAAAACACCTTGCATTCTTCCTTTTTATCAGCTTTGCCCCGCAGTCACTATTTGTCTTTTGTGTGATAATCGTTCCTTATTCGGTCATAATAAATAAGTTGTTAGAATTCTATCGTTTCTCAAGTAGTTCTAATTGGGGCTTTTTTATTTTCAGCAAATCGGTTACGCTGCTCATTTAGCCGGTGCGCTCGCTGGTCTGTTGGTGGGTGTCTTCATGCTGCGTAATTTAGAAGTTAGGTCTTGGGAAAAGAAGCTATGGTGGATTGCACTTTTCATCTATGTGGCACTCATGTTTGTAGCTATAGTATGGAACATCGCATATCCTAGCTATTTTCCTCCTCCATACAAGTATTAAGGATCCTTTTATGTCAAAGAGCCTACTTTATGATATCAGTATTGAAATGCATTGCAGCTAATTGAGCTTATCTATAATTTTTGTTAAAACTCTCTGGCCAAATATTGGTTTTTAGATTTTTTACGCACAATTTTTTTTTTTTAAAAAAAAAAGACTGAAGCCTATACTTTGTCTGAGATATTTTCATGATTTGACTAAAATAGCTGGAAGAAAAAAGTTGGTCCTCTTACTGTATCACCAATTTAATTTTTTTAACATAAGTACCTCATATATCACTTCCAGTTTCCTAACAGGACTTTAAAGTGTAATTGAGTGTAAATGGTTGCCTTGATTGTGAAATCGTTGTTTAATTTGACAAACTTTGCCAAGAAATTTTTCTCACAGTTTCATGCCAACTTCAACGTATCTTTTCTGCCCCCCAAGCATTGAACATCCTTGGCCGTTTTTAAGAAATTTAAAATCTCTAATCTTGTATTATAAAATAGTTGTCTTCTCTACAAGATTCCAAATCTTGTCAAACATCAGAGGGTTAAAAGAAAAGGACATCTACAGTAAGGGTTGATCTCAAGCTTGTCTGGAAATTTCCATCGTATTCAAGGACAGACTTGCCTAGTTTGATGAAGTCCATGCACTGTATGGCCCTCTTTCCTTTTTGTTGCAAAACATGTATTTATTTTGATTTTTATCTAGAGCTTACAGCTGCCTTCTACAGTGTGTAAGTAAAATTTGTTTATATCTAAAGTTTAAACTCGTTAGAAAAGAAAATTTACACTTTATTTAAATTATTATGTTATTAGAATATAGAACGAGCCGTGCTCGCTCATTGGTTGTGCTTTTTGTATAACTAATCATAACCAGTAGAACTATTGGTCAACTTGGGATTCTTGTCATTACGACAACTGCATAATTTTTATGTAATTTTTTCTTTTGTTCATTTATTCATTTTTTTATATTGATTTTTCTCTTTGACTAATTTGAAATACTTTTTTTTGTGTGTTTCTCGTCCATTTCCTACTTAAGTATTCGTTTTGTACTGATGAGATAGCGTTTTTTTACTCTACTTGTAATAGGTTCACCAACTTAATTTAGTTTCATTATTTACAATTTTCTTACAACTTCTTCTGTTCCTACTTTCAATAGTCAAAAATATTCATTTTTTACTAGCATGATAGAATTATGAATGGCTAAGGAATATTTGGCCTGTAAAATTATTATCACTTGGTTGGAGCAAAATAATTTTAATGTTTAACCCATATTCATTGGAAAGCCTAGAGCTACAAAATACTTGCAACTTTTGCTAGGAGTCAATAAGTAGTATCCAAAATGGACGTATTTCTGTCAAACGGAACTACAGACTTGTAGGAGAGATGGAGTGTGCTCTAGAGAGCTGCGCAAGAAACAGTGTATAAGTGGACGTGATTCCCTTCGAGATTTTACGTTCTGTCAAACGGAACTATGTGCCAACTGAATGCAGCACTCATGATTACTCATGAACGATGGGCATATGACAAGAGCGTTGCAGACAGAGCTCATGACTTAAAGATGCCCACAGGAAACCGCGGCGGCGGCCTCGTTGCCGCTATTGTCACTGGTGCTTAATAATTCTGATTCATTCTTACGGCCCTCAACTAACAAGCACACCACTTCATTCCATTCGTCTCTGGTTCCGTTTGGCAGAAATACGTCCAAATGTTACCATGCCAGGTAAACTCGAAGCATGAAAATTAAATGTACGAATTAAAAAGTTAATAGAAGTAAACTGTAAAAATCAACACAGGAGAGACTAAATGATAGACTACGGTTCTCTGTCACTTCTGTAAAAGTAGCTTAATCGTTTTTAGGTCTGTTTCTTTAAGATCTTCGTTATTATGAGTGTATTCATTGCTGATCCTGCTGTGATCATGCTTGAAATATTTCTAAGCAAGGTCCGGTTTCAAACCATCTCTTAATGCATTAGTTTCTCAAGGTATGGGTATGCTCTCAGTAACTCGATGATAGTACTTAAATACTTTTAATGAAATTTAACATTATGCAGCTGTTAGTGCTGTCTTAGACAAATTTTAAGTCATTCTGTTTGCTACAGTTTCCCGGTTTAAAAGTTTGAAAGCACTATTGTTGCAAGCTCATCTACAGCATTTATTTGTCTGATTTCTGATGAATTTCAGCTATATTTTTATCTGCAAATGTAAATAGTTTTAATTCATATGCTCAACAATCTAACCTAACCTCTGTGCAAAATCTACCTCTTCTAGGCTGCTAAATATTTTAGGGTTTGGGAGCAACGAATCCATCAAGTGGTGACAGAAATGGAGTGCTAGAAGTAATCGACCGTTTTAAGACATGAAAAAATGCTCAGTTTTTTAGACAATTTTTTTTTTTCTTTTTTTTAATTATTCTGAACAATCCGGTATTGACTGTTAAAATTCTGATTGCAAATGCTTTACTTTGTCAATCATAGTTTTATGTGTTTCTTTTGCATGATTTTTCTTTTTTTTCCCTCCTGTTTGTATGTTTCAAGTATTTATTTCCAGTAACCTTTCTGAGACCTTTACATAAGTTGAATTTGTCCCACTTGTATTTACTTATTTATTTGTTCGATTGTGCATAAAATTTTCAATTCATCTCCCGTATTATCGTGCAGATAAAATGATTTTGAATACTTTTGACAAATATTCAGTTCAAAAATTGAAAAAAGTGCTTCTAACTCTGAAAGAAGGACTTGTTATCACAAATTTTCATATCAAGCAAGCAAGCTAGATCAATCCATTATAGTATGTTTTCAATGTGGAGCATATAATCTCTCTGAAAAATATATTTTGTCGCTGGAGATGCCTTAATTTTCAATCAAAAGGAAACTGATACTTTATTGTCTTTTCAAATTGATTCCCTCTTTTCAAAATTACCACTAGACCATCCATAATCCATATGCCTTATCAAGAAATTCTGAAATACATTTTTATCAATATCTGTGATATAAGAATTAAATATTTTATCCAAAGAATTTTTGACCTCCATTATTTTTGTAAAATAGTATTCGTCAGAAAAATTCACAAGATCCTAACGGATAATTTATCACTCATTGTCAGCTTCTAAAAGAAAAGGAGCCGAAATTTTATCGATTCTTTTATGTTAATTCTACATATATGCTATCTATATTGCCTTTAGTTTTAATTTTGAAAAGCATTTTGTCTCTGAAGAAAATGTGAAGTTTTCTGTAGTGATTAACAGAAATTTTGCTTCAAAAATCATGAAATGAGTAACAATTGACAAGCACCTTGAATAAATACCTTTTGATGTGATCATCTGAAACAACTTATGTAGTTTTTTAAATTTACGCCTTAAGTTCTGATTGTAGCCTTTTGTTAATGCTCATTCATTTTTCTTAAAATTATTAGGAGTAGGGCTAGTTAGTTTTTATTTTGCCAGTTGTTTTGGTGTTCCCAATAATTTTAAGGATATCAGGTTTGCATTTTATTCGGAATACCTCTTGGATATGATGAAAAACAATTTTGCATTTTTGTAATTTACCATAATTTGCATAATCATCAGTTCACAGTGTTCTGCCTTCCCCCCTAAAATTTTAGGAGCCACCTTGGCTCAAAAGCTCAATTTCTAGGAGCCATCCACAATTCTCTAGAGACTAAATTTACTTTTTGCATGTGCATCAAGGCAGTGTGCGGTGTGTTGCGGCCGCTGCTTTGCATTTGCAAATCTGAAAAATCGACAGGGTGCTTAATCTTTTTACTTGCCACAATAACCTACCCCCCCCCCCCTTGCACATTTACAGACACATTTGACACATGGGAGAACACTGTTATTTCCATCAATACACAAAGGTGATAGATAGGCACCATCTGCTGCAACTGATTTCTTTCACTTACCATTTCAATCCCCATACTCTTCAGGACAACTAGAATTGAACTTAGGCAAACATTGATCTCTTGAGGCCCCTTCTTCTTTATTATTTGATGAAGTTATAATAAGTATGTCTGCTTCGCACAATGTAGGGTGAATTTTTAATTATGTATTAATTTAATTTATTGCTTTAGCCAAATATTTTAAGTAAATCTTATGTGTTGACGTATTGAAAATAAATTTTTTTTCTTACTTTCTTAGTATAAATTGAATTTTTTAATATCATGATTAAAAATTCTTGATCTTGGCCTAAGATCAAGAGAATGTCTCTGTAAATTAGGGGCTGTCCTTGTATGAGTGGCTTTCTTTAAAAACTGTCCAACTTTATTGCAACATTTCAGCTTTTTCCAAATACATTTTCTATATTTAACGGTTTATCAATTTTTTCCTTTAAAAATAAAATTTGAAACTTGGAATGTTTTTCTTGGATATGTTGACTAATATTTTTCACTAAAATTTAAAGTATAAAAAGAAAAATTGAATTTTTGCAATAGAGTCGGATAGATTTTGCAGTAAGCCATTGAAACAACCTCAGGTACCTTATCCAAATTTTTGGCCCCTCCCTTTGCCCTCCATGCTAGGCCCCCTTTCTCTCTTACCCTCCTTCAAAAGGGTTTGGCAGACCTGAAGTAATTTATGAATGACACATTACTTACAAAAAAAATTGATCAGACAATAAATTATTTGTACTAAAGTGACACCTACTGCATTTCAGTAACATCTGAGAATGTTGAAATTTTGTAAGAAGTCAATCTTTGTAGAAACCAGATGAATTTCAAACTCAAATGAAAAGGTCAAGTAAATTGAAATTCAAGAATAAGTAACGCAAATAGGAAAAATAATTGAAATGATCTCTATAAATTAAATTATGAAAAGAATAAAGTAGGTAAAAGGAGTCGCTCATTGACATCTTTCAGCTATTTGGTAATAAATAGCTGCACAATAGCACTGCTGAGCTCATCAATAAATGAGACTATTGCAAAGACGGTGTATGAACCAAAGGATTGGTAACATGGGAGTTTTGCGCCTACTCATTTTCCTTTTTCAACAAAGCCTTCATTTCCTGCCATATCATCTGAACAAGGTCTATATAGATCAGAAAGGTTTAATTCACAGGAGTCAAGGCTGATATTCAGAAAAATTCTTTTTTGTTCAAACAAAGTAAAGCTTATCATGAAGAAAATATTTACAGTATCAAAAGTATAAAAATTAAATGTTTACATCAATTCTTTCACATCTTGTCAGCGCAGCCTATATTGAGTTATTGTTTATGAGATACTCATACTTGTTTGAAAAGGATAGAAAATTCATAGCAACCATTATAGCTCTAGCACAATAAAAGAGTTCTAAAATTTCCAAAGATCCTTTTTCAAGGACCCAATCAAATTCAATTATCTTGATATGTAAGAATGAAAAAATTAAAGTTGTTCAGTACCTAGTTCAGAACCTTTCTGAGATGAAGTTTATTTCACCTCAAACTCTGAACTCTCTTAACTATCTCTCTAAAGGAGCTCAGTCAATGTTCATCGTCACAGTAAACTTTTTTCTGATTTATTGTTTTTGTCCTTGTTCAAGTTATTGTTTCTGATTTAAAATTTTCCGCTATTTCATGAATTTAAAAACTTGAATAATCCTTTGGAAAAACATGTTCTCCAGTACAATTTAGAATTTCTATTAGCCCTCTCATCAAAAAAAGCGCTCATCTTGCATGCATTTTCTTCTTCAATAGTATAATGTATTGTGTCTTATTTCATTCACAGGTACCTATTTAATAGCTGCCAAGATTCGAGCTGACGGAGCTGGAACAGGATTGGGAACTTGCACTCTCTGGAATTGATGATGCTGCAGGATATAGGAATGACTTCCGTTCAGGAATTGGAGGATCTGGAGTCCACGATGTCAGGCACTCTCGTAGCTCTTGTTCCATTCTTGCATGTGAGCCATCTGAATAAGATAACACCGAAGGTGAGAGAAAATAAACTGCCAGATTTTTTTACCCAAAAAATTAGATTATGGGTATTGTCTAATTTATTAGAATGACAAACCTACAGTTGAATTCAAATTAATTGAAAAAGAGCATACAGAGGCCATGTCACAATTCCGCAGTATTTTGTGCTTTTTCCTCCTTGAGAAAATCAATGTAAGCTAATAATAATTTTTCAGCTATTTCGATTCTTTTGAAATGAACCTTAAAAATTCCAGTGTCAAGATTTTGTAGGCTACTTTTCAGTTATTTTCTCTGGGTTTTTTTTTTTTTTTTTTTTTTTTTTTTTTTTTTTATATTTTCCGGGTATGTTCTTTGTGTAATTATTACACAAGTTAGCCTATGAGGAAAGGGACTTCAGTTCTCAGAGAATAATTTTTATTGGAGTAGGTTACTGTACTTTTGGTATTCAGAAAATACTATCTGAGGCTATCTGCTGTATCACGAGGAATAAGTTATTAGCAGCCCAACTCATTACTGTGCCAATAGAAGTTGTAATGTCAATTTTATCAATAAATTTTGGACCGTAAACTTAGTTGATAAAAATTTCCAATTGGTTCCATGTTTTGAGTATTTTTATGCTTGTAAAAAAACTTCTCAATACAAAATACTGGCACTTAATTTTACGATTTTTTGGCAACATATTTTCACGGATAATCACATTAAAAATCTGTTGTTTTTTTTTTTTCACAGTGGAGCTAGCAATCACTTACTGTTAATGCTGTAGTTAGACCTCCTAGAATGGAGTTGATGCTCCGATAGTTGACATGTTTTCCGCATGAGTATCTGAGACATTGCCTTGAATGCGTGCTCTTCATACTCTCGCTGGTTGTCCTGGTTCTTGCGCATCGGGAGGTGTGGTTTCCACTGGAAATGGGATTCTATCTTGTGACTTGACTGAAGGTGGAGTAGACGGACTTTGAGGGATGGATGGCGAACTGGTTGACAAACCTTCTCCTCGGAGACATCCTCACCGTCTCCAACGCTGGACTCATCAAAGTCATATTCAGAGTCGGAAGTCAAAGACGAAGGTGAGCTCATTTCTCCACTCTCGCTTGTACTCGTCACGTCCGATTGGGTTTTTTTAGCTTTCGAGCCATTCTCACCGGATTGAGGTTCTGTTCATGGATCAGATATCATTTAAAAAAGATTTTAAAAAATTGTTCACATCACTTGAAAGGTTCATTTAGCAACAGCTTAGTTTTGCCTGCTCCAGAAACTCATATTTTTATCTAGTAATGGCCTTGTATGATTTAGAATAATAGTGTCTGAAGTTCCACAGAAGGTCACAAAAATCAATCAATTCAAACAAAATCTCAGGAATCTTGCAAAACACGAAACATACCAAAAGATAATATGCCTAACATTGAAAATCTATAATATATACTGGGGTGTGGCTTCATTTTTAGTTTCTGAAACAAATCTGAACTCGAGTATAAAGGGCGTACAAAAATAACTTCGGGATTTAACGGATAGAGCATATTCTAAACGCTATGAGCAAGTGTGTAAAAATGTAAAATCCCAAAATATTTCAACAGTGACTGTGACCCCTTTTTCACTCATCCTCGTATATCAGGAAAAATCAAACTGATGAAGCAGTATTGAAAATTAACGTAAAATCGTTTTTATAGAAAATAAGCGCTTTGCAATGATGTTTAATTACTTGGATTTACTTAACAATTGGTAGTATGTAGTGTAATGGGTATAGTAGATAATGATTGGTTCCCTAAACCTCAAAGGAAGTTCAAGGAAGACCATTGAATTTTATGAAACTGTTTCCTCTCGATAAATTTTGTAACACCAATTTACTTTATGTATACTCTTCAATGTTACCCACGACAACACCTGGAAAGTTACTCTTGAAAATTTTCGCCTTATGATATGAGATATCTCTCAGTTTTCGAAAATCGGTATCAATGTCTGTCGAAATTAATGACGGCAGCTTTTAACCTAATGCTCGCCCTCCTGAAGATGCCACTAAACACCATACCTTTTATGCTGGTTATGCTTACCTTTCTTTCGCTGCTTCTCATCTTCTTTGAATTTTTCCCACAGTCGTGAAAGAAAGCTTTTTTTAGTTGAAGGTAATGCTGGAGTAAATTCAAATCCTTTCCACCAAAAAGTATCATTCGCAGCAGAGCAGTTTTCAACTGGATTGTCTGAATTATCTGATTACAGAAAACATAGACTACCTAAATCATAACGAAAAAATAAACATGAACTACTCTGGCTAGAAAATGTAAGATAGAGTAGGTGTACAATTTGGCCAGAGTTATCCTCAATTTTTGAAATTAATAAAAAACCTTAAAAAATATCGTAAAGCCAACTGTGAGCTCTTTAATTGCAGACAATAATCGAGGAAAAGGACGCTTAAAGTTGGATCCGTTCACAAGTTTAGATCGAGTCTCAATCACAGGAGCATGAGTCTCTCTTGTCCTCAATGTTGTGTTTTGAATCTCATAGACCTTGAATGCAGTTTTGAGGTATAATGTTTCAAAGCTCAGACAGGTGTATCATGGCTCTCTGACACTCTTAATTAGAACAATCGAAGTTTCAGAGGCTATTATGGGACAAATTTCTCGTTTCATACCAACAAAATAAGAAGTTCTGCTGAATGAATCCTTACCAGTTCTAGGAGATTTCACAAGCCGTATCAGTTTCTCCGGAAAAGCTACTTGAGGAGGATCCACTAAAATTACATTCTTGTATCCCTCCAATATTTTGTAAATTCTCTTTTCTTGGTCTGTTTCTATAGATGGGGTGTGGGCTTTGTACTGGCAGCACTGGAATTGAAATCAGATAAAGCTTTGAAGGAAAAGATGGCAATCATTCTTGCACAAAAACGCAGGACACCAACAAATCAATGAAGTTTTCATAAGTTTTTTAAAATTGTTCAAGACAAAGATGTATGGATAACATAAGGTATTAGTAGTAATCATTTATTTATAAGGAAGCATTGCTGGAAAATCATAAGATTCCTTTAGGTATATTTGTCATGAAAGAGAGAAATATTTTTGATGCACAGGGGTTAATTAATTATTTTAAAAGGTGAAAGAACCCTTTCTTACTCAACACCATATTTTTAAAATGAAAGGGCTTGAAATGAAACAAGTCTTTGGATTGTTTAATCACATCTTTAAATTTTTTAAGAGAGTGAAGCTCACCGAATCAATAAAAGCCAATTTTGCCAACATTTCTCATTGAGGTTAATCAATGAAAAAGCACATTCAAAAACTTAATGACTAAAGATGACGCTTAAACTTTGGAATGCTTACAATGGGATTTTTTAATGGTTCGAACCGATACGCCTTCTCACCGCAACAAGGATATCGCCCTATAAAATAAAGCCATTTAATCATTTTAAAGGAGCTTTTCTGTGAGATTCAAACAGATTACATACAGGTGATTTACAGACATTTTTTATTCTCAGATAGAAACTAATTTTGTAACTCTATTTCTGAAATGCTACATTTAAAATCTTAGTAATGACTCCTTTCAGCTGTATCAAAAGTTTAACAAATCTCATTCATGCTACCACCGAAGGCCTCAAAATGAGAGCCTTTTTTAAAATTAGAATTGAACAAAATGTTAAGTTGTCACACATGAAATTCAACAAAAAAATGCAGAGATGCAGAAAATTCCAAGCCTCTTATCAAATTAAATCGGCTTTTCTCTATTTTTACTTCGAAATCATGATTATTTCCCCCTAGAAGACAATTAAAATGAGTGAAATGATTCCAGTAAAAGTACACCTGTAAATTTAACAAAATGGCTTCTGTCCGTAAAAGTTTAAATTTTTCACCTGATAAATGTCGTAAAAACGAGAAGATCGAAAAAATCCAACATCTTTATTTTCTGATTCTTCCATGACTTCCCAAATATTATGCAATCGAACAAATTGCAAGGTCAGAAAGTTTTGCATGTTGGGAAAAATGAATGCTCTCACAATCGGGGGAAAAAGCTTATTCACGCCCAACTGAAAATAAACCTTGCGATGCTGTAATTAAAATGCATTTTCATGTGTGATAACCAAACTCATAATCTGTGCAACCAGTGTGTCCAGTCATCTCTGCACTCCTCTCTTTTTTTTGCAAACTAAAAACATGAAACTGTCCCTCATCTATAAAAGCAATAAGGAAAATTTTATCTCTGAAGGAAGTGAAAAAGGTGGGACTATTTTCTCTTGTCCCGACTTCTCGCTTGCAAATAGTTGGAGCAAAAGATAAGAGCTCTTAAGTGTTGACTCATATCAAAGTTCCACTTGGTGAAATTGTTCAAGTTTTTTATTTTGCATCTGATAAGTGATTGTTTCTCTTTAACAATATAAAATGGAGGTATCTCTGAGCCTGAAAATTACCAGTAGTTACCTATTGGGAAAGTCATGGCTCTCTGTTGTTCCATCATGAAAAACTGAGGCGAGTCGGGATGATAACTGCACCAGTCCATTTGTGAGATGGGGAAAAAGTTATTGCAAGTCAAGCAGAAAAGATGATGGCATTCCGCCCACAGCCTCCAGTAAACTCTCCTCCATGTCTTGAGATCGTTGTAAAGGCCTCGGATATGATCTCCAAGGGTCCAACCTTGTTCCCTAGAAGATGTGAGTTATGAAACATGCGAGTCACTTGGAAATGCATATTGAAAATTACCATACGAATAGAATATCTTGCTGTCTAAATTACCCGCCTTAATGACCCAGAGTGTTATTACAGCCAAATCTTTGGGAGTAGCGGCAAAAGTTAAGAGGGGACAAATCGGATCCCTACAAATCTATAAAAATCCTTGAAATTTGACAAAATCCCATAAAAGTTTGCTAACAATAGATGAAATCCAAAATACAGAGGAAGGAAGACCTCCTCAAATGATTTCTCTGTTGAATACCTGAACCTAGCCATTTAACAAAAACCATCTTGCTAAAAAGAATGAAAGATGCGCCAAGAAAATTTACTGAATTTGAACTCACATTAGGAAATGACTTTTGGTGCTGATTGGATTTGAACAATTATAAAAACTGGAAGGTTTTAAGATCAGTCTTCTGCTTTGATTTCAATAAAATACAGTCTCATTTCCTTGTTTCAAGAGAGCAGAATTTATAATCGCAAGAGTTTTACCTTGTGTGCATATTGATGATTTTTCCCATTGTTGTTAACTTCATAAACTGAGGTTTGCACAGAATTTGGGATGCATTTGATCTTGAGATGAGTTTACAGCATCTACCGCAGCGGAATAGAGTTGCAATTGTGGCATAGTGGTTTTTCTTTTCATCTGGTTCCACTTCACCTAGTGATAGAATTAACTTGCAAAACAACCTTGGCTGAATTTTATCTTTCTTATCTTTTATGTTCTCAACGTCAGTATTGGAAAAATAGTCACATAGTCTAGAAAAATGAGAAACATATGTACTTAACCCTTTTTCTCACTTAAATTCTCTCATAAATCACATGTTTCATTGAGGATCTAGAATGCCTAATTACATGCATGAATGCACAGCGTACAGGAGGAAAGTTGATTAGTAGCTTAGGTTTATGGAGAAAAAGATTGAAGTTTTTCATTAATGTTTCCAGGAGAAAATTCGGAATCATCATCTCAAAAAAAACTGTTCCTCGGCAGTCTGTTTATCAAGATAGAGGCTGCAAAAGCTGATTTTTAGATATATTAGAAATAGCTTGTAGGTGCCAATGAGGATGAACATGAAATATTTTTTCAAAAGCAAGAGTTAGTCATGTATTATCATATTTTTCCAAAAGATTCATTATTTCCCCACACATTCTATAATGGGTCAGCTGCACTAGTTACAGAATCATGTGTTGATCGTTTAAGCATATTAATCAGCAAAAATAATAAAATCCAAATGCCTAGTTTCTATGTCTAATATTGACAGAGATATTGCCCTTGGGAAAACACGGTGTAGGACGTCATCCATTGCAGTAGGATGGGACGTCCCATGGTTTTATCCATTTGAGGTTCATCAGTTAGTTTAAAACTCATTTCCGCTTCATTCGCTTGGTCTAAGACATAGGATGGCATCAAGTTGGAAAAAACCATTGTACCTATTCACCACCGTGGTTGATGACATCATACACCATGTTTTTTGAAGGGCGATATTTCCATTGATGCTGAACTAGATTATTTTTTATCAGCTCCAGACTGAAGTGATCAAAACACGATTTTGTGACAAGCATAACTGACCCTTCCAAATGGTTTTCTTTTTAATGAAATCCCTGGTTATTTCTTTATTTGGTAATATTGACATGAAATCATTGATGTCCATATAGGTGTTCCTGTGCGTTCCTATATGAATGGTAAAGAAAACAATCAGAAGCAGTAGCCTACCTCGAGATAATGCTGTCATTTAGGCACAAGAGATTAATGTTCATCTTAACTATTGCATTGATGTTAGAATGAACGTACTCCAAACAGTCATTGAGCAAAGGGTCCATTTGTAGAAAAGATGCAGAGACAAGAATTGGGATGACATTTCCCGAGTCTGCAAAGAAATGAATATAAACGGTTACGTATAAAATCAACATCCTTTCCCAAGGAAATGTCAAACATGCATGTAAATGTGACAAATATAATGCATTAAAGTAAAATATGAATGCACTGAGCCTCTGCTGTACAAAGAAAAATTTACCTAATTTGGAAGGTGCTTCATAAGGCGGACAATCCTTTTTGACCCATTTCATCAACCAGTCAAATATATTTATATCACAGTGCACTGAAATGTCCATGTCCTCTAACTTCTGACCTGAAAATAAGAGAAAAAATCAATTAAATTAATTTCTGACGTCTGCACTAGTGAGATGAGTAGCCTGTTTTCTCCAAATTGTCAAAAACTTTGTCAGCTCTCTTTATATCTGACCCTGCCAATAACGGTTGCTCTACCTTGTCAACTAACATCGAGCATCATTCAAGCTTGTATTTAACTTTAGATCATCAACTCTGAACAACTTCGAACATGATGCTCACATTCCCAAAAATAAGTGTTAGTTCTCGAAAATTAAATATTCCTTACCAGTAGTGACCTCAGCGAAGTATACCATCTTTGAAATAAGAAGTTTTTGAGGACAGTAGAAGTCTTTCTTCATGTTTTTAATTTCATCACAGACATGGATCTCTACCTCAAAACTAAAAGAAAAAGAAAGAAAGTTTAGTAACTTGGAATTTCCTTGCCTTCTCCTTGCTTCTCATATTGTACCATTAAAGTAGAAAGCTTGTTCCCTTTGAGAGTTGAGGTGTTTAACAGCATGTAATGTCTTGCATTAGAATATTGATTGTGAAAGTCAACTAACATTTATCTATACTGTGACATCTCGTTATCGCCGCTGATGTTTTCTCTCTTGAAGGAATAATAAATTAAAGGTATTATTTTTTATGTCGACAGAATTTTTCACAGGAGGAAGAAAATCTGTCGAAATTCCAATCATTTATTCCTTCGTGAAAATGAAGTGTGGCCATAAACCTTCAACGTCGAAAATCAAGGCATATAGTACTTTGCTTGCATCATCGATGTATGGGATGAAGGAAAAGAGTAAGTTGATCCCTCAATTTACTTCGATTACTTTAGAATATGAAAATAACTTACTCGTACAAAGCAGGGATTTTTAAGATATACCACCCTTCAATCCTGAAAAAATTAAGTACAGGAGAGATTTTGCCCTTCTCTCTTAAAAATTCCTTTTTAATATGAATCCTCTGATCAGTTTTGAAGAAGTAATTTGTATCCGTTTTCTCGAGCGTATCTGGGTGGTAATTGTGGTAATTTTTTTTCTCTTTAAATTCAGTGGGTCATTTTGTTTCAAAATCATCAAGTATTTTAAGCTTTTTCACTTTTAAAGCATTCTTATGAAGAAGCAGGCTAAGCTCCACAACTTGATGGATTTTAGTGAACGGTCTTCCTAGCTGCAAGGTATCACAGGTGCTTGTTGCTTTTTTGCGTTTTTTTTTTTTTTTGTACTCGGTAACATATACCTATGTAGCCAATCTCAATCTTATGAAAAACCATAATTGCTCTGCAATTTATCTCTTAAAAGTTACCATCGTTATTTTTCAGAGTGGATTCTAGTGTGTAATGGAGGGGAGGAACTCGCTATAATTTTTTTCACAGCCCCAAAGACCAAAAATTGCTTCCATGTTAGAGTCAAAATCTTGTTTTCTAAATTTATCTTCACTCAATGCTCCCTTGCTTGCTAAAAGAACTGGAATGAATGACAATTTTACTTACTCTCCTTTCAAACTATTCCTGGTCCCATCTGGTATGAGCTTTTTCCGTCCAGAGTTGCTTTTGGAATCCCTCAGAGCAACTGTTATATTATGTTGAGAAGATAACTTGTCTTGCTTACGAGGCTCCGCTACCAGTGATTTCTTTATCAATGGAGGGTTGACAGTGATGGTCTGTTTAGTTGGCATCATATAAGGCAAAATTGAGTCCAATATCCCTTCGTTAATTATCTCGTTCAGTTTCATCTTCAAGCTTATGTCTGTCTTTCCACCGGAATTGAAGGGGTATAACTCTGTTTCAGTAGAGTCTGCTTGACAGACAGTTTTTTGTCACTTTAAGTCCTTCATTGAGCTTCGGCGAGACTTGGTTGTCCGGGGACAGTCTTCTGAGTTTGACCGTGACAACGGAGGATGCTGTTTTGATTGTTTTTCGGAAGAATTTTGATTTACATCAGGGTGGAGATACTGACTCATACCCTTACCCATTTTATCATTTGACTGTCTTCTGTCTTGCGGAGCACTGGTCGGTGCCATGAGGCCTTCTAAGATTGAACTTGAGCATAACTTATTCCAATCTACCCTTATGTTATTTTTAGAGTCACCAGAATTTTCGTCCAGTAGTTGCTCATTGACTTTATATGCGGTAGCCAAATAATCAAGAAAATCTTTCAAAGAAATGTCAATGTCAGAATTTTGATCTGATTTGTTTTTTGGTTGTGAAGTTGTCATCTTGTAGCTGGCAGAGTTCATTCTTCATTGATGCTGAACAGAATGCTAAAACAATCAAACGTAGTGATGATGGATAGCCGTCAGGAACTTTATTCTAGATTGGGTGCCATTCAAGTCTCACTCTTGGTGGACTTTTTGACTCCTGCCTCCCCCTTGCGTGAGCCAACCTCTCACCCCAAAGGGCATATCTGAGAGTCAGTCACTTTCCTTCAATGAGTTTTTAAGAAATTATGGAACGAGATCGGTGTCTGCTTTCTATGCAATTAAGATGAGCAAGGGACGGAATTTTTATCATAGGTGTTTACCATCTCACTAATTTTTCGGCCTGTAAATACTATGGGGAGTCCTATGAAACCGCTCGATTATTTTTTTTCCGTTCACACATCAACTGTTTTTCAAACCCTCGGCCCTCTTCGTTCTTCCTGGTGGTTCTCCAACCATCACCGCGCAACCATGAGCCTCTATTTTTTTCAATACCTCTCTTCATTGTTCATTTTTTTTTATTATACCCATTAAATACTCGAATCGCCTTACGTGCGAAAAGAAGCCACGCAAATCTTGCTGTATCATATGAAATCACAAGAGAAACCATATGGATTGCATTTTGCAAATAGGAACCATTAGCATTACAATGATGTTAAGGTTGTGCAACTTCATCCTTTGCAATAAAATTACGGAAATCGTGGAAAACAATGAAATTTAGACAGTAATTTTTGTCTTAGATTTATAATTCTTAGCAAGTACAATAGAATCTATTAATGGGACTGCATTTTGCAATTAGGACCTATAAATTATGGATCATCTGAAAAAGCACCTATGTGCATATGGAAACTAATGGCACATAAATTGTTTTTAAACCGGGCCGAAATTTATAGTTCCTAATTGCAAAATGTAGTCCAATGGTTACCTAATCTGGTTTTTCCTCCAAGACAAAAGAAGTTGCACAATCTTAGCAACATTGCAATGCTAGTGGTTCCTTTTTGGAAAATGCAATCCTTATAACGTTTGAAGCGCTTCGCGCTTCAAGAGGTTGGACCGCAAAGCGGCCAGGAGGCATAGCCCTCTAGTGCAATGATACAACGTAATCACTCCGTCAGCACAAGAGAGAAATTGAAGGCGCTACGGCCTTTAGAATGGCAACGTTTGGATGCAACTATTCGTGTCTAGGGGATGTCCTGGTTGCGTCCAAAAAATTGCAGGCGCTTTGGTTTTTTTTTTATTCACAGCGTCGCGTCGCGCCGGGCTGCGAAAATCTCTCGCTCAAGAGTTGTTTGCACAACAATCGCGACCAAACAAACCTCGATGTGTAGCAGCGTTGCAAAAACGTGCGATTTTCGGAAATGCTATCAACAATGATCTGCGAAATTGATTTTTTTTATTGAGAGCAAACGTTTTCGGTAGAAAATAGAGTTATTTTCCTAGAGTTTTTTAACCTATTTGGAACCTTATAGGAGCAGTAGGAAAGAGAAGCAACAATTTTTTGAGAGGAGGGAGGTGGCTATTGCGGGGTTTAGGAACGTATGAAGGATCGAGAGGTTTCTTCCTATCGATCTCGTATAGGCACTCCAAAAATGGCGTGGTCTAAACATTTAGAAAAATACAATATCTCATGGAGGATTACCATGATCCAGGCAGAGGTCAGTAAAAGAGGTAGAGAGACGGTTTAATGAGATCATGTAATATTAAAATAACAATACTTCTATCATAGTGTAGTGACCATTCCATGATTATCCAGATGCTGGTTAAATGAAGAAAATAACTCTAATTTCTGCCGAAAAACGTTTGCTCTCAATAGAAAAAATTACGAATACCTAATAATTTCGCAGATCGTTATTGATAGAATTTCCGCGAGTCGCGATTGTTTGTGCATACAACTCTTGAGCGAGGGTTTTCGCAGCTCGGCATGACGCAGTAATTTAAAAAAAACCAAAGCGCCTGCAATTTTTTGGACGCAACCAGGACATCCCTTGGACACTAATAGTTGCATCCAGATTCCAGATGTTACCTCTCAACAGGCCGCAGCGCCTTCAATTTTCCTCATGAGCTAACGGAGTAATTATTATACGTTTTATCATTGCACATACTAGAGGGCTATGCCCCTTGACCGCTTCAAAGTCCAATCCCCCGCCCATGTAGCATTTTTCAACGGAAAAATCGCGATATTTGAATACGAATTTTCGACGATAAAATAGCCAGGATCATCAACATTTAAGCAATTATCCTCATCTTTGTCGCAATTTTATCTTTGTAAAATCGCGTTTGATAAAGGCAAAATTATATTTCAGTTTATCGCGATTTTTGTTCGATAGTATCGCGATTAATTGCTGTCGATAATATTGCGATTTTATTGCAAATTTATGTGATGAGATCGCAATTTATCGGAATTTTTTATCCGATAATGTCGCAATAGATCGACGTCGATAAAATCGCGATATTTTCTCCGATCAAATCGCAACTTATCGCAATCGTTGCTACTTGGGCGAAGTGCTTCACGTCTCACTGCGTAGGTTACTCTTAATTGTGATTTTATGATACATTGAGATCTGCGTGGCGCGGCGTCCCCACGCCGACAATTACATAGGGCGATTCGAGTTAAAAGGTATAACCAAAAAAAAGCTGTAGATAAAGAGAGGTTAAAAAGTAATAGAGCTCGTGGTTGCAAGGCCGGATTTAGGCGTTGGTCACACGGGCCGCGGCCCATGCGGCGGCAAAAAAGAGGCGGAAAATTGTACAATTTTTTTAAATGTAGGTAGGTATCAAAAAAAAAAGCGGAAAAAATCGGATTCAGAAAATAAATTATAAACGAGAAAAGGCAACAAAATCTCTCATTTACTGAGAGTAAAGGTATAGTAATTTCTAATTTTGTCGTCTTTCGTTGATACAAAAGACAGCACCTTTAATTAGTCGAGTTAAGAGAGAAACCAAACGCACAATTTGGCCTAGCGCAGAGAGCAACGATGACGAATTGAGATGAAAAGGAGAGACCCTCGGCGTGGTGGTCGGCATGAAACACATATTAGCGCCTACAAGACTGCGTGAATACTTCACGCATTGCGTCAAACACAGTGCGGTCGCGTCGGCGCGGCGTGAGACGCATAGCGCCTGGAAGACTGCATGAATACTTCACGCATTGCGTTAAACACAGTTTGGTCGGCGCGGTGGCGGAAGTTAAAATTATTAAACCACATTTATGTTTCTTCTTTCATAATTTTTTCGTTCATTTCCTATAAATGGAGGGCCTTGTCCACACAGAGATAGGTTTACGGAACTTAACTTTCGCGCGAAGTCTTGTGAGAAGGGAGCGGCGAAATACAGGCGGCCCATGGGCGGCAAGTAGGTGAATCCGTCCCCCGGTAGTTGGAGAGCCACTAGAAAGAATGCAAAGGGCCAAGAGTTTGAAAAACAGTTGATTTGTGAACAGAGAGAGAGAGTATAATCCAGCTGTTTCAAAGGACGCATGTATACTCCCATTCTACAAGCCGAAAAATTAGTGAAATGGTGAACACCTACAAAATAAATCCGCCCTTTGCTAATCTTAATTTCATATATAGTGGATGCCGATCTCATTCCACAATTTCTTAAAAACTTATTGAACAAACATTGACTGACCTCCCAGACAAAATTCGCGCGAGGAAGTTCACGAACTCGTAGTCGGTGGGACAGTTGGGCCATTATTTAATCCGTAATGACGCACCGGAAATTAGGAAATTTTCACCACCATGAAAGGTAATAATCTATTAGATAAAATAAAATCGTCGGCAGTGATGGCGTTAGGTTTCAATCGAATTCCGATCGACGTCCTGTGAGATACACGCACACTTCAGCGGCCGCAACAAACACACTTCGTTGTTAAAACCGTGGGCCCGCGCTTGTGAGTCCCTCTCATGGCAACCGGAAAGGCTGGAGATAACGTTTTACCGTAACCAAGGACCAGGCTTGTCGATCCTTGTTGATTATCGATGGTGGAAACACCGAAGTACTTCAGCAAGAATATCTAACTTTTATTTTTGCAAAACATTTATTTGTTTGAATTTCCTTCTGTTGGACTCTCCAAGAATTTCTTGCGAGAATGTCTCGCCATTCTCATGAAAAAATGAAGTACGGGCAGAAATTTCCCAACACTGCAATCGGAAATCAGAATCCGTGGTTTGGCAGTTTCTCTATCGAATCGATGCACACTTTGTGCACGTGCACTTGCTTACTGGAGTCTTTCGACAACTTTTTTTAAAGAGGAAGAAAACTGACATTATCTCGACCTCTGCATGCATCGAATGGCAATTTTATCTCTATATTTTATTCAAACTGTTCCCTGCTTGGGCGATAGAGCAATCTTAATTACACCAAGGAAAGGAGGATCTTTACGTAGTTTTATTCAAACGGACACACCTCGAATGGGGTGGCAATTAAAAATGAATACTTAGAAAAAAAATAGCAGGCAGAATGTTTACGTTCTCCAAGAAAGCTAGATATGAATTTCATTTCCTTCTTTGAATATTTGACTGCAGCCAGGAGGTTTTCAAGTATGATATATCGTACATGTAGTGTCAATACCATAAGTTTCATGTTGAGACGAAGATTTTTCATGAATCATTATAAGAAACATAAAATTCTGGATATCCGGCCTTTTCATTCCGTAATTTCTCAGATTTTGAAAGTCCCGCTTCTTCCGGCTGACCAGCGCTCTTCTCTGATTGGTCCAGCCGCGTGTGGCCAGGGACGAGTTCTATAGGACGCCGTTCTGTTGTGAGCGGGTGATTGCAGCGCATTCTCGCGTAGGATCCTAGTCAACTCAGAGGATCCTCCCCCCCGAACCTCGACTCATCCATCGCCCGCTCCAAAAGTGAGGTTAAGCCGGGGATTGAAAAATAACACATAAGGCGGCTGAATTCTTGAAAAATATTTCTTGAAAAATAATTCTTGAAATATATTTTTGGCGTTTTTCGACCCCTTTCGGCAAGGAAGGGCCCGCCGCATATAGTATTACGGTGAAAAATTCGATTTTTTGCAGTTATACGCGATCCTACGGATTTTAATGAAGTCCAACAACTGATAACAGCAGTGAGTTGCGAGGATCCTACGCGAGAATGCAGCACTAGTACCTGCTCACGAATTTTTACATTGACTCTTACGGGAGTCCAGGGTCCTATAGAACTGGTCCCTGGTGTGGCTTCCGAAGGTCAAAAAGTAAACAAAAACAAACAGACTTTATCATCTCCTGCTTTGCGTGTCCCGTGTCCGTGTCTCAATTGTCGTAATTGCGGTTCAATCTAAACGTTTTTCAATCTATTACGTATTTGTCGTTGGAAAATTATCACTTCCTGTTCTCTATTTTGTCCTCGCACAAATTTTGGTAACCTTTCTATCAGTTATTGAGCTTTTTCAAAGGCTCCTGGTTTTCGATCTTGTCTTGGAGAACATCCTAATTTTTAGCGCTTGTCTTTTCCTGTGATAAGAGCTCCTGATCATGGTAGGTTCTCAGAGTCTGCTTAATTTTAAGGTACCCCTCATTTTTCATGCAGGAATTTCATTAGCTGGATATGGCCTCAACAGCTGTTTCCATCACTTATGCACGCGGGACAGAATCAAGTATGAATGGCGCCAGTCAGTTAGTCAAATTTTATCGCACTGAACCTTGAATATTGAAATCATCAAAGGCATACTATGACTTCTCCTTCTCAAGCATGTTTTTAAATTTTTAATGTCAAGTAACAAATTCAAGCTCATTTCTGAAGAGTCTTCAAGAGCACGTGTCCTCTTTCATTTCAAGAATCCTCGGCGTAATCCTAGATAGTTATTCAATTAGAGTCTCTCAAAATAAATAGACCCTGATAAATGTAGTGAATTATTTTCAAGCCGTCAAGACTGCACCATCAAGATTAACTTTAATAGGGCCCTGATAGTGTCGCTAATACACTCGTCAAAGATCCAGTGGCATTTAACGAACTTGCTGTACTTACCAAGTAGATATTTATAGATCAACGTATCAGAGAATAAATGGTAGCATAAAGGAGAAGTGGGTGCTTAAAGTTGTATCTGATGCACTTAACAAGCCGATATAGGCAGTTGTAGATGGTATTCAACGGGGGGAGGGCAACGCATACTCATGAAAGAAAGTACTCTTTTAGGGTAGGAAAGCTTTCCAAGCACCTCTAACTCTATTGGAGTCAAGTAGAACATCCATTTTGGTACTATTTTTGTTTGACCGATTAAAGGAGAGGGATCTACATCACAAAAGCATCACAAGGGGAGGAGGATGGTAAATCCTAAATGTAGCATTCCATAGTTTAAGAATGGCCATCGATTCTCAACCCGCATCTGTTGCCCGAACACAAGTTCATTTTCGGCTATCGTCAACTTCTTTTTTAGGCCAATGACTGCTTCACATTGATTCACTGCAGAGCTCAGTTTAGACTGCCGTAACTAATAATTAATTTACATGTTTTCATAAATTTAGAAGGAAATATAGGTATGCACCTCACTGATCTCTCTCAAATCGGTTTTTCCAAAGTCTAAATAATTCAAAGGTATCATTCTTTCTTTTTTAGTCTCAAAGTGTCCAAGTGTGTGATATTGAAGATGATGTACGAGATGCCATCAAGAAGTTTCGATTTCGGAAAAGTGAACTGAACTCAGCGCTGATTTGTACGTATTTTTAAATTTTTATTGAATTTAATCTTAACAACTTCACTATCATACAAATTAAAGTAAGCTATTAAAACAAAATATTGTTGACAAATAACAGAGGTTACTTTCTCATGAAAATAACGTAGCTACTAAGATAACCAGGAATACCATTCAGGAGGGGCAGGCTGGGTATTTGCTGCTCCTGTGTTTTTGACTCGGCCCAGGAAAAGCACTTGGCACAGCAATGAGAATGGATAGAAAAGTGAGGAAGTTATCAGAAGCCGCTAAAAATCAGCAGACAGTAGGACTTTATGTAACAAGGTGAAGGAATGGTGCTGGGTCTACACCATTTCGCGAGGAAAACGAAGCCAAGAAGTTCCAAAAATCATAATCAGAGTCAAAAACATTTTTTTTAACTCTAATGAGTATCAGTAAATAACTGAGGAGGGAGAGTGTTCAGCTCAGGCAGTTTGCATTGAAATATTAAGTTGAGGTCACCCTTTTTTTTTAAAACAAAAAAAAAAAATTATTTTTGACTATTTATAATTTTTGGAGCTTCTTGGCTTTGTTTTCCCTCCGATATGGTGTGGATCTAGCTCCATTTCTCCACCTTGTTACATACGCAGTTCGAGCCACTTCTTAGTGTGTTTTTTTCCTCAGTAGGACTTTAGTTTCCCTATCTGTAATGGGGTCAGTCAAAGAGCCCTCAAGGTGAAAAAATGAGCAAATGTGATAACCAACCACAGGCCAGGCGGGTTAAATCTTCCTTATTTTGTGCAAGGAATACACAACAATTTCAATTATTGACTCTTTGTGAGCAAGTCAATGGTTAAAAGGGACGGCAACCTTAGAAACAAGTTTGGCTAAATCGTCGAAGAAAAGTGTGCAATGAACGTCGCGAAAATCCGTTTACGAATATCTGCATTCGTTGAGCCGTTATCGTGATAAAACAGCTGAGCGTGTGATGTCATCAGCTCGGTCTCGCATTTCGCAGTCTGCACTCTGCATACTGTCTCCGGTGTCAAGTGGCCGATGCTAGTTTGACAAGTTATTAGTTCGCCCCAATCTCGCTCGTTCCTGGCCGAATCTTTTTTCTTTGCTTCGGTATGACTATTGAGGTGACCTCGCTGCGTCAGACAGGGAACGCGCCAGGCTTTGAGTCGTGTGCATGTGAACCGCAGTTGCAGCGGGAGCTCATGACGTCACCTGTCAGACTTACAATCTTTCATATCTCAGCCGATTTTGCGAATTTTTCATTCGGGACAGAGCCATTTTGCTTCTGAAACCTTCCCACTTCAATTTTAAGTACTATCTCATTTTCGATTTTAGGGTTGCCGTCCCCTTTAAAGGTGAAAGGTAGAAAAATCATGAAAAGCGCTGTTGCCCTGTTAAAGTTTGCCAGCGCCAGTGGCGAAAAAATTAACTTCTTAAACATATAACATCAATAATAAAAACAATTATGGCTTGAAATTTCGATCCAATGCTCTTAAAAGTACTTGAAAGCAAAGAACATGCAAGAACATTATCGTGTATTAGAAAGCATTCTGTATCAAAAACTGATTATAGATATTTTATGACCCCAAATTGGTTTTTTTGCCGTTCCTATATTGAAAACTTTTGCCTGACGCCATGACATTTATTTAAATCTATGAATTTCTGCATGGATTTTCTAATTTTTGTGCAAAAAAATGTTTCAAATCTCTCTTATCTGAAGGAAAGTGTAAAATGTACTCTTTTTTGTGCGCAGTGATGTGAAGGCAAAGAGCTTTTTACTCTTCTGGATCAAAAACGTATTTGATTTGAAAATGAAATCGTTTTCTGTTTCTAAAAACAAGTGGAAAGAACAATCAAATGAAGGAGGTTATCCTTGCCGAAATAAAATCAGCCAATGGCAAGTGTTCAATTAGGAGGGCTCTTCGCAGCAAATTACAGAAAGGGTAGAGAAACAGAACAATTTCTGCGGAGGAAGTCCTTAACTCGTCTATTCTTACCCTTTTTTCTCTTCTTTCAGTGAAAGTAAACCGAGAGCAACAGAGAATCTGCGTGGATGATTTAATCGAGGATGTGAGTTTGGATGATTTGCAGGAGATACTACCAGGCCACCAACCACGTTTTGTTGTTTACAGCTACAAAATGGAGCATAGCGATGGCAGAATCTCCTACCCAATGTGTTTCATTTACATTACCCCAAGAGGTTCGTAACACATTTTTTTATTTTTTAATCAGTCTGTTGATAATTGTTTCATTAATACAGCTGCTTTGAATCTTTCGGAACACTGGAAAAATGAATCAACTTTTTTTCGGGACAGTATCATTATTACTGGTCAATGGTTGGTTTAAAATGAAAGGCCAGGGTAAGAAAAAACAAAAGGAAATTTGAGAAACTTAAAGGCACAAACTAATTGGTACATGAAATCACCCCTCCGTCCTCCAATAGACTGTAGAAAAGACTGGAAACTTCTGGCGAGTTAGAAATGAAATGAAGAAATGTGATTTTTCCAAGGCATGAAATCTTAAAATCCTTTTATATGCTTCAGCTGTTCTGAATGTATCTCAAATACTAACCTATAATTTATGTTTCTAGACAGTCAAATGGAGCTACAGGTCATGTATGCTGGAACCAAGATGGCTCTTCAACGTGAAACAAATCTTACCAGAGTCTATGAAGTTCGAGAGCTGGAAGAGTTGACAGAAGAGTGGTTGAAAGAAAAGTTACAGTAATGTCATCAAACCAATGAATTTTTATTGCAGCGCTGGAAGCGATGGTGAGTTTAAGGAGTTTGTTGGATCAGAATGGTTTGTAACTACTATGCTACAGGAAAAGATGCATGAAATCAATATTTAATGATGCCCTGCTTCCAAGTTGCGCACTTAGTTGCAGGACATTGCTGTAAAAACTGCTGTAAAACCTTCTTTAGTAGGTAGGCTATTTATAAATTTATTATGACCATTGTATGAATTTATTACCATTCATCTCAGTTTTCAAGCTCCATAAAAATTGAAGCATAAAGGAAGATATACTAGCTGTGTAAAAAGCTATAGGCAATGAAAAAATTCTAAAAGAAGCATTTCTTGCTTGGCTTGAAGGATCTCCTTCATACTATGAGATGATAAACAATACCAATGACTTAACTTGAAAATCTTGTAAATTGAATATGATTTTTCAGCATTTCCTCTCCTATTTTATTTTTTGTAAGAAAAGGAACAGACTTCATCACTTGAAATTTGTTCAGAATATTCTTAAAACAGAACAGAAAAATCACCGAAATTTTCAAGACCTTACTCTGGTTAGTTTTCCAAGAAAAAAAATGTAGATTGAGAAGTTTGCAATGGCAAATTAAGGTGCATATTATGTAATCTCTAAATTTAGCCCTTCATACTTTCCTCTGCATTTTTGGAGTGCCAATTTTTGAACTTTTATGCCCATCACAAGAATCTTTGAGTTATTGAAACGTATTTTTGTTAATTGTGCAGTCAATACATTAAGTGTTCATACTCAAGAACCCCAAATCCTATGAGCATTTCTCCTCCCCGAAGCTTTTTAGTTTTAAGACTTTACTTCGATCATCAAGTTCGTTCATTTTAGGATTTTTCTCTCATAAACTATTAGATAGAGAAGTTGATAATTAATAGCTTCTCAAATTCTGCATTCTTGGCTTTCAGTGAGCTGTAAAAATGTATTAGCCCCCAGAATTGTAAAAAAGTGCTTCGCTTAATTTTTATAGCTTGTTGAAAACCTTAAAATGGAACCAAGAAGGTACTTCTTACCCGATTTCTCTATCCGGAGAAAAAAAATCGTCATATTCAAACTCTGAATGATCCTCCTATTTTTATATTGTATTCGTGCGCTATTGTTTTGCTTTGTTTTATGATTTATGCAGCCCCATTTCCCCCATTAAACTTTAATTATTTTTAAATCTTTTAGATTTTGATGAACTTCGAATATTTTATGATATTCTATATTTATTTAAGAGGACTTTCACTCGACAAATGTTCAGGAAGATTTTTATCTTTACCTCTCTCTACTAATTTCTGGAAAAACCATCTTTAAGTGTCAAAAGTGGCAAATGGTAATCAACGTAATTTTTAACATTATATGATGGAACGGAGTATGGCAATGCTAAACAGGTTTGTTCAAAAGTGACAAAAAAAAATCAAAGGTTTCTAAAAACCTATCCTATGAAAGCTGCATAAATCATACATATTTATTCTCATTTTTGTATTATTTTTTCCATTTTATTGTTACCCCTTCCTATTGCAAGGTATAATTAGTTTGGGGTGTTCAAACAAATCAATGACGTCAAGCTATCAGGAGGTACACCTTGTCTGGAATTTCCGTTACATTCCATTAAAGCCTTTGTAGTTGGAAATGACTGGCTTTTTTGCAAATAAGTGAGCTTGTAAAATTGTATGTCTATCCTTAGTTTTGCTCAGCTAATCAGCTCGTAAACTATAAATAGCAACTGCTCATTTTTACCACCTCTGAAAACTTAGGCAACTAGTTCTCTTTCTCTCTAGAACATTTTTACAGAACTGTTTCAATAGCTTACCGAAAACTGACAGGACACCCCATTATTTAGTGTGTAGCCTTTTCCCTCAATTGTCAAAGATAAAGATTTGCTCCTACATGAGTCGTTCGACTGTTGAGAGCCACCAGTCTTTCAGAATGGATGAGCTTAGAGCATACCTGATTTCTCTCAAAACGTCTGGACCAGCATTCTCTAAACTGTCCAATCAACTCTGTGGATGGTTTGACAAAATCTTCGATGAAGTTGTAACAATCAAACACATGCAAACTGATTCAATCAGGTAGTACCTCCTCTTTTTATCTGAATAGACACCAAATATGTCTGAATTTTTCAATTACCCAAATCAAGGTCATAGGCATCAAGTCATGGAATGCCTTTTTCTGCACAGAGCACATTAAGACTGGATAAAAATTTGTGATTTTTATATTTTTGTACCGTACCTTGTGCTACGCTCTCCATTTTTTTTAACGCTTTGTGGTGTTTTATATTTTCTTACGGCTTTTACAGTTTAATTTTAGATCTGTTATTTATACCCTTTCGTTTTCTCAATCAACCAATGCAATCATTTTTTGTATCATTCTCTCTAAGTCCGAACTCTTATTTAGGAATGATCTTTTTTCAGCAGTTTTTGTAAAATTCATATCAATGGACCACTAGAAAAGGTGCGAATTTTAAAACAAGGATGCATGTTCTCTCATCGAAAAGTAAGGTATTTGCAACAAAAATTTATTGAAAATAACTTAACGATGGAATCAACGTTTTTCGATAAATAAAGTCAAACTTCTGGCCTATCAAAAGACCACAATCTACTTGAGTTACATTGCACACTAAATGATAGTGTAACAGTCTCTGTGCTATGAAAATATGGCAACCTCAAAATCAGAGATTCGGCTCAGCTTCTGCACATTGTTTACACTTCGAAAAACATGGGGCCGGGAAGGAACAGCGCTTGATTGAAGAGGCCTGCCAAAACTGTTGTGGTGCCGGATTTGATTCTGTAGCCTTTGGTTTTTCTTTACAAGTGGAAAATTCAAATTTCCCGCATCAGTGCTAAATAAAAACGTTGATATCTTTCGCAGGAGTTGATTTCAGTAATTTTCACCGCTTGAAACGTGTTTTAAATATAATTTTGAAAGGGAAACATGAAAGATCGTTTTAATACATACCTTACATGGTGGTCCATTCAAACCTTAGATAATACGCTAATACATACACTCCAACTTGTGAACACTCCAACTGATGAGAATTCTGCGCATCTTCCCTTTCTTTTAGAGGACATAATCGAGCTGGAACTAGCTATTAAGCAACTGTTCCTAACTTGTGGCAGTGCAGTTCTGATTTTTTTGTACAATGTATGAATTACCATGAGTGATCTGTGATAAAGTTTGGAGAGATGAGTACTCTCTTGCAAACAGCAAATTATGTAGATCCAACTTTTCGAAAATGTGAACGTTCAGAATATGAGTACCATTGCAGTATGTACATATAATTCTAAACCTACAGGACTTTGCATCCTCTTACAGGACACACTTTCATCAAACTTGAGGATTTTCAGCAGCTTGAAAAACACCTTATTTCTCACATCTCTCAGAATTGTTCAAATAGCGCTTAGGTTAATTAGAAAGTATGCAGTTTGACAGAATACTTACAGATCCTCGAAGCTTCTTATTCCCTTTTTTTCATCTTTTTTCTTGAGGGTAGGTGGGTTGGTGTATAACCCAATTGCGCGCGTCACTTGTCTTGCCATGATTAATCATAATTACTGTGACATTTATGATTGTTATTAGATCTCATTTTCGGTTAATATTTCTTTTTTACTACCACGGTCGTGTTAACAATCAACTATGTAACTAACTACTTAAAAATCCAAGCCATAGTGTGCCACTTGGCGTCTTTCTCTCCCGTTTTGGGAATATGCATGAAAAATTATAATAGTAGCAATTGAATATTGTCTCATGAAATCCTTGACTGCTCCTCTAATATCAGAGTTGCAGGTATTTCTCAAAATCTTTGATTCGCCCTCTTTTCCCTATTCCTAAATTGGTTGTTCGCACTTTCCGATATCTACCTTCAGGCACTCAATATGTCAATGAGAAGTTCTTTGAGAGTGACATTGCTGAGTTACTGGAAACTTCCGCAGGAAAGTAGTGCATGGCAGCTGTGCCTTTATTGCACTTTTTGCTATCATTAAAAATGGGTTGCTCCTCCAGTTATGCTCTCTCTCACCATTCACCCATTGAATCAATTTTTCACTTACACGTGTAAATCCATTGCAACATTTCAAAAGTCATTGTAGCACAGAGTGTAACTAACTCAGAGTGATGCAGAAAGACGTTAAGTTTCGCTCTGATGATATTTTCATCGATGTACAATAAAGAGAGATACCATGACAAAACGCCATGAAAAAAAGTCAATTTCCATGTCAAAGGTCACTCAGCAAAGCTCAGCCGTCTTGTCGTATCAGTTGAAAAGATATCAAACTTTCCCAGGATTATGGTTTTATCTTGCACAAAACTTGTTTGAGAGAAAAAGGTTAGCAAAAGCGTTGGTTTTAAGAGGACTCTTGTTCAATCAATACCTTAATATTAATAATTCCTTTGATTCCATCAATCGTTGTCAGCAATCTTAGTAATAATTTTGTGTTCTCCTAGCTGAGTATTTTTGACCACATTTGTATTTGATACCTTTTCTAAGTAAGTTTTAATTTTTGTTATTTTTAAAGATGTCTAATAAAAAGCAATATTCCAAAAAAAGAATGATCATTTTTCATTCAAACTCTCTTCCTGTCCCTCCCAAGTACATATTAATAAACTTGCATTGGAGTGTCTCGTATGTTGCCTGCTTACTGATTGAAAAGACAACTCTTACTGAAAATTGATATAAATTTGAAACTTATTTTTCTTTGCATTGCAATTTGCAAATTTTGTATACAGTAACTCATCTTATTGATCGTTTCAGATCAGTATTTATTGACCAAATGATGTAAGAATGTTACAATTTCATGATAAAAAAATTTCCATTTTAGTACATTAATCCAATATTTTCATCGCATTGTGCTATTTGGGTTATTGATATCATTAAATTTCTCTCTTGTGAGAGTGGTTAAATGGGAAGCTTAATTGATCAACTCGCTTCAAAATCCAGAAAATTTTAAAATTCCATCTAAAGAAATTTTTAATTATCATAGAAATTCCCATTCGGATCTCGTCTTACATAAATATGTGTGCTACTTATTTTAGAGCTCCAATTCGGAATCTCTTTCTTTATGTATTGATGCATCCATTGTTGCTTGCAAACTTTAGACTTGGAACAGAGAAGTAGATACCTCAGGGGAATTTCAGGTTACTGAAAATGTTTATTATCTTCCTCCTGAGGAAGCCTTCTGTTATTTCTTGCTACAAAAAAAAGTTTGAATCAGCAGTGATGGGGTTTCTCAAAGATGATAAAATAAAGGAACAAAATTTTTGAGTTAAAAATATTTTTCAATGTTTCACAGATTCCTATACAGTTTAAAAATGACTACCAAAAAACAGGTAGGAAAATCTAGCATTAAAGAGCCATCCATTGAGTAACTCATTTTTGTTGCAAGAATTTTTATAGAAATCCAAAACGTGAGCTGTACCTGCTTGTGATTAAGGTAAGATATAGTGGATTAAAATATTTTACGTTTCAAAATCACAAAAGTTAGCCTCTGAGGCAGAAGTACTTTAAGCAAATTCAAGCCAATCATCTGAGCTTAAAAATGAGTGCAGCAAAAATGAGTAATACCTCAAGGATAATATTCATTACATGAAGGGAAAAAATAGAAAGAAAAAAAAAACAAAACTAAGTAGTTGTAATCGCATATTTTTACAACTTCCGATCTGACTATTTTTCAGTACAAAATAATGGACTAGGCTTTGTATGTTCATACGAATTCCCTATAACTATTGGTGGAATACCTTGGTCGAATTCAACAGAGTTAAAGATAACCTCAGCATTCGTTTGCACTAAACCAATTTTAATGGAACACAAGAGCTTTTTTGAGGAAATTTCTTTCACGGTTGGTGCTAAAGTTTGAGTGCAGTTTTTATGCGTAGACAAAGGCTTGTCCTTTTAAAATGGTCCTGTTATTTTTTTTAGACACTATTTCTTTTATGGTGAAAAAAAAATTTCCCCGTGCACAACAGAATCATTTTTGAAAACAACAAGTTATGATTCTTAATATTTTCCCCAAAAAATCAACTTGATAGGGAAGTTATCACTTCTTGAAAAACTCTGATTTCTAAAAGTATCTTTAGTAACCAAACACTGCATTTGGTTTTTCTCGAAATATATCTTCACTGATGAGAGCTATAAGCCCTTAAAATTTGTTGCCACTGAGACGAGACATCCCCATTTCGTCTCAACATTTCAGCCTACGGTCAGTTGATTATTCTCTGCCTACCTCTCTGCTATTTACTTAGTCTCTTGCTATTTACTTCGGAAATGCATCTGTTTTTTTGCACAGTAAAATGCTTTTCTCAGAAATATTGTTCCATTGAAGGGAGATAAGTAAAATTTGTAGCAAGCTTGAGAAAAACAGGAGAATATAAAAAGGAAAGTTTGGTGAGAACAAGGAAGTAGTTCTAGCAGTTAATGACAGCTGATTTGAAACAGGTCGTTGCAGAGCTTGCATTAATCTGGAAACGAAATAAGGGTTTTTTTGCAATTAAATCATTCTTTTGAGCCATCAAAAGCTCTGCCGAGAACTCACTGCTCTCTCAGTCAATGTGACTGAAGGAGATGGACCTATGACAATATATTTTTTTTCACACCAGTAGATCAAAGTTAATAAAAATAATACAGAAAATTATAGGGGTAGGAATAACTTATTTTTATTATTGATTCATAGTGATCTTAAACTTTAGGGGGAAAAGGAACATTACTTTTCCAATGACCCTCATTAAAGATAATCTCCAAGAGGGAAGAAGTAAGAAAATTATATATAAAGAAATTATTCTTTACCCAAGAGTCAGTCTTTTGGCAATACATATGTTAGTTTATTGTTTTCAAGAAAACTGTAGAAAAACAAATCCCTGAGCACAAATATTATCTTGCCATTATCCGGAAACCCTTGAATATAAACAATTTTTAGGCCCTAATAAACTTGAAATGCGGACAATACATTTTCTTCAAGGAACATTTCTTTAGCATAAAATTCGATAAGTGCCTGTGCAAAAACATGACTTTGCGACAAACGTTTTATGTAAAATATTTGTCTTCACAAGGATATAATGTGTGTATTTCATAAATACAAGTACTATTGATTCAAAGCCTGCAGAAATTACACAAACTCTAAAACCTAAATAACATTCCTCTGTATTATATGAATCATCACAGGAACATATTGTAAAACGCATTCTTGAGAGCAAAGAAAAAAAAATGATTACGGAAAGATGTTAGGCCTAATTGCAATGGAATGAGATTTATGAAATGGATTTCCTTGTTCATATTTTGTGCTCTATTGCTTTGAGGATGTCTACTCGAATTTTAAATTTATTTTTGGGTTGTTGTCACCTTTAATTTCACTAAAATTTTCACTAATTCACAGGGTTATTATTTCAAAATAAAAACACATGTGATTCAATGGATGAAGACAAAACAATTAACTTCATTCCCTAACTAATTCAAGTAATGCTGAACTAATAAAGGGGGAGAAAATTTAAACTGAAATAGGTTGTGTCTTTAAATACTGGTGGCTCATTGATGATTCACAGATTATGTGATTATGACAGAGATTTCAGCGAGATTTGTCAATAATTTGCTGTATTCTTGAACAGTACCTAGTAGTTGTGGTTACTTAAAGAGATAAAAGAGAGAAGGTACGAAAGCACAGTTGCAACAATTTCAGAAAGCTACAAATTTTCATAATCAATGTTGTTGCAAAAAAACCAAAAACTTGGCATACCTCTGACGGCAATTAGATTGAAAAATCAATTTTCCCTTCCAATAAATGATGGCTTCAGTTCTACCCCAAAACCTATTAAAAATACACTTGGTTACAACATACGTACCGAATATTTACACTTATATGTATATGTGTGAGGGTGTGTGTGTGTATGTGGACTTGAATAACGAGAGTACACTCTCTCACGTAACTTTGCAAAAACACTCACTTTTCCATAAGACACTGGCTCGCTTTTGCAACTAATTGATATCAAGCAAATTTATATTGATATTAAGCTTTGTCAAAGTGGGCAAACTTCCATTGAACTACTTAGAAAAACTCCAGGCGAATCCAAAAGTAGTAAAGGATAGCCTCACTAAGAACTTTTCTGAACTAGTTCAATCTGAGATAAAACTAGTTTGTTGCACTGAATGTACAGTTTATTAACTTACTTTCACCAGGATATAGGAAAAGTTTGCTTGTGTGGACAAAACGTTAGTAAGCATTCAATGTTCCTCATTCTAACAACACACTTTTACATACCTTATCACATACATATTTACTTAAGCATATGTAGCCCCAGAATTGAACCACTGACTAATTTAACTGATATATCACATAGATTTACAGGTGCATCCTCAATGTAATGGCTACACTCAAGGATTGATGATGCAGTCAAGGCACTGCAAAAGAATTCCTAGAAAAGATACAAATTTTTATCTGTCAATGCTTCATTTTTACAGCTTTTAATTAGACAGGAGATGACTTACTGATTCATTGATGTTAAAGAAACATGATGAACATTTCAAGAGTATTTGGCACTGTTGCCTATGTCTAAGCTGTAACAACCACAAATTAAAGACAAACTGGAGGAAAATCTAAACAAGGAATAACTCAGTCTAATCGCCTGACGCTGTAGCTGCGACTTAAATTGGAACCAGAGGAAAAACTTATTTTATTCTTAAATTAAACTGAGGGTTTGACACAAAAAATGATCCCAGGACTAGTAAAAGATGTCAAAAAAGATGAACGTGCGAAAAGATAGACACTCGAAAATATACCTTGGCCTCAGTGTTTTTACTTTGCAAGGTGCTTGAACATCATATTACATCTGAAGGTATAAACCCCATTTTTTACTTCCAATCGCAGTCACATGGTGGAGGGGTTCTTATGCTCCCAAGGTTATGGCTGTAGGCTCCTCAACTAGAGCAAAAGCCAATTAACTACTAAAAGAAGAAGATCCAGAGGTTGGGAAGACCTAGTGCTTTATCAATAACCTAGCTAACTTTCTTAATTTTCGCTAAGAAGTTTGAGATTCGGAAGAAGATTTAAACTTATTCAAATTTTTTCTCAAAAATTCCAATTGAAAACGGTCACAAGTTTGAGGCCATTAAATATAGGATCTAAATCATAATGACTGCATCCCCTAGGAAATCTGCAGTAAGCGTATCCAATTCAGGATGATGAAAAAAATCTGCGACATCCTGAGATGTAAAGCTAGTGTAACTGAAGTTCAAACAGATGATTATCAACTAGTTGAGACAATTTTCGTATTCAATAACTTTGCTTCAGTTACCACTGGATGTTCAAAAATTCTGCAGGGAAGAATTGAAAAAGAAGGTTCATTATCAATAGGTTCATTTTTTGTTTAGGTTGCTGGCATTGAGAAGTATCTTGAGCGAGGACAATATTCATGATGAAACTGCAAGATTGCATACCTTGCTTTGCAGCATTGCAAACTTACTGTAATACTTCATTTTCTGCATGGAATACTACTGAAAGTTATTCCTTGAAAGCTTACATGATTTGTCCTCTCTATATGCGGAACATTCTGTGAAAATTTCAAGTCATGATCTAGGTTCAGTCTCCTTCAGAAAATAAAATGGGAGCGGAAAATTTGTAACACCCCATCCGAGATACCAGCGCATTTTTGCAATTTCATGGTCAATATTCAGTTAATTGCAGGAACTTTACAATTTCCTGCCTTGGAGATTAAATTACTCCCTCCAAGAAGAAAAATTCAATACCTAAACTTGAAAGTTGTTTTTGGATGAATAAAGTTTGAGTTGATGTTTTCCTCTGGTCCCATTGGTCACAACTAGGGTAAGAATGTTTTATAAAAACATAAGCCTTCCTTTAAAGTACATTTAAATCCCAGTTACAAATTATGAACCAGCGATGTGTTTATATTGATTGGCGTCTGAGGACCTAGGATCGAACCACTGACTTCTTGAAAACTAAATTGAGGGAAGTAAGGTTGCAATGTTTCCGACTCTTCTTCTATACTCCTAAGGATGCCAGTGTTGTCTGGAGGCGTCAGCTCTACTGATTCTCCGGTGAACTCCGAGTCGAAATAACGCGTGTCTGTGTCTGATAAGACTTGAGGTAAGAATGGAGGAGGAATCTGAAAATGAAAATAGAGAAATGGATTGTACGATTACATTATGTAAAAAAAGAAAGCAAGAAGAATGTCTTCATTTCGTTTTTTTTTTCCTTGATAGTGGAACCAACATAGAAAGAGGGCAGACTGGTATGATTTTGAGGACATCTACACTACCACAATCTTAAATAAAGGCTGTTTTTTGGCACATCCTCCCTCCCCGCGAAGGAAAACTTATAAATTTGAGGAAAATTTAGTTGATGGCTGCATTTTAGAACTCAACACTTGACGGATTGACTTAATATGAACCCATCGAAGCATTCTTGGGTTCTGATATTTAAAAGACAACTGAAAATTTATCAAAGCATTAGTGACACCTTAATGGACAGCAAAAAATCACTCACAATAGATCAGACGAATTCATTAAATCTGTCATGCATTGAAGGTTGAGAGCTTTGATGGATGAGTGATACGGGACATACTGACCCTCAAGAGATTCATTTTACATTCATTCTTAATTTGTTTTCAATGCAAAATCTATTTTGTGTCACACATTAAAATTAAGAGCTATAGAGCTGAGACGGTCTGAGATCATTAAAATTTTTCACAAGGCATCCAAGACACAAGACACCCCAATTTTTCCCCTTCCTCCACAAGATCTCAGGGGAGAAAAGAACATCAATAGAACTGCTGGAATAGAAAAATTTAAACCGCAAGTCCACAAGAAAACAATTTCATAAGATTAGTTTAGGCAAAAATTATATTCAGTAGAGTTGGGCCGGGTATCCGGCGATTATCCGGATTGCCGGATTATCCGGCCGGATACGATTTTCGCGAGTATCCGGATCCGGCCGGATAATCGCGCTATCCGGTTTTTGGACCCGCCGAATAGTGCTTTTTTGGCCCTGAAAATTTCGATAAATTTTTGGTGATATTCTTTCTTTTTTCTTCCCTATCAATACAATTTTCTGTATTTTTTCCTGAAACTTTTGACTTTTTTTTCTTCTCCTTCAATACAGCTCTGTTTATTTTTTTTTCTTTCAACATGAATTACATGTTCTGCTAATTGACGCGATCGCAACGTAAATTCCTTAAGTCCGCGACCCGCGTGTTTCACTTTCATAGATGCAGGTGGAAAAGAGAATAACAAACAACAACACCACCAACATATGCATAATTCCCCGTTTTTAGTCAGTGCAAAACTCCGCATTCATCGTAGTGTCGCAGCACGCTGTTTGTTTCGGTAATATCGAAACGAAGGCCAATTAAGTTTGTGATCGGTTGAAACATCCATTTCTCTCGTTCATTTAAAGATTCTCATCAACAGAAATTGACCGAATAATTTTCCGTCAAGACAGGCTTTGATTTGCTGTGACTTTGGATTGGCATGCGGCAGCGGTGCTTTCAAAAGTGTCAGATTGGCAGCGCTGTTTTCCACTTTTGTTTTGTTTACATTTCTGACTTCTGATAACACCCTCCTGCTGAACATATGAGCACAGCTGCGAAAAGCTAGAAACTGCCTTGCTATATTTATGACACATATTATTTGTCAACCATGATTTTTGTACTATTGCAATTGTGACACTAGAAATAAGGAAAGAAATTCAAGGCCCGAATTTTGTTAGCTACGACCGATCGTGAGTCGAGTAAACTTAACCTCAAAAATGGCGACATTTTTCGCGCGAAAAAGCACTACCGGCCGGATCCGGTACTATCCGGATCCGGCCGGATACTTTTTTGAATTATCCGGTATCCGGATCCGGCCGGATACAAAAAACCGATATCCGGATCCGGTTCCGGTGACGTGAAAATTCCATTTCGGCCCAACTCTAATATTCAGCATCATGTTGAATCAAATAATAATAAAAGTATCGATCAAGCTTTCTTAGACTTCGTAATCGTTTCCATTCTTTGTTATGACAATTCATTAAATACCATTTTAAGGATGCAGATAAAATTTTCACTCATAATTCACCTGGGATCCTGGAACTGGCTTACCTAACAAACTTACATTTACAAGGAGTTTCGTAAAAAGGTAAAAAAAAACGTTTTAACTAAAATTGGACCCATATTTTAGTACGCTTCAAATATGTGAGAGAATAGTAGGTACGTAAGTTCTGTCTGTTCCTTTTATTAAAAAAAGTGTGACTTTCCTAACGTGACCTGCAATTCCTCATTTTCTGCGTGCCTCCATCATCATATTGTTGTTGTGTTTCATTATTGGAAAAAAATTAATCATAATAAAAAGTGGGTTCTAAGACACATCGAGTATAGAAATCTTACATTGAATCTGGGTTTAAAATGAAGCTCTCATTTTTGCTACTGATTCTGAGCTGAAAACTAAATCAATTCACTAAAGTTAAGAGTACCAGATAATTTCCACCTCTCCAGACTATTTTAATCGGAAAAAAAATTTAAAACAGGAAAAAGCTGTACAGTAAGTATCTTGTCGCCGTTAAGAAGTAGCAACGTTGTTGGAATTTTCTACCTCTACGGACATGCAAATTTTCTACAGAAGCTTTTCTATTGTTTAAACTAAAATAGTATTTACCTTTTTCTTGACTAAGTCTTCCCAGTTGATAGATGCAAAGAATGGATGATGTTTGATCTCTTCTGCATCTTCTGGACCTCCTCCCAATCGCTTGTTTGGATCTTTGATGAGGAGACCACTGAGTAAGTCTTTGGCTTCATTTGAAATTGTTTTGGGGAATTTAACCTGTAAAAGTTCGAAAGGATAATTTAAGCATTAATAACTGCAGAATTTTCAATTTTCTAAGGCCAATAAAATCAAGTTTATACATCGCGTTTGTCTTTTTAGAATTTAGTGTGGTTTCTACTAAAGAAATCATCAGACAGGGTAAGAATAAAAGTTGTATGAGGTATGTTTCCTCGCGAAGCAGATCAGGCTTGTTGGTCTTCCATCAGCCTTAAAGTGAGGCTGCTTAAATGTAAGAGTTTCTCAGGGTAAGTTTGTGTGAAAATTTTCCAGATGATTTTGATAAATGCTTGGTTTGCACTTTTACTAGTGGGTCTTCAAAATTCACTGAATATCCCAAGAGATATGATTTTGACACATAACACAGTACGATGTCAATTTATCGGATTACACAGAACTGAAAAATTGATCTGTTGAAACGCTGAGTCTGTTAATTCAAATTACCTTAAAGCCCTTGAAGGAACCAGCAGATCAATCTATTAAATCATGATCAAATCAATTGAAGTCTTACTGTATGAAAATCAGTACAAATCGGCTCTTCCTCTCCTCATATCAAGAGAAAATTGAGAATTTCAAACTAGAAAGTCGCAAATGAAGATGATGGTCAATTCTTCTTGTTGATTTTTCATCTAATATTTTGGGAAAACAAGAGAAATAACTACTGATGAGACAATACTTACTTCTTCCATAAGAATCAATGTGAAAAGAACATCATGGTCCTTATTGTAAAATGGAAGACGGCCACACATCATTTCATACATAACAACACCGATGCCCCACCAATCAACTGCTCGCCCATAATCATTGTCCTCCAGCACCTGTTTCCAAAAATAGAATAATTGTAATTCATAATATCTCTTACAATTTACCGGTTCATTGGAATCACTTCTAAGATTGTAAATGACACCAAATTAAACAGTTATCAACAATGAAACCACCAAATGGCGTATCTCGATTTGCTACCTTGCAGACTTCCTGTCATACTTAATTATTTTAAAGGAAAACTACTTAATGTCAATTCTTGACAACTTCCGTACTTAATATTTCTTCTCTGAGCAAAGGAAGCTATGTAAAAACTTCAAGGAATGATTTTCATTTGTTATTCTGCAAAAAAACAAAATGAGAATAGAAAATTTCAAACATAGGAAATGAGATACAGGGGTGCAGTAGTTTCACCGTCAATATGGTACATCAATTGTTTATGAGGAGCGACATTTGGAATATGGGATGGAAGCCTGAGGTAAAGAAAAATTGCGATTGTCCATGAAAAAAGGGCACTCCGCATATGGAGGCAAATTTTTTTTTTTTTTTTTTTTTTTTTTTTGAGGGAAAAGAATTGTTGTAGAGTCAGGTCGAGAAATCAGAATTTGAGTTTTGGAAAGAAAACTCTTTGGAACCCCGAAGAATATATAGTGAGTAGTTGGGTTGTTTTTATGCCAACAGAGAGTATAAAGTTGCATGATAATTCGACATAATCAAGCTCCTGACATGGCAGATTCTTAACATTGCATACCTTGTTCTCAAAACTATGTATTTCATAAAGCAAAATTCAAATCACTGTAACTATGGTTTACTTTGACATTTTTGAGTGTCCATGGTACAAAATCCTCTTCTTTTAGAAAGGATACAAATAACGGATAATATCATACCGTCAACTAAAAGGCTTTTTCGATTTAACAAATTTTTTCATACATAACGATCTCCATTAGCCTGACCAAAATCCCAACGGTAGTAATATATTTTCTTTTTAAAGTAATGTCATTGCAGCAAGTCTGGATTAGATTTAATGACAATTTTGTCAGCCGGTGACAGAAACAAAAGGCTGCTTTCCGTGGAAAACTCAAGAAATTTTCCACATCAAATCTTGTTTCAATGACATTAGGAGTCAAACTCAGTGCTGTTACATGTGGTAAACAAAATCCTCCATGACGTGCATGAGGCAAATGGGGAGGTGTGCACTTAAAACCGTGACACACCGCTACCACTGCCAAACAGGTCATCAGCCAAGAATGTAACAAGGATTCCTACGGGAAGAAAAACTACCATGCTACTGGAGTCTCACAACAGCACAGTTTTGTGGCAACAATAAAATTAGACCCAAAACAGCTTTGCTTTAAGGTGAAGTGCCAAGTTTTACCTCTGGAGCAAGATACTCAGGTGTCCCACAAAATGTTTTGGTGGTTCTTCCGTATGTTATGTCTTCCTTACAGAGTCCGAAGTCCGCAATCTTGATATGACCTTCCTTATCAAGCAGTAAATTTTCAAGCTGTGGGAAAAAGACGAGACTTTAAGAGATCAAAGTCTTCTGGAATTATTTTACACATTGAGTCCGAGTCATGATGGTCTCCTAATGGAGCTTTGACTGATCCGGACACATTCATAAGTACAATACTTTCATAAAAAGGCACATGCAAAGTGGGTCCAAACTTGCTCATAGCGGATGCCTTTGACAATTAAAAGATTCAATTACTATATACAGGGTGTCCCAAAAGTCCGTACCCCCCCCTCGTAACTTTTGAACGGTTAGAGATAGAAAAACGAAACTTTGGGAATGTTTCTATCTTAAAGGGGTCCATCTTCTAGGGGGGTCAAAATTTTTGTCCCCCCCTCAGGGGGAGCGCGGGGGCCCCCAACTTTTTTTTTTCAAATGGTAACCCCTATCTTGTGATACATCATTAGAAAGAGCATAAAAAACTAAGAATTTTGGCGCAAACCGCAAATCAATATCTTAATTTTTGACCGAGTTATGATAGGTCAAAGGTCAAATTTGACCTATTTTCAAAAAATCATATCTCCGGTTCAAATTATCGTAAAGAAAAAAATAAAACGGGAA